ACATTGCAATTCCTCAGAAAAGCCGGTGTTTACTGCAAAAAGCCTGAAGGGAATGATTCTACTCCCCAGAACAAATTAAATAAGCTGTAGTTTTCTGGTGACTATAGTGTCCCTTTAAGTCATTAAACAGTGTTGACCACATGCATTTATTTCTGTGAATTCTCTGTAATGCTGGAAACATTAGATTTATGGAAGCGGCAGGGCTATATGAGATCATGTTTTGGAAATGCAGCAGCCTTCATCTGTGAAACCCCTACAAAGCAGATCTCAGTTTGGATTCTGTTCTAGAACACTTGAAAGCCAAACCATCACCCATTACAAAGCTCTATCATTCCAGGCCATCACTTTTTTCTCAATACAGACATACCATGTCCGCTTTCACATATCAATTTACCATGAATATATTCCCATGCAATCTCTGAAACTAGATCTCCACACTCAACTAAATACTCTGCTATACTCAGCCAATGAATGTAGTTCCAGCTCGACATAAAAGCGAGGATGGTGCCAGCATTTGGCATCATAACCATATGTTGCAGTGGTTATTGTGCTCAGGGGAGGGAGAGAGGACTCATGGGAGCTCTAACTTGCAGCTCCGCCGTGTTCTCTCGTGAGCTGAGCGTTGCAGCGGTTACCACGGCAACGCTTTGAATATCACGAGAGTGAACTCTAGACTCAGGACCTGCTAGAGTTCACTCTCACTACCGGGACACCCAAGGCTTCTCCACCACGTACTGTCACGTACTTAGTACTGTCCCACCTTTCAGGCAAAGGTAACAGGGAGGGGCGTATATGATTTTTTTTTTTTTTTAATAAACACAAATATTTATTAATCTCGCTTCCTACCGCCAGTCTCACAATAACTCTCTCCATACACCCTGCACCCCTGTATACACACTGCACCCCTATCTCCTACTACAGCTCCTATCCCAGCAGATCCCAGCTAAGTTGTAAAACTGTTCTTAAACAGTTTGACTGCTTACTCAGGGACAACACCTCAGCACTCCTGACACCATAACCACCACAGAGTGCTGTAGTGGTCATTGTGTCTGGATTGTTTCTTTAAATAATCAACCAGTGCCACTCCTAAGACTAGGTTCTGGATCTGCTGTACATATATCCAACCTAGAAAATTGTTTTGACTTGGTGTGTCTTGGAAAAATATTTAAAATTTTAGCGCTCCTTGAACCTAAAAAGTTTGGGAACCACTGGTATATATATCAAGTTAGAACTTTGCATGTTATCCCAATCAATGTTTGTATGTCCAAGAAAACAAAGTACATTTGGCATTTCTAATAAACCGTGCCTTAACCAACCCCCAACAATCCTGGCTCCTCTACAATGGATCTCACTTTACATACCTCCATTATACAAAGGTCTCTACCAACAACCAGTTCCACCACACCAGCCCTGCGCTCACCATCACCCCCACCACACCAGCCCTGCGCTCACCATCACCCCAACCACACCAGCCCTGCGCTCACCATCACCCCAACCACACCAGCCCTGCGCTCACCATCACCCCCACCACACCAGCCCTGCGCTCACCATCAGCCCCACCACACCAGCCCTGCGCTCACCATCAGCCCCACCACACCAGCCCTGCGCTCACCAACAGCCCCACCACACCAGCCCTGCGCTCACCAACAGCCCCACCACACCAGCCCTGCGCTCACCAACAGCCCCACCACACCAGCCCTGCGCTCACCATCAGCCCCACCACACCAGCCCTGCGCTCACCATCAGCCCCAGCCCACCAGCAGTGTGCTCACTATCAGTCCCAGTCCACCAACCAGCAGTGCTCACTAACAGTCCCCATACCAGCAGTGTGCTCACTGTCAGCCCCCATACCAGCAGTGTGCTCACTAACAGTCCCCTGCATACCAGTGGTGTGCTCACTAACAGTCCCCCCATACGGCGGTGTGTCACTATCAGCCCCCCGCGCCGGCAGTGTGCTCACTAACAGTCCCCAACCCCCCATACCGGCGGTGTCCCATGCGGCGGTGTGTCACCCCCCCATACCGGCAGTGTGCTCACTAACAGTCCCCATACAGCGGTGTGCCGATATAGCCCCCATACCGGCAGTGTGCTCACTATCAGCCCCCATACCGGCAGTGTGCTCACTATCAGCCCCCTTACCGGCAGTGTATACTATCATCCCCCCATACCAGCAGTGTGCTCACTATCATCAGCCCCATACCGGCTTGGTGTGCTCACTATCAGCCCCCCATACCAGCAGTGTGCTCAACATTTACATACCAGCAGTGTGCTACAGCCCCCCCATACCAGCGCAGTGTGCTATGCCCCCCATACCAGCAGGTGTCACTATCCAGCCCCCCATACCAACCCAGTGTGCGGCCAGTGTGCTTACATGCCACGACGGTTAACACTATCAGCCCCCCCCATGACCGGCAGTGGTAACTATCAGCCCCCCCCATACCGGCGGTTGGTAGCTCACTATCAGTACATGTGCGGTCGGTATCACTATCGGCCCCATGCCGGCGGTGTTAATACTATCAGCCCCGGCCCCCCATACCACCATGCCAGCGGTGTGTCGCTATGCGGCCCCCATATCCAGCGGCCCCATACCGGCCGGTGTTATACTGTCATTTATGCAGGCGGTGTGTTAATACTTTCTATCATTGCCCCATGCGACGCTATCCAGCCCCCATACCAACCGGTGTGATAGCATCGAAAGCCCCATGTGTGCTATCAGTCCCCATCAGCCCCATACCAGCAGTGCTCACTACGGCGGTGATATACTGTAAATGCTCACTAGCATTACCCCAGTGTGCCATCAGCGGTGTGTGATCTGCCAATACACCAGCAATTACTATCGCCCCATGCCAGCAGTGTCGATCAGTCCCCATGCCAGCATACCAACCACTAGTCCCCATACCGGCAGTGTAACCACTTTATCAGCCCCCCATACCGGCAGTGTTAACCACTGTCATTGCCCCATACCAGCAGTGTGTCACTTCAATGCGGCCCAGCAGTGATGATGCAATATTTACCAGCATGTCAGCAGTGTCACCTCCCATACCATGTTGCCAGCCACTACATGCCGGCGTGGTAACCGGCTAACAGTCCCCCATACCAGCAGTGCAACGGTGGTAATGCTATCACAGTGTGCTCGCATCAGTGCGCCCCCCCATACCCGGCAGTGTGTCACTATCAGCCCCCCCATACCAACACGGTGTATCAGCCCCCATACCAGCAGTGTCACTATCAGTCCCCCCCACCCAGCAGTGTGGTAACCACTGGCAGTGCACACACCCCCATACCGGCAGTGTGCTCACTATTTATACACAGGCAGTGTCACTATCCAGCCCCCCCCATACCAACAGTGTATGCTATCATCCAGCAGTGTCACTATCCCGACATACCAGCAGTGGTACCTAACAGTCCCCCTACATCCACTTCAGCCCCCCCATGTGTCGCTGTCCGGTCCCCCATACCGGCAGTGTGTTACTATCCATTTCATACCAGCAGTATGCTATCATTACCCCCCATACTTTCTCCATTTATGCCAGCGGTATCAGTCAGCGCAGCGGTGGTAACCATATCGGCCCCATGCCGGCGGTGTCATACCAGCTGTCAATTTTACATGCCAGCGGTGATACTTCATCATTTTGCATGTGATGCTATCGGTCCAGCCACCGGCGGTACCATTTTATACCAGCGGTGTCACTGTCCGGTCCACACATGCCAGCGGTGTTAACCACTTTATCCGCCCCCCCCGCGCACCAGCGGTGTCTTTATCGGCCCCATACCGGCGGTGTCGCTATCCGATTGCACCACGGCGGTGTTATGCTACCATACCCCCCGCGCAGTGATACTATCAGTCCCCCAGCCCGGCGTGCTATCAGCCCCATACCAGCAGCCACCGGCAGTGTGCTGCCAGCGGTCAGCCCCCCGGCCGGTGGTAGCAGTGTCACTATCAGTCCCCCCCATACCAGTGCCGCACAATCGTGCTGTCATCGATTATACCGGCAGTGCACTCCTTTGCATTTTGCCGGTGATACTGCAGTGTCGCTATCAGCCCCAGTCCCCGGTCCCCAGCCTGCCGGCGGTGGTATCACTGTCAGCCCATGCCAGCAGTGTCATCAGTCCCCATACCAGCAAATGCTGTCGATTACCCCATGCCAGCAGTGTGCTCTTTATCAGCCCCATGCCGGCAGTGTCACTATCAGTCCCCGCTTGCCGCAGTTAATGCTGTCATTTTGCGGCAGTTGATACTTTAAAGTGTCAGTTCATACAGCAGTGTGTGCACTTTATCATACCAGCAGTGTTATCCAGCCGCGCATTTGTCACAGTCCAGCCCCCCCATCCCCCCTATACCAGTCCCCCCCCATACCGGCAGGTATGCTATCAGCCAGCAGTGTCACTCCCTATCAGCCCCCTTGCCATCAGCCCCCCCCCCTGTGTCACTATCAGTCCCCATACCAGTCCCCCCATACCGGCAGTGTGCTTTCACTATCAGCCCCCCCCATGCTGTCACTTTGTCCCCTATACCAGCAGTGTGCCATGTTTACTATCAGCCCCCCCCCATACCAGCAGTCTATCTCCCCCATACCAGCAGTGTGCTGATCAGCCCCATACCAGCAGTGTCATATGGTCCCCCATACCAGCGGTGTCGCATCAGCCCCCCCCCATACCATGTCACTATCAGTCCCCCCCCATACCAGCAGTGTGCTCACTATCAGCCCCCCCCGCCGCCCTCGCCACTATCTGCAGACACCCCATACCAGCAGTGTCACTATCAGTCCCCCCCATACCAGCAGTGTGCTCACTAACAGTCCCCCCCATACCAGCAGTGTGCTCACTGTCAGGCCCCCACCCCCCGTGCCGCCATGTTTAGCTGTCCTCAGGCTGACCTCACAGTGTCTGTCGCTGTGACGTCACCACGCCGCCCTCGCGCTGCGCCTCACTGGGCAGGAAGTGGGAGGGGTCAGTGAGGGCGCGCGGTCGCTAAGAAGCGGGCGGGAAGCGCGGTCGCCATGTCCTCGCGCTCTCTGCCCTCCCCGGGCTCTGCCGTCAGGCTGCGCGTGTCGTACGTGGAAGCCAGCGCCGAGCTGTCTCTGGTCCGCCTGTGGGGCAGCGAGGGCGAGCTGTCCGAGGAGTACCGCCGGCTGAGGGAGCACCTCCAGTCCGCGGCCCCGGCCTACCCGTCCGCCCCGGCCCCGGCGGGCCCCGCCGAGCTGTGTGTGCTGGAGGTGGGCGGCCTGTGGCTGCGCTGCCAGCTCCTCCAGCCCGGCCCGGCCCCCGAGCTCAGGGTCTTCCTCCTGGACCTGGGCTACTCGTGCTCGGCCCCGGCCGCCAAGCTCCGCCAGGCCCCGGCCGCCATCTTCCGGCTGCCCCCCCAGGTGCGGGGCTACGTGCTGCCCAACCTGCTGCCCCAGGACCGGCAGAGCTGGAGCGAGCCGGCCCTCAGCTTCCTCGGCTCCCTGCAGGGACAGCTGGTCAGCGGGCTGGTCCAGGACCTCATCCTGCCCAAGGGCATCGTGCTGCTGGAGGTGCCCGCCGTCAGCAAGCAGCTGGTGGAGCTCGGCCTGGCCAGGCCCCTGCCGGACTCCGCCTTCCGCGCCATCCTCGAGAGGTTCCTCAAACCGCCAGAAGCCACCGTCATGTTCCCGGCCAACGCCGTCATGCCAGGGATGGTGATGACGCCTCCTCCGCCCCCATCGGCTCCGCCAGCCTGGGGGATGGACTTCTTCTACCCACAAATCCAAGTCGGCGTGACCGAGCCGGTCATCGTCACCCAAGTATGTGACCCGCAGCGCATATATTGCCAGCTGAGGAGCCTGTCCAACGAGGTGCAGCGGCTCTCGGAGAGCATGAACCATTACTACGAGATGCAGACCAGCTACATGGACCCCAACGTGCCGCTTTCTTTTGTGCTGGGACAGCCGTGTGCTTCCCGCAGTAAGGATGGACATTGGCACCGCTCGCTGCTGCAGGAATACCTACCGGACAAGCACTTGGCTACGGTCATCCACGTAGATTGGGGTCGCAAAGAGATTATCCCAGTGACTGCTTTACGCACCCTTGCACCAGATTACTTTCGGATGCCGATTGTTACGTTCCCCTGTTCACTGTATGGTGTGTCAGATGAAGGCACAGGATGGGATCCTCCACAGCTCTTTGAACTTCGTTCTTTACTCTTTGGAAGACCACTTACTGCTAAAATTGAGTTTTATAACTCATATGCACATTTGTATGTGGTCAACTTGTTTGGAGATGATGGCCTCAATGTAAACTCATTGTTCAATATGAGGGCTCAGACAATGCACGTCTGTAAGACCAGTAAGCTAGTGGCTGAGAATACACCAAAAGAAGACGAAAGCAGTAAAGTAGAAGTGGAGACCCAAGAAACTCCCGAGCAACACTTCTATGTACCTACAATCCCTACTTTAGAACTTGACACTGGTACTTTTTATGATGCACTAGTGGAATTTGTCATTGACCCATCTAATTTCTGGATTAAGACTACAGAAAATGCTACACAGTATAATGAAATTGTGGACAGCATCACTGCATTGTACTCCAAGGCATCAAAACTAGAGGGTATCATAGCAAAGCCTCAGAAGGGACAATTGTGCTGCACAAAGTTTGCAAATAACCAGTATTTCCGTGCAGAAGTAGTGGCTACACATGGGAAGCAAGTTGAAGTATATTTTATTGATCATGGCAATACAGAAATTGTGAACTGGTATGATGTCAAGAAATTACCTGCACAGTACAGTGACATGCCTGGACTAGCCATACATTGTAGTTTAGCAGATATCTACCCAATGGACAAGTGCTGGAGTTCCGAAGCCATCCTTGCTTTTAAAGTGGCAGTAGTTGATAAGAAACTGGTTATTTATGTAATCTGCAAAGAGTCCCATAAATATGTTATAGAAGTACTCGACCAATCCAGAATAGAAGAAAGAAGTGTGGGTAAAATCCTTTCTGCTGCAGGACATGCAAAGTACGTAGAATGTGAACCTGTGGACCACATTCCTAAACTGCTTACAGCTATGACTATTGGAAAGAGAAAAAAGTTCCAGGCTGGTGATACTGTTTCCCTCAAAAACCCTGTTAGCACATTTGAAAAGATCAAAGAGATTAAGCCTGCTCAATCAATGGGAGATAATGTAGAAAACGTGCAGCGCTCTCCATTTGCATCTCTGGTTTTTGAGCCAGGCACTACAATAGAAGTGGCGGTGTCCTTTGTTGAGAGTCCTGGTTTGTTTTGGTGTCAAAATATTGCACACATTTCAAAGCTAGAAAGCTTGATGTATAAAATACGTGATTATTGCTCAAATGCTAGTTGTCCTTTTGATGGAAGTTCACCTGGCTGCATTGCTCGCAGCCCGAGTGATGGACAGTGGTACAGAGCATTTATAACCAAAATGCCTTGTTTGCCCACTTCAGAAACTATTGAGGTTCAGTATGTTGACTATGGTAACAAAGAAACCGTTCCAGTGAAGGATCTCCGTGCAATCCGCAGTGAATTCCTTAATTTGCGTGCCCAAGCTTTTAAGTGCAGCCTGTACAACATCATTGCACCGCTTGGCAACAATGCTTTCTGCTGGGACAAAAGAGCAACTGCAGCTTTCAATGAATTTGTTGACAGAGCCTCAGGAAAGCTTATTCAGTTCTATTGTATGTTTTTTGCTTCTGCCTTATTGGAGAACAAACTCTTCAACATTGTAGATTTATTTACTCCGTTTACCAGCATTTGCAGTTTGTTAGTAGATAGAGGTTTTGCCACTCGTTTGTCTCACAAAACATTGGATCCCTCTGTACAGCTGCATTCCTATTTTTACTCGATGCATGACATTAAAATAGGGAGCGAGGAAGAGATTTATATCACCCATATAACTTCTTCCTTGGAATTTTACTGCCAACTTTCCAGGAATACTGAAGTTATTGAAACAATTTCTTCTACTGTTAAACAGGTGGCCAGTGACACTCTGCATTATAAAATGTCAAAGAATCCTAGCCCTTTGTGTCTTGCCAAATTTACTGATCAGCAGTGGTACCGTGGATTTATCTGTGGCGCAAGTAATCCCAAGATATTCTTTGTGGATTTTGGAAACACTGATAAAGTTGAGGACAAAAACTTGCTTCCTATAAAATCAAACGCCTACGAATTGCTTCTTTCCCCAATGCAAGCCATAAAGTGCTCCCTTTCTGATATTCCTCCAAACGTTCCAGATGAAATTGTCTCTTGGTTTGAGAAGACTGTCCTGGACAAGCCATTGAAAGCATTAGTTGTGGCTAAAGAAACTGATGGGAAGTTGGTAGTTGAGCTGTATGATGACAGTCAACAGATTAATGCAAGCCTCAAAAAGAAACTAGGTTTAAAAACTCAGCAAAGCACTGGACTTCCTTTGTCACATACACAGTCAGCAAAGATGGGAAATAATGACTCAAGACAAAATCCATGCCATGCAGATAAAGTACCAACAAGAGGTTCTGCGGCAAATCCTCGCACACGTAATTTAAAAACTGAGGAATTGACACCTGTGCATAGTGCGTCATACAGTGGTAAACAAACCAAAGGATTACCTACAAATGATAAAGATTTCACGGTTATACCACGGCTGAATAGAAAACTACCAAAGGCAATGTCTACTTCAGGAGAGACCAGCCAAGTGTCTTTTTCACCTCTGATAAAATTAAGTGACTTGCCCAAGAAGAGTATTTACCCAGGATTAAATTTGCCTGTATTCATTTCCCACATAAACTCCGTTTATGATTTCTATGTGCAGATTGCTCAAGACCAGGAACTCTCTAATATTTCTGAGATGCTGAATAAAGAAAACGAAAAATCATCTGAGCTGCTTTCAGAAAAAGATGTTTGTGTGGGAGATGTGGTGTGTTCCTATTTTGCAGATGATGAGTTGAATTACCGTGCTGTCATAAGAGCAAAAAATGTAGATGGCTTGCAAGTTGAATATATAGATTATGGAAACGCTTCTGTGGTTCCTGTTGATAAAATATCCAGACTTCCCAAGGAACTATGCTCTTACCCAGTAATGAGTTATCACAGTGCTCTTTATACGCCCAGCTCTGCAATGTCTGGATTTAACGCGGACGATCTCATACTTAAGTTTTCTGAAAGAACAAATGATGTCCAGTTAACCTGTGAATTTTTGCAGCTGTGTGATGAGAAGTGGGACGTTCGGCTTTGTGATGACCGTGGTTGCATTAATGATTTTATGACTTCAATTTCAGAAGAACCCTTGTCAACAGAACCTGATGAAGATTTGTCCATAAAGAGCACTGGAAAGTCACCCGATGAAGAAGCTACAGCATTCAAGTTTTTTGTTTGGAACCTGCCACAAATTGGTGAAACGGTGCAGGTCTATGCTAGTACTGTTGATAGTCCCGAACATTTTTGGTGTCAGTTAACAACTTCAGATATAGATGGATTAGCAGCTAAAATCCAAGAGGCTGGCGAGGGGTCTGTCAAAGATGAAAATTTTAATTCTTCTCTTGAAATTGGCTCTCCATGTAACGTAATGTCTAGTGATGATAGCAACTGGTATAGGGCAATTGTTGCCAACATAGATAAAGATCTCGTAACCATAAGATTTGTAGATTACGGTAATGAAGAGACTGTTGGCTTTGAGCAAATACGAGAACTCCCAAGCTTACTTGGGGTGGTACCTGTTCTGGCATTCCCATGTGCTCTGGCAGGATTTAACTTTTCTGAAGGAAGCTGGACTTCAGAAGCAAATACAATTTTCTATGAAAAAGTGACTGAAGATCATTTAGAAATATCAATTGTTGACGTTAAAGATCTTGGAATATCCAATGTACCACTGCTGTTTGTGAATGTGAAATATAAAGGCAACTTTGTTAATGAAGAAATGACACCCTATTGGATTGAAGGAAACAAGACTGGCCTGAATGTATGTGCAGCTCTTGCTGAAGACATTAACCCGCAAAATATATCTTTAGAACTGGAAAATATTTCTGACTCTGAAACCTTGCTAGACTCTATTGCAACAAATGTCCGAGAAAACCATGATTTAGAGCAAGACTTTGAACAGATTGAGAGGAAAAATTACATCTCCCAAGATAGTCTTTCCACATTGGATTCATCTCCGAACGTTCTTTTGATGACTGCTCAAAAAGGAAATGATGATGAAGTAATAAATCGAGCTAAAGATCTAAAATCTTCTAAAGCACATTGTGCTCCTCAAGAGGAAGCCAGCTGTGACACCTCTGCAGGTATCGCTGGTGAGTAAATTGTGGTGTGTGTGTTTTTCAATTTATATTAGAATGTGCTATTTACGTGTTTTAAAGGACACTGTGGGCACCCAGACCACTTCAGCTCATTGATTTTTGCACTGTCCCCTTAGTACTGCAATTGAAAACATTGCAGTTCCATAGAAGCTCCAATGTTTACATTGCAGCTTTAAGTCTGCGGGCCTCCTGAATTGAAACAGACCCTTTGGTCCGGTATCTGACGCTGGCTGTTCTCACGCTCTGAGGACCTCCATAGGAAAGTATTGATTCAATGTTTTCCTATAGGGAGGTCTAGTGCGCATTAGATCTCACTCGGGGAGGGGGTGAAGTGAGTAAATCTTTAATTGCATGAAATACATAATGTATCTTTGTGATATGATGTATTCAATGTATATAGAAGCAATTTCAGGTAAATTACATTATGCATTACAGGTTCACTTTAAGCAGAAAATTAAGTCTCCTAGTCAAGTGTATTTGTATACATAATTATACTATTTTTGTCCTCTTAGGGAGGTTTGGACTGTATTATTTTTTTATTATATATTGATTTTTGAAATTTTTGTTTTTTAGGAAATTCTGACTCCTTCGGTTTGAAAAAAGAACAAAATGAGCAAACCAGTGAAGGAAGAACTGTTTCACAATATGCTGATCTACTGGGTGAAGTACATCTTGTGTCTTAATAGTATATATTTTAGAGAAACTGCAGTGTTTACATTACAGCATTAAGACCGCCTTTAGTCTTGTGACCGTCTACCAGACAGCCACCAGAGGCGCTTCCGGAATTATTACCAGAGTTTCTGTCTGCTAACGGACACTGGACATTCAGCGTCCGTTATTTCCCCAGAGTAAAGCATTTAACAGTGATCAATGCTTTCCTCTGGGGAGGCCTAATGCGTGCATGGCCTCATGTTTGATTGACATCCGAGCAGGTAGAGCTGCTTCTCCGCGCTAACCCTTTATTCAACGTCATGGGACCTAAAGTGTGCATGCAGACAAGCCGGTAGCCAGTGAGAACTTTGTTTCTACTGAAAAGCCAATTTACTGTTACATTGTTATAGTGCTAGTAGGCTGTTAAAGGAACACTATAGTCACCTAAACAACTTTAGCTTAATGAAGCAGTTTTAGTATATAGATCATGCTTCTCATGTTTCACTGATACAAAGAGATACAATTGTTTAAGGTAAATTACATCTGATTGAAAGTGAAACCACTTTTTTTTTTTTTTTAAATGCAGACTGTCAGAGTTTAGGGAGGTGTGACAAGGGTTGCATAAACAGAAACAAAGTGATTTAACTCCTAAATGACAGTGAATTGAGCTTTGAAACCTGAGAAGCATGATCTATACACTAAAACTGCTGCATTAAGCTAAAGTTGTTTAGGTGACTATAGTGTTCCTTTAATAATAAAAAAAAAAGTCTATTGGGTTCTAACACTGCACTGCTTTTGGCTTGCTTTCAAATTGTAGATGCAGAGCTGAATCCTGATGGAATCACAAAATACAAACCTGAATTTTTATCTGGGGATCAACCAGTCCATAATTTAAGTGAAGGTAATTCTGATTGGCTGTAATGGATTAGTAGTCATTTTAGTGCATAACATTTGTTATTTGGCTCTCTTGCATTTAAAGTACAAATCTTGTATGCGTATTGTACACTTTATTGCCAGAGTATTTCAGCATGGCAGGATACTCTACCTCAGGGTATCCCAAAGTGTGGGTCACAGGGCGATTCCCAGTGGGTCGTGCTGACCCACGTCTCCAGAACCACCGAGGACCTAAGAGGCAGACCGACTGATTAGTTGTGCCCGGCATCTTGTTCTGTGGGCCGCTCCATCAGTCTGCTTAAAAGAGAGCACAGCATCTCTGGTCTGCACAGCTCCGCCGGGTGATTACCATGGCAACACTCTGGGAGCTTGCAAGACTTTTAACACCTTCTCTCCCTGCCCACCTCCCCCACTGTATCCCTTTCTCTCCCTGCCCACCTCCCCCACTGTATCCCTTTCTCTCCCTGCCCACCTCCCCCACTGTATCCCTTTCTCACCCTGCTCACCTCCCCCACTGTATCCCTTTCTCACCCTGCCCCCCACTGTATCCCTTTCTCACCCTGTCCCCAACCACTATATCCCATTTCTCACCCTGTCCCCTGTATCCCTTTCTCACCCTGTCCTCCCTGTATCCCTTTCTCACCCTGTCTCCCCCCATCCCCCTCACCCTGTCCCCTCCCCTCTGTATCCCTTTCTCACCCTGTCCTCCCCCACTGTATCCTTTCTAACCCTGTCACCTCCCCACTGTATCCCTTTCTCACCCTGCCCCCCCCCCCCACTGTTCTGTATCCCTTTCTCACCCTGCCCCCCACTGCCATCCCTTTCTCACCCTGTCCCCAACCACTATATCCATTTCTCACCCTGTCCCCCTGTCCCCTTGTCCCTTCCCTGTCCTTCCCTGTCCCCTGTATCCCTTTCTCACCCTGTCCTCCCCCTGTATCCCTTTCTCACCTGTGTCCTTCTACCCCTGTCCTCCCCCTCTGTATCCCTTTCTCACCCTGTCCTCCCCCACTGTATCCCTTTCTAACCCTGTCCTCCCCCCACTGTATCCCTTTCTCACCCTGTCCTCCCCCACTGTATCCTTTCTCACCTGTCCTCCCCACTCCTGTCCCTCCCCACTGTATCCCTTTCTCACCCTGTCCTCCCCCCCACTGTATCCCTCACCCTGTCCTCCCCCCACTGTATCCCTTTCTCACCCCTGTCCTCCCCCCACATCCTTCTGTCCTCCCCCCGCCCCTGTCCTCCCCCCCACCCCCTCACCCTGTGTATCCTTTCTCACCCTGTCCCCCCCACTGTATCCCCCCACTTCTCACCCTGTCCTCCACATCCCTTCTCACCCTGTCCCTCCCCCACTGTATCCCTTTCCTGTCCTCCCCCACTCACCTGTCACATCCCCCACTGTATCCCCTTTCTCACCCTGTCCACTCCCCACTGTATCCCTTTCTCACCCTGTGTCCCCCATATCCCTTTCTCACCCTGTGTCCCCCCACTGTATCCCTTTCTCCCCTGTGTCCCCCCCACTGTGTCCCTTTCTCACCCTGTGTCCCCCACTGTATCCCTCACCCTGTCCCCCACTGTCCCCCCGTATCCCATCCCTCTCACCCTGTGTCCCCCCCATCCTTTTCTCACCCTGTCAGGTCCGGTATCCTTTCTCACCCTGCCCCGGTATCCTTTCTCGCCTGTCCCCCCGGTATCCTTTCTCACCCTGTGCCCCCCACGGTATCCCTTTCTCACCCCGGTCATCCCTTTCTCACCCTGTCCCCCCCCCCACTGTATCCCTATCTAACCCTGTGCCTCCCGCCCCACTGCCTCCCTTTCTCACCCTGTCTCCCCAGTGTAATCCTTTCTCACCCTGCCCTCCAACGCTGTCTCCAACACACACATTCCCTCCCACACTTTCACCCTCACCTCCTGTCTCTGTATGTGTATCTGTGTCCTTTTGTGTCAGTGTGTTTGTCTTTGTGTATCTTTTTTACATGAGTATCTGTGTGTGGGAAACTAGGTGTCATTGTGTGCATGTTAGTGTGTGTATTTGCACGTGGAAGTGTATACACTGCACACAAATGCACACCGACCATGAATGACTGGTGGGGGTTCAAATGTTCTTCCAGCAAGTAGGGATCCCTACAATATTCATTAAGGGACCCCACCCGCTGCTCATGGGTGGGAGCTGAGGGATGGGGGGAGGACAATAGGTCGCTCCACCCATTGCTCAACGGTGGGCATACGCGGTAATTTCGTAGTGCTATCTAGACGTGTCCCACAGGGACTAAATCGACCCACACAAAGATGGCCGCGCCCAGGACCTGGTGGGAAAACAACTTTCTTTTCCATGCACTATAGTTTCCCTTTAATGTACAAAAAAATGAAGTGCTTGCAAGTCTTAGAAAACCTATTACTGTTTGTGTCTAAGCACTGGAAGTGACAGGCGAAAAGTCCAGTGCACAGACACAAACGGCAACAACTTTTTGTTTTGCTGTCTTTTTAGAGGGCTTTTAATCATCAAAAATATCCTGATTGCGTGATGTTAAAGTGTGTTTTTTTTTTTTTATTTTTTTTTTTTCTCTTCAAAATCCAGATTCAACTGATGAAATTGATCTTAATGAGGACCACATTGTTGTGGATAATCATGCTCATCTGAAGTATTCCCAATCTGCAATCGAACAAGGTTATAAATAATTTGATTTATTTCTATTCTTAGGAAAAACTCAAAAAATTACGATGTGCTATTTTAAACTGTATCTGTGTGATACCAGACTTCAATGCTGCTTTTACAAATTCAGAATATTGAGGTTAATGTTTGTTCCTAAATAAATAGAAACTTTTTTTTGTATGCTATAAAATAATAAAAGTTTGGCTGTACTTTGTTCAGCCATTTTCTACTTTGAACAATTTATTTTGTTTTTCATAGTTAAGGGTATGAAGGGCAGCAGAATAGTTTTGATCGTTTTGTGGAAATTGTATTTCCTTTCATGTATCTGGGACACATTGATGAGCCTCCAATAAGGAGATCCTTGGAGTCTTAAAGGGACTCGAGTCACTGCTGGAGTTGTTCTGGTGAATATAGTCAGTCCTTGGCTATTTGCTGTAAACACCGCAAAAGGCAGAGTTTACATTACAGGCTAGGAACACCTCTAGTGACCACTCAGACGTCCACTCGAGGTGCAGCATTGATGTTTAGCGCCAGGTTTAGATTTAAGTGTGGCATTGATTTAGAATGGCACTGATTTAAAGGATCACTATAGGGTCAGGAACACAAACATGTTTTCCTGACCCTATAGTGTTAAAACCACCATCTAGCCCCCTCCCCTCCCCCGGGCCTTCATGCCTCCATAAATATAGTAAAAATCTTACTGTATTCAAGCCTGAAGCTGTAATTCTGCATGCTGTTTGTCTCAGGAGAAACAAGGTCTGCTGACCTCATCAGAAGTGGTAGCCTGATCCAATCACAGTGCTTATCCATAGGATTGTCTGAGACTGTCAAGGAGGCAGATCAGGGGCAGAGCCAGCATGATTCAAACACAGCCCTGGCCAGTCAGCATCTCCTCATGGAGATGAATTTAATCAATGAATCTCTGAGGAAAGTATAGTGTCTGCATGCAGAGGGAGGAGACACTGAATATTTGGATGCATTTTAGGCAGCCATGACCCAGGAAGGATCTCTAACAGACATATGAGGAGTGGCCAGTGAAGTTATCACTAGGCTGTAATGTAAACATTGCATTTTCTCTGAAAAGACAGTGTTTACAGCAAAAAGCCTGAAGGTAATAATTCTACTCACCAGAACAAATTCAATAAGCTGTAGTTTTAATGCATCTCTGAGATGTGGATTGGCCAGGACAGTGTTTAGCTCCACCCTGCCTCCGTGGCTGAGATGATTCATTTTCAAGTCAGCAGAGAAGGCAGATCGGGGTGGCGCCGGCAGACCCCAACAGCGCTGGAAATATGGTGCGGTTTTTACTATATTTAAAGAGGCTAGGGGGGGGCTAAATAGTGCTTCTTAACATTATAGGACCAGGAATACACGTTTTTGTTGATTCAATGTATTCCTGTCACTATAGCTGAAAACATAATGTAGGTCCTCTGCCACCCTGTCAGTTAAGTAAATGGTGACTTGTATATTTTTTTTTTAAACTGCAACACTAGTTTTAACTTATCTTCTGGTATACCTAAAGAGGTTGTTCACCTTCTTCAATAGCTATATATAAATGTGATCCATATTTCTACAAAATTGCTGGAAAACGTCCTCTGACACCTTCAGCCAAACAGACAGAATCGCCATCTGTAATGGTAATGTGAAAGTAGAAACTTCCACATTGGTCTCAGAAGGGACGACTAGATCAGTGGCGTCTGGGTTACCTAAGTAAGTATCAGATTGTCTGGAAATGGTCCGACTACTTACCATGGGACAGTGCCAGGGCATTCCTGGAGCTAAAACCATAGTGGTTTCAATTTAGGCTTTAAGAAGACATGTAAAGAAAGTGTAATTTGGGGGGGGAAAAGCATTTCTGGTCGAACTAGAATAAGGCATATATTCTAAAAACCAGTGCCTGTTGTTTCTGATTAAAGGCTATTAGAGTGGCATCACCCTAGGGCAGATGTCACTGCTTCCTAAAACTAATGCACCAAGCTCTGGTGAAATCGACGGCCTCACAGTTACAACTCAAATACACTGCATCTCAGAATAAACTGATGGTGAAGGCTTGTTCTTGCTCACATGGATTGTAAGATCTTGAAGTACTCTGGGTTTTCCTGTGAAGACTAAAAATAAATATTTAGTTTCCATTGCATATGGATGTAAGGCATCACTTGCACAAGACCTGTCTATTTCTCTGTACACTTGCTATCAGCAAGTATCTTCTACATCATTGGAGGATTTGATTTGGTAAGTCTTGGTACAACAGAATATCGTGTGAAAAAGTGGCTTAGCTTGCACTATTGTCCACTGTTGAAAACTAGCTATTACATAGTCACATTCAAAAGGACCAACACCACTCTAATAATCTGGTCTGTTAATATATTGCCTATGGAAGGAGCTCAGAACTCCTGTGTACTGTCAACAGCTCAGTTGGCTGGCCTTTTAAATTCCCATTTTGAATGAATGAGCCTGTCGCGCATGCTAGGGTCTTCTGCCCTCTGTGGGGCATCAATTTTGACTTAAACTGGCGAAAGATGAATCAGAATTTTTATCTGTTTGTTTATCCTGATCTCTACTTCCACCTTTGGCTTTTCTCCCATCAACAATGCATGTCTGCTAAACATTTAAACTTGTGGCTGCCCAGTCACTGGAAAAGTGCCCGACTGCCGGTGTGTTTGGTCCATTGAAGACCAAAGTGTATGATCTATTTGGTTTAAACCAAAATACCTATTTACTGACCCCACTACTCCTCATGTCCACATCCAACGCGCAGAGGCTGGTGGAAGTGCCTTGTTCCGAAAAGTGAGAAGACAACATAGTGCCCAAGATGGCATCTACCCGACCACAACTGCTGTCTGATCAATCTTCCGATACAGAGCCTATGTGGCAGGGTTATGATGATGCGCTAGTCCCTGTATTACAGATGCAATCAATATTAAAAGGCCTATGCAGACCGACTTATGCTACCATCACCAAACTACATTGCAAGAAGATTAAAGTGATGGGAAACAGAGCATAAGCATCTGTAAGATCTAATGGAGGCTGACTTCAATGTTGTGTCCTAAAAGGTACTTGATTTGGAAGACTGTAAGGCTCAGAGGATGTGACTTTCCAAAATCCACCACTTTCTTGGGCTACATATGCATTTTCAAGGCCAACTTTCCTTTGATAGCCAACCCCTCCTGCTGGATTGAGTTCATAGGCTTTCCAAGCCAAAGAAACTCTCGTCAGTGCTTGTAAGAGATACCATGGTGCGGGCCCTACATGGAACTGTCACTGCTGAAATTTCGGTCTTGTCGCTGCAAATAACGGTGACCAAAGCCCTACGCAACCATATATATCTCTACAGGTTGGGCTTTCCGATCAACCTGCTAGTGCATTGAAATGATACCCTCATAGTTCTCAAATCTCTAGAGAGGGGCTTGCCCAATTGGCAGATCCTACCTAGCCCATATCCAACACGACTCAGATCGGCCTCACACAGGAAGGTTCTACCGGAGTATCAGAGTAGGAGTCTTTTCTTGAAAACACTGTTACCCAGCCTATGGGCTAGCTCCATCTACGTAGTTACTGGTCTGCTACCTTCAAGTTTCTTCCCTTTTTTGTTTTTGTTTTTATGTTTGTTAAATGTCTAGTTTCTTTTTAACCCCTTAAGGACGGAGCCAAAGGTACACGTTGTGAACGAAACAAAATGTAAACAAAACCTGGCATTTGCGCTACATGTCTGTCCAACTGTAATTCACCTCTTTCATATTAAATGCACCCACCCTTATTATATATCATTTTATTCAGGGGAAACAGGGCTTTCATTTAATATCAAATAATTGGCTATGAAACATAATTTAATATGAAAAAAATGGGAGAAAATAAGAATTTTTATTTTTTTACTTTTTTTAGTTCTACATGACATTTTAACTGTCAATGTCCTAATACTGTTTGCTTTTACTGCAATAAAATACACATATTTGTATTCAGTGATGTCTCACGTGTAAAACAGTACCCCCTATGTACAGGTTTTATGGCGTTTTGGGACGTTACAGGGTCAAATATAGCACGTTACATTTGAAATTGAAATTCGCCAGATTGGGTACGTTGCCTTTGGGACTTTATAGTAGCCCAGGAATTAAATTTACACCCATAATGGCATACCATTTGCAATAGTAGACAACCCAAGGTATTGCAAATGGGGTAAGTCCAAAGTCCAACATTCTTATTTAGGGACTCCACCCACCACGCAGGGATGGGGGCCGGGGGGGACGGACGGACTGTAGGTTCCCCCAACCTCCCCTCCCCCCACATTCTTTGGAATTTTCCCACGCTGTGTAATTTGACTCCTAACACTCTGGTTGGCTTAAAAATCTAACCAATCAGAGTGTTATGAATCAAATTACATAGCATGGAAAATTCCAAAGAACTTTCCCACGCTGTGTAAAATGACATAGGACATTCTTCTTTACGACCCCACCCCCCTTCCGCCGCACGGAGGCCGGGATAACAGAAAAGTAGGTTCAACCTCCCCCCCCCCCATTCTTGTTTAAAGCCCCCACCACATGGGGGGCTTAGGAAGTGGTGGGGACAAGGAGGGAGCTGCGCGCTGGTAGCTCCCTCCTTGTAATAAACTGAACGTACAAAAGAACACTGATATTCAGTGTTTGTTTGTTCGTCTGACATTTCTAGTCATTCATTCATCTTTCTGACGAATGGATGAAATTCCTGTTCGCATGCCCAAGTGTTTAACTGGGCATGTGCGGGAATCTCACAGTACTATCTAGTGTGGGCAGATGATGTGTCCCACAGGGACTTCATCTACCCACACAAGGATGGCTCGGGGCAGAAAATAAAGTTAAAAAAATAGGTAATGTGGGGGGCTTACGGGCATTTGGGGGTGACTAAGGCGTCAGTTAGATGTAGTAGAGTCGAGAGTGGGGTTTAAAAAAAGAAAAAAGGGGATTCGGCCATGACATTGCCACTTTAAACCTATTATTCCCAAGGTAACTATGCAGGTAAACTAGTGGCGGCCAAATTAAAAACTGATATTTTTGGCTGGGGCAGCAAACTAACCATCCCTGACCATTATTGCCAATGAGCTAGATAATTTCTGTAGTAATCTCTACAAATTGAGAAACTACACCACCACTATCTACCCAAACACAGATATAGAAGCCTTTTAGACTTTGTATCCCTCCAAATCATTACACTATCGCAGGAGGTACTTCAAGTCCTCAAAATGCTGCACCATAACCAAATGTTTTTACAAACTTACAATGTCAGATTCGGAGATCTACGCTTACCGGACCACTTAAATTATTTTCTTTTTTCTCTTTGGGTTATATTCTTCATGAACTCTTAAAACACACATTATCATACCAAAACCAGGAAATTCACCAGATAATAGATCAAAATTCAGACCCATCTCCTTGTAAAATTCAGATCTTTATGCTAAACTCCTAGCCTGCTGTTTGAACGCCCTCCTGCCTTACCTAGTATCCACAGTGCAAGACCAGCTTTGTCACGAACCACCAAGCAGGAACAATACCAGGAGCCTCCTTACATAGAAACATAGTATGTGACGGTAGATAAGAACCATTCGGCCCATCTAGTCTGCCCAATTTTCTAAATACTTTCATTAGTCCCTGGCCTTATCTTATAGTTAGGATAGCCTTATGCCTATCCAATGCATGCTTAAACTCCTTTACTGTGTTAACCTCTACCACTTCAGCTGGAAGGCTATTCCATGCATCCACTACCCTCTCAGTAAAGTAATACTTACTGATATTATTTTTAAACCTTTGTCCCTCTAATTTAAGACTGTCCTCTTGTAGTTTTTCTTCTTTTAAATATAGTTTCCTTTACTGTGTTGATTCCTTCTATGTATTTAAATGTTTCTATCATATCCCCCTGTCTCATCTTTCCTCCAAGCTATACATGTTAAGATCCATCTAACCTTTCCTGGTAAGTTTTATCCCGCAATCCATGAACAGTTTAGTAGCCCTTCTCTAAACTCTCTCCAAAGTATCAATATCCTTCTGAAGATACGATCTCCAGTACTGCATTCAATACTCCAAGTGAGGTTTCCCCAGTGCTCTGTACAATGGCATGAACACTTCCTTCTTTTTACTGCTAATACCTGTCCCTATACAACCAAGCGTTCTGCTCAGGATTTTCTGCTGCTCTATTACATTGTCTACTTACCTTTTAAGTCATCTGAAATAATTACCCTGAAATGTCTTTCCTCAGATGTTGAAGTTAGGACTCTGTCAAATATTCTGTACTCTGCCCTTGGGTTTTTACGTCCAAGGTGCATTATCTTGCACTTATCCACATTAAATGTCAATTGCCACAACTCTGGCCATTTTTCTAGTTTACTTAAATCATTTGCTATTTGGATTATCCCTCCTGGAACATCAAACCTGTTACATATATTAGGATCATCAGCAAAAAGACATACCTTGCCATCAAGACCTTCTGCAATATCACTAATAAAAATATTAAAGAGAATGGGTCCAAGTACAGATCCCTGAGGTACCCCACTGGTGACAAGCCCATGCTTCGAATATACGCCATTGACTACAACCATCTGTTGCCTGTCACTCAGCCACTGCCTTACCTATTCAACAATATTGGAATCCAAACTTAATGATTGTAGTTTATTGATAAGCCTTCTATGTGCAACAGTATCAAGTCTTACTGAAATCTTGGTAAGCAATGTTTACTGCACCACCCTGATCTAGTATTTGTTACTCAATCAAAAAAATCAATTAGCTTAGTTTGGCACGATCTCCCTGAATAAACCCATGTCTGTGATCTTGAAATCCATGTGATTTTAGATGTTCAACAATCCTATCCTTTAACATGGTTTCCATTACTTTCCCCACTACTGAAGTAAGGCTTACTGGTCGATAACCTACTGGAGTATCTGACTTGCTCTTAATGCCTTAATGGCATTTGATCGCCTCAAATGGTCATTTATGTAAATTGCTGGGCAGATTAGACAAATGTACTAAAATTTGCTGAGCCCCCATACGGTGGTACATGCCAAATTTAAATCAGTGCGTTTAGTTATCTCTGCAGCCCTTTTCTATTAGTCCTTTTACTCATCTGGATTAATATTAGAGATCACCACCCATATTATTGCATGTACATGTGGACCATGTAATATCTGCTATTGAGGTCATTGTACCTATGTTATGCATGTTGGATTGTCAAGCATACCATGCATGTTTACATTTAAAAAATAAATATATGCAGGGTGACCCATTCACATTCTGGGCAAAATGCCTCCCATTCTCTGTAGAGATTATGGAATGAGGTACCTGCAACAGTTCGCACAGATTACTGCAGCTAAAAGTCTACAAAGTCATTCTTCTGTGTCACAGGGGAAGCGTCTCATTCTCTGCAAGTACAATCCGGAGAGGTAGAACAGCTGAAGTTACTGTTCGTTGCAGTTCAGCTTTCTATAGAAGAAAGCTAGTCATTGAATTACATCTCCTAGATAATCCTTCTGAGTAGCACTATTATAGAAAGTTATATGAACGTCGGATAAGCAGAATGCACTCCATTGTCTGTGCAGAGCACCCTGCAGGAGCTGAAAATCTAGGTATTTCAACACATGCATTAACTACGAATGTGAGTTACTTTAATCTTAAAATTGCTACTGCTTACTAGAAATGTTTTCCAGAATAATGTATTCTGCTTAATAAAGTGTGAACCTTACATTGAGATATTGTCTTGGAAAACACATAAACAGAAAATCAATTTCATGGAGAGAAATGAACACATTTCGTAGATGTCAGGGCTCATGTAAACAAGTCAGCAATGTTAGTAGCTAAGGCGCTCTATAAAGACCCTCAACATTTACCTAAGATGCAGTTGTACAAGCAAGCAACTGATGATTCAAAAGTACAGAAACTGTACGGAAAACTAATAAAAATGAATCTTCATAAGGGATTACTTTGGATTTGGTTATTTCTTGGAGGACAATATGATGTGAATCAAAAAAACATAAATCGTGCTGGAGACTTTTTTTTTAATCTGGGTGGAGAGGTCCAAAACAAACTGAACTGTTTTTGGGTTGTACATGTCCAGGGGAATACACAAATGTAGTTTTTAAAATCTATAAATATCAGGCCTCACACTTTTACCTTTCAACTTAATTGTTCTTGGAAGCTTCCTCAGACGCTTTGGTTTTTATTCAAGGGTGCATGCAATATGGAGCAGAACATTGACTTTTTCTTGGAATTAGAAAGTGGAAAATTGACTGCTAAAGGCATGGGAGGAGATGAATGGACTAATCATTGCAGTGTGGTGGGATGTACTAATCCTGGCAATGGGTAGGGAGAGAATGGGCTTATGGTAATGTAAGAGACGTGGGGAGAATTAGCTTTTCCTGGCAACAAGAGGGCGTATGAGAAAATATGAAGCAGCTATGCTTCTATATGCAATAAGAGGGTGGGGGAAATGTGCTACAATTAACATAGGGGATCTTTCAGAAACAGAAGTGTAAGAATGAGTTTCTGACCTGTAGATGTCAATTGGGTGCAGATATGCTTCATTCATACATTGACCCTCGATGCAGAAAATTTGTATGTTCCCCTCAGTTCTAATGCACCCCAATATAAATACACAGACACTCCATAATCTGTATGTTACTCCTGGAACATTTACCTCTGCATTCACATTTGCAGTGTACAAAAAATGTCTGCATATTCGAGGGAGCAAGTCATTGTTTTGGTTTGGCTAACCAATAAACAATTGAATGAGTCCTGTCAGTATAAACCTGTAAACGAGTTAAAAACTCGTGAAGATGGTTTAAAAATGGGCCCCGATTAGGTAGGTAAAGCCATGTTTTCTATTTTTCTGTGTGTACCAGGGTATTTAAATTAAAATCACAGTGGAACCTCAGAACTCAAACTTAATCCGTTCCAGAACGCTGTTCTACTTCCGATTTTGTTCGAGAACCGACATTTCCCTTAATTCATGTAAATTTGACTAATCCGTTCCAGACTACCAAAATTACAGCATTTTTAATACAAATTTCACAAATTAATAATGCCTTGCATGCATACAATCATAACGGAAAAAATTATAAACACAATGTACAGTAAATTAAATGAAAAGTTCACTTTACCTGTAATTATGAGAGTTGATGGCGTAAGTGGAAAGGAGAAGATATATTATTGTTTGGATGGAGATAGGTAACTGTTCTTCTGGCATTTAAAATGTGTCTAAAGTGTATCTAATTGACCATGTTTGTGGCATAATTTGTTCGGTACAGAGGTTCGTTTGCAACATTTTTTTACTGAAAATCTTTTAGTCTGCCGAATTGTTCGAGTTCCGAGGTTCCACTGTACAAGATGAATTGGGATATATTGGGCTTAACTGCTCAATTCACTGCCATTTCACTTTTTGTTTCTGTTTATATAGCTCTGTCCTCCCCTATGACCTGTAGTTTCCCTACATATTTCCTGAAACAAAAATCTAATATTAAATATTAATTTACTGTACGGTCTTTCATTCTGAATGTATTCTTGCTTTAATAGCCTGTTGGAGCCTACAGGAGCTTCCTGTCTGTAATTAAAGTTCAATTAGCAGACTAGGAAATAAAACACCAATTGCATCTGAGAATTAATCCATCTTTGCTTGTCACTGTGACTTACAGCCAGTAGAGGTGTGTCTAGGGCATAATGACTGGGTTACATTTCAGTATTGGATAAGACCTTTTTGTGTCATTTTACCCCAATCCCTCTAGCATGTCAGCTCATAGAGCAGGGCCCTCAACCCCTCTGTTCCTGTGTGTCCAACTTGTCTGGTTACAACTACATGTCTGTTCGTCCACCCACTGTAAGCGCTGCAGAATTTGATGGCGCTATATAAATAACATAATAATAATAATGAACGGAGAGAAAACAAAGGTGGTGGTGAATAGATGCAAAGATTTCAATCCGATGCATATACGCCCATAAATACATAGAAGAAATGTAAAAAATTATGTAAATGGCTGATACTTTTCTAGGGTACCCAAGCCAGTTTTTACTGTTTAAGGGGTGTAGGGGTCTTATACTGTGAATCTTTAGGGCACTGAAGACCAAGCAAATGAGGTATTCATTGGCTGAGAAAACAAAAATCCTAAACTAATATTTTATGTATGTGTATTTTTGTTTCTCTTAAGATATAGAATGCACTCGTAGTAAAATGGATATTGCAGAAAATACTTCAAGCTCTCTTCTAGAGTCAAGTGTTAACCTGACAGACTCATGCTTACAAGGTTAGTATCTTTCAATATTGTGCTAGTTTGGCAACACCCGGGTGGAAAAAAAACAAACTCCTATATTAAACACATTCCTGTTTAATCTAATTGGATTTGTAATAAGGCTGTTATTTCCTTAATTCCAGAAAATGTTCTAAATACATTTACAGACCTCCAAGGGAAGACTTGAGCTCCCTTCCTTTTTAATGTATTTTAGAGGTAATGCTTTACAAACAAAATGGATCTGTTGTTCCATGAGCAAAGTCGACACCAACCAGAAAATAGCTGTAATATGCTGTGATAACTTTCCATAACGTTTTATTTATTTATTTATTTTTTAGCGTTTTTTACTTGATGGGCATTACTTCCTTATTCACAGACTGACAAACTATGTTTTAGACTTTTTTTTTTTTCTCCCTCCAGGCCTCCCCTATAGGTGAATATAATGGCAGCACACATTGTATGTAAAACTATCTTTTAAAATGGAAGCGCTGTATAATCAAAATAAACCCTATGGCCAGCAGGAGTTTATGAACAGCAGGCCACATACATTTACCTTTGACAGCATGACGGCTGTAATTTTTCACATATGTTTTTGGAAAAAAATATGAATCAGAGTGGTTAAGCTATTTATTTATTTTCCTGCTTTTGCAACATTTTAATGACCCTAGATGTGACCGGTCTGCCATTATATCATAGGGTTTTTCCCTCTCCAGGATGGTCTACAAAAGCATCCCCAGCTGATGCAGTGCTTTGCGACCCTTAACAACCTGCTTACTTAAAGCATGCAGAACAGTAGGAAATGTGCAATATTAAACTCTATAGATGACCAATGCATTCTGAACATTTTTTTTTTCCCTCTAGTATTTATAGTATTTACATTTTTAAAGGTGCAACTCTCAGGGGATGTAATTGAAACCACTAGAAGTTTCTTGTGGATTGCCTCACTTCTAAAATGTTGTGTCAAAATTGTTTTTAGTGCTTCACCCTCCAAATTTTTTAAATTACCTTTTGATGCTTTTGCTTTTTAAAAAAAAAATAATTACTAAAATGGAAAAAAATGATACATGGTTTTTCATTTTTAGATTCTTTATCTGACATACAGATGGCAAACATATCCCAGCTAGAACTTTCCGAGACAGATCTCCAAGATTCCTCTTCGTCAATGATAGTTGATCATGGTAATCCACGGTTTCTTAGTTCTATTTATTTTTTATTTCTATGGTGACAACAAATTTTGCAACTGTGATCAGTTATATTGGTAAAATGGCAGAACTTTTGCCAGACGCAAACCACTACTATAATTTCTGTGCATTGCTGGCATTTTTTGAATACCAAAGTACATAAACCTCTTATTGCATACAACTTGTATGCTTTGTATCTATACTGTATGATGTTGCATTAATTGTAAGACTTGTTAAAAAACATTTTGGAGTGGTTTGTTTGAACATATTCTTTTCAAACCGCAGTTGAACGAATCGATCCCTGTGGGACATACCTGTCGAGTTTTTTAAAAGGAATTTGATTTAGACAAACCGCTCCAAACTAATTTTTGACCAAGTCTATTAAAAATATGCAATAAAAATAATCTAAACTATACGTTTCTGTATTTGATTTTGGTATTGACAATAAAATTATTGAATGGATCTTTTGGCATAATGTAAATGTATAGCTGCTTTTTTGTGTTAAAATTATTAAATCGACCAGCAGTAATTTCATAAATAAATGTTAGGAACACTATGTGGGTGTCAATTTGTTGGACAACAGATAATTTTAATTTCATGTTTTAAACCTCTTCTTTGGATTTTTGGGATAGAATGATTACTCTCCTTCATGAATAACTGCACATCTACAAACCCAAGCAGTATCTTAAGTTTACCTATAATTTAGTGGCCCTTTTATATATTCACATATTATTACTGATTATAATACAGGTTATGTTGTATGGGATCTTTAATTGTTGCATATTTATATTGTAAATAGGCTACCTGTCTGAGCAGACTATGGATGAGAAAGATCAATCTTTATTTGAAGAGGCTTTTAAAAATGAGAAGGATCAGGGTAAGGACTTAATTGCATATTTGTTAACCCCCCCCTCCCAATATATATAATTTTAATTATTTTTTTTAGAGAGATTTTGTTCACTAATTGTATTGTATAGAAGGGATAAGATTTTCCTTCAACTGTAAACTGGTCAATTACACAAATAAAACCCCTCAAATAATTAAAATTATACGATCTTGTTATAATTGACAAGGTATTTGTCCTTTAAGTTTAATTGAAAGGTAAGAATTTTAATTTCTGTAGACTATAAAAATGTAAAACAACTCCTACCCCGTCACAGCTAAGCATTTGTCATTTGACCTGTATATAGTTTTTGTTTTCCTCCTCATGGTACAATGGTGAGAACAACATCCAACATTTGGACACCTTTCTACAGTGCAATTTCTTATGTTCTTATGAGAAACACAAAACAATTTGCAAATATTGTCAAAGAAATAGGCTTTTCCATATGCTACCAGGATGGCAGCCCCCCCACTACTGAAGGAATATGAGCCAATTCCATTAAAACTTCATGTACTGTTTAAAGGCCTGGGGCGAACGTACATTTTCAACACATTTACAGTCATATCAATGACTAGTGGCTTCTGGCAGAGACATTCCCCTACAAGCTGGTAATTAGAACTAGAGTATAAATAAGGGTAAGTGAGGCTTTGTAGACCAGATATCTTATTGCAAAATACATGAAAATACAAATGTTTATGCTCAATTTTGGTATTGAAGGTGTTTGATAAGCTGGACTAAGTAAGACCTCCTAAACACCCCTAAAGCACTTCAGCACACATGTGCTTTAGGGGTCTGTGTCTCTCTGTAATGTAAATGGCGTCCTTTTCTCTGTTTGGTACAATGGATTAAAGGTGACAAAATGTTCTATGTTGATGGTTTATTTTGCGTTTTATTGTTTTTGAGGAGGTTAACTGTTCTGTACAGGCAATAACGGTTTGTTAGAGTTCACATGTCTTTAACATACCCAGACCTTGTGGTTTAATTGATAACAAAATAGGTTTAAATAGTTTTACTTTTATTACATGCATAATACTTTTGTACACCGTGCAGTGGGGGGGTGGGAGTCAGAGGGGGATGGAAGAGACATGAACTTTGTGGGGGCGGGCGGGGGGGGTTGTTTTATTTCCACGTGGCTTAAATTATGGAAATTTTGCATCTCTAGCTTTGACTAGAGGCGAGTTAGAGAATCTGCTATGTTTGCATCCATTTTAAATTCCCTTCTTTTGACTAAACTGGTAATTTTCATTCCCACATAACTTTTCCCATAGGTCCTCCATGTTGTCCTCTGAGACCATGTTCAGTAGAAATTCAGGTTGAGAGTTTGTTTTTAATTAAGAGACTGAAAATACAATTTGTTATTCATTAATTAAGGAACCGGTGACTGATCTGTCAATTTGCAGGTTTTGCTTTTAAAACAACCTTTTTCTTGTCGTCCTTTTGCCTTGTTTTAATTTATTGTAATTTACAGAAAATGAGAACAAGCAAAAACCCATAGAATCCCTGTGCACAAGAGAAAACGCAACCCTGGACGATCATTTCAGCCTTTGTTGGGTCTCGTCAGCGAGGTGTAGCTGATACTGCTCTAGGCACAGTGAGCATGGGGTCCATGTCTGGATTACCCTTTTAACTTGGGGGAAAACCTAAATAAATGCACTGCAACAGAGAATATTCGAAATCTGAGCATGGAGAAAAGCTCAGAAAAAACTCAGTAGCTTTCCCTGCTGAACCTTTACAATTTAGTTTCATAATGACAGTGACTGTCACTTTGCACACTTTACTTTTAAAATGATCATCTTTTTCCTTGTTTTAATTTATTGTAATTCACCTGTTTTTTTAATTATACTTTTATTTTAATATACAAAAACAAATGTAAGGATTTTTTTTTTTTCTCGTGGGAAGAGCTGTTTTTGGCAATGGTTTGAGCTTAAGATAATTTACCCATAAATCATCATTTAAAAGAATACCACAGAAGGCAACTGAAGACAAGGTACCCAGGTATTGAGATCCTGCCCAAGCAAGAAAATATAATAAAGGCAATTGACAGAGAGGTTAGTATTTCATTATGCTAGGAGCATAAGGAAAGGAAAACCGAATGGGAAAGGGGGAAAGCACACACAAACAGGGCTGCATTAAAGTTGCTCTGTCCCCACTAATGCTGCACCACTGAGTCTGTAACCAGTTTCCATGTTGCCTGTACCTGATCTGTGTTTCTGTGTTCAGCAGCCTGGAGCACAAGGCATATAAAAAGTACATTTGTTTTTAAATCACTGGTGTTTAATTTTCTTAAATCTAATTTACTACACAGATGTATCCATGTATGTGGAGTGCTCATTAGAAGAGGAGGCTGAGAAAGATGCAAATAAGCCAAGACCATTCGATATAAACAACAAAACAAATGAAGGTATTAAATCTATAATTTTACAGTGAGAATCCATATCATCTTGTATCATGTGTTTTTGTATGCTTAGTTTTGTGTAGTATGTGAGTGTAGTCAAGTACGTGTGTTTTTGTTTTTGTTTTGTTTTTTACTTCTTATCCCTGGTTTTATTTTCTAAAGGCAACTTTTTTTTTTTACCCAGACTCTGAATTTGAGCTTTTGTACTTTTGTGTTCCCTGCAGATTTATCAGATGATACAGAGTGCCGAGAAGCCGTAGAAAATGTTCATAACATGTACAAGGACATTGCTTGTCAGCTGACCACAGTCTGTCTAGAAAGGGAGGATAATCTAGGTGAGCTGAATGTTCTGCACCTTCTTGAGGCTCTCTGTGCTCTAGTCACCAATGCTCTAGGTGTGCTCCTCTCATTATTTCTCTTATGATTGCACAGACCCCTCTTCCTCCCCCATCTCAAAATACAATAATTAAATATGCCAAGCCTCCCTCTTCAGTAAATGGATACGGACACCACAGCTTTATTATACAGTTCTAACTTTTCCATCCAATCGTTACTCCAAACATAAACCAGCATCAAACCATTGAATTTATAAAATCCCTAATGTGTCAGCTGCTAGAGCTCCACTTACCATTCTGGTACTGTCCAGGAACTCAAACCTGCTAGCCCAACATGTTCAAGAGCTTGAGGGCTGCCCAAGGAAGAAAAGATCACAACAAGGTACATAATGACAATCTACTGACTCCCACCTTCCCAACCTGCGAAGCTGCTCCTGCTAGAAACCTAGGCGTGAGCCGCAGTGGCCACGCCAATATGAAAGTGGATGAAAAGCTGTACACAACTGCAACAAACATTTCTTTAAAACACTAGTAAATTGGAAGCATGTCAAAGAGGAGCCGTCAACATGAAACAAAAATTAAGCATTGCAGCGGAGATCTAAACGGATGTACCTCACTATGCAATTAATAGGCACCTCTACCCTGTGTACCATCCATGGGCTTTCTATGTTAAAGGTGGACCTCCTCCGTAAGAACTTTTGCATCTTCATGCGACAAATGGGAAGGAGCCTTTGAATTAAGGGTCACTTTCAAATCCTATAACTCCAAAGATTCACCATCAAACTTAACATTACTGAAAAAATAAACTAAAATCTGTACTTGTTCTTGTTACGTGTGTTTTTACTAGTGTATGAGGAGTGCTCAAAGCAGGTACCTCCGGAATCTTTTTATTTAAAATGTATTTGTCTATCCCACCTAATGTGGAACTAGTTGTTTTAGAAAACAAGTGTAGTGAAAAGCCAGTATGGCTGTAAGGAATACAGTACAATAAACATTTTCTGGCAAACTTACCAGTACTTACAGAAAATCCAGCACCAGTTGCCCTTTTTGTCAGTGAGTGCGCAAGTCATGTCTGTGAGCCGGAACTTGAAGATTTAAGAAGTGTGGGTATTCAGGTTGAGTGTGGTTCATTGTGTTTAGTTTTGTATTATTGGTCATTCAGTTTAATTAGTTTGACAATCTTCTTTCAGAATACATTTTCTACATTTATTCAGATGGTAAAATATTTCCAAAGTAACGAATCACTTCCACTTATGCCTTCTTATTGTCCAGTAAAATTCTTCTTTGTTAAACCTTTTCCTTGTGTGTTCCTTGTATTGAATATTAATTTTTACCAAGTAGGCGCTTCTATAAAATGTTTTACTTCCAGATATCCCTGAATCTTCTGAGGACCCAGCACCAGATATTGACAATGACACAAATCCTATCTGTGATCAAGAAACAGTTGATCTAGAATTTGTAAACAACCAAGGTGAGTCTCGTTCAGTTGTATTTTTCCTGTCTGTCATAAATAGTAGACATTTTCTGAACATTTCTAATGATGATAGCTATGTGTATTTGTCACATTTTCTGTGGTCAGAGCATGTAGGATTTTAACCCCTTAATGACTGATCCAAATGTACACGTTGTGATCAAAACAAAACGTGTTATGTGCACCCACACTTATTATATATCATTTTATTCAGGGGAAACAGGGCTTTCATTTAACATCAAATATTTCGATATTAAACCTAATTTAATATGAATAAAATATAAAAAAAAAATGGGAGAAAATAAGAATTTAAATTATTTTTTTCTCTTTTAGTTTTACGTGACATTTTAACGGTAAATGTCATAATACTGTTTGCTTTTACTGCAATAAAATACACATTTGTATTCGGCGATGTCTCACGTGTAAAACAGTACCCCCCATTGCACATGTTTTATGGTGTTTTGGGAAGTTACAGGGTCAAATATAGCATGTTACATTTTTCATTTTTTTCACTTTGAAATTCGCCAGATTGGTTACGTTGCCTTTGAGACCGTATGGTAGCCCAGGAATGAAAATTACTCCCATGATGGCATACCATTTGCAATAGTAGACAACCCAAGGTATTGCAAATGGGGTATGTACAGTCTTTTTCAGTAGCCACTTGGTCACAAACACTGGCCAAAGTTAGTGTTAATATTTGTGTGTGAAAAATGCAAAATGTTTTTATGTATAGTGATAAATACTAAGTATATAGATATAATCTTTCTTACTACATGTGTTTTGATATCAATATATTAATTTTAAAATACAGTTAGAACGAATATACACATATATTTTTAACGTATTTACATATTTATTTTATATATAATTATATACAGTATCATTCTACGTGTATTTTTAATATTATATATATATTTTAAAATACACTTGGACTGTGTGTGTGTGTGTGTATGTATGTGTATATATATATATATAATTTTTTTATTTTTTTTAAACTGTAACTTATTTATTTTACTATTTCCAGGCAGCACGGGGAGTACCTGTCATTACAGGCACTCCCCCTGCTGGCATTGCTATGGACGGCTAAGCAGTCCATATGATCGCGAGGTCCTCGCTATCACATGGCCCAGGGGCGCCGGAAAGGAAGGAGGGGGACTCTCTGGGCTGCCAGGTGAGTCCCCATGGTGTGGGATCGCTGGCAACTGGGTAAGTACATAGGACGGCTTGGGCGTTTAGAGCCGGTTCCCCAAGGACTGCATAGAACGCTCACCACCATCCTTAAGGGGTTAATTTATTATTTTTTTTAAACTTTTTTTTCCAATTTATTTTTTATATAATTATATATTTAACGTCATTCTACGTGTATTTTAAAATATATTAATATTAAAATACACTTTTATTAATGGTTTATGTATGTGTTTGTGCATATAAAAGTACTTGGATCATTATATACACCCTGTTCCAAATTATTATGCAAATTATATTTTTCTCATTTACCTAAATAATTGATGTAAATAGCAGTCAGCATAATTCTCATTTTATCAACTATTAAGAGTACAATTCAAATTTTATTGAACAAACCTCCTAATGATAACAGTATTTTTTTTTTTTTAAACATAAACTTACAATGCACTGTTCAGAATTATTACGCACAGTAAGTTTCAAAACACTTTATAGGTTGTAAAGAACTGAAAATTTTCATTTGTTGTGTTTGCAGCATATTTACTGAAATCAAAAGCTATTTCAATCAAACTTAAAACAACATTTTAACTTTTTTAAACATTTTAACAGGTCACGTTACATTTTAACATAGGACCCCTTATTTGATAGCAGCTTCACAAGTCTTGCATCCATTGAACTTGTGATTTTTTGGACAGTTTCTGCTTGAATTTGTTTGCAAGATGTCAGAATAGATATTTTGCTTGAGGATGCTGCAAAGGTTCTCAATAGGATTGAGGTAAGGGGAGGATGGAGGCCACACGATGACTTTCTCTCCTTTTATCCCCATTGCAGCCATTGATGCAGAGGTATTCTTTGCAGCATGAGATGGTGTATTGTCATGCATTAAGATGATTTTATTACGAAAAGCATAGTTCTTCCTTCTGTACCAGGGAAGTAAGTGGTCAGTCAGAAACTCCACATACTTTGCAGAGGTCATCTTTACACCTTTGGGGACCATAAAGCGGCCGACCAGCTCTCTTCCCATGATTCCGGCCCAAAACATGACGCCACCACCGCCTTGCTGACGTCGCAGCCTTGTTGGAACAGGGTGGCCCTCCACCAACCATCCACTACTCCATCCATCTGGACCACCATTGGTTAGTGGTGGCCGAATACAAGGTTTATGCACAGTTGCAAGACTCTGGAGGACTCTACACCTTGATGTCCGTGAGACTCCAGTGGCACCAGCAGCTTCAAATATCTGTTTGCTGCAATGTAATGGTAGTTTAGCAGCTGTTCTCTTGATGCGATGCATGGATCTGTCTGAAATCTTCCTCAATGTGCCTTTATCTGCACGAACCCGTCTGTGCTCTGAATCAGCCACAAATCTCTTAATTGTGCGATGATCACGCTTAAGTTTTCGTGAAATATCTAATGTTTTCATACCTCGTCCAAGGCAGCAGAGAGATCATTTTTCTTCCCGATATTGCATGAAAATGGTGCTCTGCTTAATTAACTTTAGTAGTTTTCCGTAAATTGGGCTCACCTGGCAATCTAATTATCACAGGTGCCAGAGATTGTTTTCAGCGATCAAAAGAGCCCTGAGACACAATGCCATCCATGAGTTAAACTTAAAAACAAAATATTTAATCTTTGTGATACTTGTATAGAATTTGCATAATAATTTGGAACAGGGTGTATATGTATGTATTATATATGATTCAAGTACTTTTATTTACTTTATTAAACGTTTTTTTGTTAACTTTATAAACTTTTTTGCAGGCAGTAGGGGGACTGCCTGAGAGCTCCCACTGCATAAGCCGGCTATTCCGGCCATGTGATAGCAAAGACCCCGCAATCACATGGCTGGGGGAGAGGGAAGGCGGATTGGGTATAGGGGGTCTGCCTGGGTGCTCAGGATCGGGGGAGCGACGGGGACCCGGTAAGTACAAAGGACATCGGGACGTTCTATGCCACCGTTTAGGACCGCCCCATAAAGGACGGCATAGAACGCCATCCTTAAGGGGTTAATATATTACTGAACATCTGCAGACTATGGTATTATGAAACTGTACATGATTTTTTTTTTTTTCTAAAATATTTATTTCCTGGGGCAAAATATGCATTTCTGTGTTTCAACTTCCAGGTTTCAAAAATTGAGTTTCACATTAAATTCGATTGGATTCAAATAAATTGTGTGTGTGTGTTTATTAGAAACTCAAATTCCTGCACTCCAACTTTCAAATAGTATAGCCTGGTGCCTAGTAACAATATAATATAAAAATGAAACAATACCAGCACTCTAGGTCTTCCAAAAATCACTTGTTTATTTTCTGTCAATTCAGAGGGTCAACGTTTCAGCTCCCGTTTGGAGCTTTCATCAGGACACATCACATAATGACAGGCTTATATAGGACCTAAAATCATAACAAACATTCACCTAATAAGCTGCTCCTTGTTTCTTCTGATGCCTGGCATCTGTCCTGCGCAACTGTGCATGCGTGCAAATACGGGAGTCACCACCTCGTCATGAATCAGCTGAGACCCCTCACATAATGCGGCTACGTCACGTTGCCATAGAGACCACAGTAACCCTGTGGTTATAGGCAATAGTGTGTTTACGTAAGCCATGGGGAGAATCTATACATTTAAAGAAACTAATGAAAGTGTCATAGAATATTCATAGCATTATTAATATTCACCATAATCCAATGGCACCCTATTAACTATGACACTTTCATTAGTTTCTTTAAATGTATAGACACTTCTTTTAATAAGAATAGAATGTGTCCTGATGAAAGCTCCAAACGGACCCTCTGGATTGACAGAAAATAAACAAGCAATTTTTTTTGGAAGATCTAGAGTGCCGGTATGGTTTCATTTATATTCATTCTCTCTTGCGCTCTCTCTCTCGTCCTTGAGTGTGCAAGATTTTTATTCATAGAAATAGGTGTGTGTACAAATATGTATACATTAGAAACACTTTATCCTGAAAATATTAACATGGTCACATGGTGAGCTCCTTCACGGTGTTCCATACGGGCTTTAACATTTGGACTGCATTTGCTGGAGTCATATTTAGTGGCCACGGCCTGACAAGCACTGACTATTGTAATTTAAGTCACCGCAGCGAAGCGGTCTTGTTCACCACCAGTGATTATTGGCTTACATCTAAACCGAGGGAGAGAGCCATGGTCTGAAAAAGCTCCCGATAGTGTCTCCACATATGCCCCGTTTGATTGGCACTGAGCTTTTGTCATTTGCCCATTACCGATCACCGATGAGTTTTTGATCATCGGAGACAGCAAGTAAGAGCTGCAGAATGAGAGGGAGATCTCCCTCTCATGCAGCAATCACACAGTACATAGTGCTCTGTACTGTGTGACATTGTAAATCCATCTGTTGAAGTCAGCAAATGTAACCCATCTGGACTAGGGTTCGTGTTGGGCTAGGGTTAGTTTTATTAAAGGGTAAGCATTAATGCTGGGTTTGTTATATAGTAGGTTTAGTGTAAGCACATGGGTAGGGTTGGAGTAGGTTTATGCTTAACTACCTAAACTTAATTAGATCCTAAACATATGGGGAATTTAACAATTAGGACTGATAAATTAATGTATGTGCACTTGATACAAAACTGGGGTTTTGGGGCGTGAGGGGGTGGAGTGGTTTTCAATACTCTCTCTCTCTCTCTCTCTCTCTCTCCCATTTTTACCATCTTATTTACACGTTATGTTGTGCTCAAGAGACTGGTGGCATTTAGAGAGAGTACTATTTTCTGCTTTTAAATGGACATGCATCAATTGATGATTATGTTTTGTTTTTTTGTAAAACAGCGAGTGAGGCAACTGTCTCATTTGAAGTTCAAGCTATTAATATGAGGGTTGTCTCAAATTGACATGTCCCTTTAAAGATGAATTGTTCACTAAATTTGTGATGTATTTTTCACAGTGGAGGTTTAGAGCGAGTCCTAATTAGTCTAGTCTAGCTTCAAGAGAAGGTCAGAACTGCGATCTATACACCAGAAATATATAATTTGCAACTCAAACAAATTGCAATGTAAATATGAAACTATTATTATTTTTATTATTATTATATTTATATATATATATATTTTTTTTTGAGTGTCTAAAGCAAATATTAGGTTGTTTTAACTCAGGCAGGTTAAATACCCACTGCTCTTTTGCAGGCACTTGTGAATTCATCCTTTGATAATCCTGAATGCTTTAGCTGAAAAACAAGATCTTTCTCTATTTATAAATCTCCAAAAGATGAGAACATTCCTTGACTCCTCTCATCTTTTGGATTACTACATACATAGCTGGAGTAAGCAGTGGGGGTATTTTACGTCCATACAATGAGAGCTGGAGTGGTAAACTTGTGGATTTAGAGAGAGAGTGCGTGTTCTACAGAAACATCCCCTGCAATAATATTAAGAAACGTATGCTGTGCCTTACAGGAGTTGCTGTGTACTCAGAAAGCTACATGCCCCTGGACAGCTCTGAAGATGTGTATGTTTGCAAACTGGAAGTATCATGTCCGAGCACCACAGAAAACGATGGTCAGTTTAATGCACAGTTCACTTTATCTGTAACCAAGTGTGTTGCTCTAGTGTTAGCCAGCTATACTATTCCAATCAGATATGGGAATATCATCAGTGAATTCACTTGATAAATATGTATACATTCCATTTTATGTATAAACTGTTAATTCTTCTGTTGAATTATAACAGTATATTTTTAATGTTTCTCAAGATAAGATCACTTCCCCTGTCATGACATTGGTCACTTGCTTCCGTTTCCTGTTTTGCCTTCTGCAAGCGTTACATTAATATTCTATGTAATTTTTCACACAGTATTACTTTTTTAATGCATTAAGTAGGTAATAAAAAAATGGCAACAATTGAAATAAAAAAAGATTTTGAAAACATGAAGCGATACCTTCCCAGCTCAATCCCTGTTTAGTAGGCCCATCCAAAACCCTCACACCAATCAGGTGCATCTAATTCTGGTCTAAGTAGGCGGATCTTCTGTAACAGAATTATTCTTTCTTGTTGTGGACATGGAAAAAAAGTAACCCTTTCCCCATTTATAGGCGTGAATACCACAACAAAGGTTAAACAAACACAAAACAACTTGTCTCAGCTGCACTTTTTTGTTGTGGTGAATTCACTGCATGCTGCACACGTGAAAAACAAGAAGGGAAAAAAAAAATTAAGCCAAATAGTCTCAAAGTATGTGCTCCTATATGGGGAAAACTACTACAAAGCAAACCAACAGACAATGCTCTAAATCGGTAATTGTTACACCAGGCAAGAGTAAAGGAATAGTGTGTATAATACACGTATAAATACAATAAAACTAAAAAAATATATGTTGAACATGGGTGTACAAAGAATTACTGCACAAAAAAAAACTCCCTACTGTATAACAACTGAGGCATGAAAAGTGTTGCCCATAAACTTATCAGAGTAGCACAGTATTTATCTAGAGATTCCAGGACCTCTAGTGGCCGAATTGTGGATTTCAAGTTTCTGTGATTTGATAAACTGTGAAATCCAGTGAGTTCAATAGCTCAATCTCACTGTTAATGGACAGTTTGACATGTCTTGTTAATTTATTATTTATATAGAGCCAGCAAATTTCGTAGCCCTGTACAATGGGTGGACTAACACACGTAATTGACAAGTTGGACGCACAGGAACAGAGGGGTTGGGGGCCCTGCTCAATGAGCTTACACGCTAGAGGGAGTAGGGACTTATGCTTATATCAGATATAATAGACATGTGCAGGATGTACCAAATGCGTATAGCAGAGTGTCTAAAAAAAGTATATTTAACTTGATTCTTTCGTACGAATAGCAAAGTTATGGTCAGATTACACTGAATAGCGATGTACAGGTTATATAACCTCTAGTACTAACCATTATGAGTTAGTGCATCTAACTCAATTTGAACAATGAGATACAGAATAGCTAAACTTTGTAACAAAGTATCGGTTTGCTAGTAATCAGTCCGTAGATACAGGTGATATTTGAAAAATTAGAATATCGTGCAAAAGTTAATTTATTTCAGTAATGCAGCGTAAAATGGGAAACTAATATGAGATAGACGAATTACATGCAAAGCAAGATAGTTCAAGCCGTGATTTGTCATAAGTGTGATGATTATGGCTTACAGCTCATAAAAAATTCCACAATCTCAGTAAATTAGAATATTACATGCAATCAATAAAACAAGAAATGTACATAGCAAAAAAATGGGTTGCAAGAGTATACTGAGAACGGGCAGCTGCTGAAATAGCCTGCCCTTCGGTGGGTCCCCGCTCAGATCTCAAGCTGGTTTTTGCTCATCTTGTGCCATTACATAGAGAACATCTCTGAAACATATCAGACTGGTCCCACCCATACGGGCAGTCCAGATCTGAAATGCCAGCAAGTTCTCTCTGCACGAAAGACACAGCAACCCCGATCGTTTCAGCCTTGTTAGGTATCATCAGTGAGGCATAGCTGATATCTCCCTAGGCACCGTGAGCAAGGGGTCCATGTCTGGATTATCCCTTTAAACTTGTGGAGAGCAAAAAAATTGTTTGCAAGAGTATAGAAGTGTACATAGAAAAATATCAGACCTCTGAAAAGTATAAGCATGCATGTGGACTCAGTACTTGGTTTGGGCCCCTTTTGCAGCAATTATTGCCTCAATGTGGCGTGGCATGGAAGCTATCCGCCTGTGGCACTGCTGAAGTGTTATGGAAGACCAGGATGCTTCAATAGCGGCCTTCAGCTCTTCTGCATTGTTCAGTCTCTCATCTTTCTCTTGGCAATGCCCCATAGTTTCTCTATGGGATTCAGGTCAGGCGAGTTTGCTGGCCAATCAAGCACAGTAATCCCACGGTCATTGAACCAGACTTTGATGCTTTTGGCAGTGTGGGCAGGTGCCAAGTCCTGCTGGAAAATGAAGTCAGCATCCCCATAAAGCTCATCTGCGGAACACCAGCAGATGACATGGCTCCCCAAATCAACACAGCCTGTGGAAACTTCACACTGGACTTCAAGCATCTTGCAGTTTGTGCCTCTCCATTCTTCCTCCAGACTCTGGGTCCTTGATTTCCAAATGAGATGCAAAAGTTGCTCTCATCAGAAAAGAGGACTTTGGACCACTGAGCAACAGACCAGGTCTGTTTTTCTTTAGCCCAGGTAAGACGCTTCTGACGTTGTTTGTTGTTCAGGAGCGGCTTGACAAGAGGAATACGACATCTGAAGCCCATGTCCAGGATCCGTCTGTGTGTGGTGGCCTCAGTCCACTCCTTGTGAAAGTCCCCAACACTTTTGAATGGCCATTTCCTGACAATCCTCTGCAGGCTGCGGTCATCCCTGCTGCTTGTGCACCTTTTTCTTCCACACTTTTCCGTTCCACATAACTTTCTATTAAAGGGACACTATAGTCACCTGAACAACTTAAGCTTAATGAAGCAGTTTTGGTGTATAGAACATGCCACTGCAGCCTCACTGCTCAACCCTCTGCCATTTAGGAGTTAAATCCCTTTGTTTATGAACCCTAGTCACACCTCCCTGCATGTGACTTGCACAGCCTTCCATAAACACTTCCTGTAAAGAGAGCCCTATTTAGGCTTTCTTTATTGCAAGTTCTGTTTAATTAAGATTTTCGTATCCCCTGCTATGTTAATAGTTTGCTAGACCCTGCAAGAGCCTCCTGTATGTGATTAAAGTTCAATTTAGAGATTGAGATACAATTATTTAAGGTAAATTACATCTGTTTGAAAGTGAAACCAGTTTTTTTTTCATGCAGGCTCTGTCAATCATAGCCAGGGGAGGTGTGGCTAGGGCTGCATAAACAGAAACAAAGTGACTTAACTCCTAAATGACAGTGAATTGAGCAGTGAAATTGCAGGGGAATGATCTATACACTAAAACTGCTTTATTTAGCTAAAATAATTTAGGTGATTATAGTGTTCCTGTCAGGTCAGCAGTCCTCCCCATGATTCTTACTGAACCAGACTGAGAGACCATTTAAAGGCTCAGAAACCCTTTGCAGGTGTTATGGCTTACTTAGCTGATTAGAGTCGGACACTGTGAGTCTAGAATATTGCACCTTTTCACAATATTCTAATTTATTGAGATTGTGGATTTGGGGTTTTCATGAGCTGTAAGCCATAATCATTGCACTTAGTTCAAGCCATATATGTCATATCTTGCTTTGCATGTAATGCGTCTATCTCATATATTAGTTTCCCCTTTTACGTTGCATTACTGAAATAAATGAACTTTTGCACGATACTCTAATTTTTCGAGTATCACCTGTACACTTGGTGTTCGGTAATTGCAAGTGCTGCAAAGTAAGTCTAAAGTCAGAGCAGATGAGAAGCAGGTTTTGTTAGATATCCCTACTGTACCTTCAAGGGCACCTCTTACAAAAGGTTACCCCTATGTATAATGACATTAGCTATGCAGATAACCACCATTTAACAGTACCATATTAAGTTAAAAGGAATATAATCGAAGTGTGATCTTTTTATGTGGCAGTTGTAAATACCACAGTGATCATCACATATTTGTGCAGTGCATATCAGGGAGGTACTGCTCCTCCCGATGGTAACAGAAGGTCCAGAAAGCTTATGGTGAAGTGACTGTGTACTGGACCCCGGACGGGCGTTTCACCACTCTTGCTCTTCAAAGGGGATATGTTTGGTATTTATTCAGCAGTTTTGTATAGCACAGTATGTAAATTAAAGTACTAGAAAGTATTTTAAAATCTTTTCAAAACAATCAATAGCAGTTTTAGACTTGGCTATTAGGTTGGGCTAAAGTAAAGAAGTGACAGTTCTGATTTAAATGGACACTCTCTAAGCACCAGTGAGTTTAAAAACACCCAATGTTTGCGTGTTTGCTTTTATTTGCAAGTTATAGGGCTATAAGTACAAGTAGGAAATTGCTGTTTCAAAAATCAATAGTGACATTGTAACACGGTTATGTCATAAATCTCCAAAAAACACCCCACATGTATATATTTTTCTTAAACTAGATAACCCAGGGTATTCATATAAGAATATTTTGATACTTTCTATGCAGTCATTTTACCACAAACCTTTGCCAAACTTTGCATTGTTAGTTTATTTTTTTCACATACATTGCAATTCAGGTATAAATTCACAGATTCTGTTAGGTGTCACTGCCAAACACCACCACAATATGTGTTCAGCAACATCTCCTGAGTACATGGGTACCCCCCATGTATAGGTGTGTCGGGTTGTTGGGGGGGCTAAAAGGCCACATTTGGCAGGTGCGCATATCAGTTTCCCAGCTTGGAATTTTGACATGTAGTCAACCTGCATGCATGTCCTATTTGGGACATTTTTGAAGCTGGCCAATGTATTTTACCCCATCAAACCATATATTTTTGAAAAGTAGACAACCTAGGGTATTTCAGATGGTGGTATTTTAACACTTTCCATGCACTAATTCTACCACCAGGCTTTGTCAAACATTGAGGTAGTAATTTTTGTTTCTGTTTTTTTCACACACATTGTACTTTAGGCATGAATTAACAGATCCTGTTATGTGTCATTGCCAAACACCCCAATATGTGTTCAGCAAGATCTCCTGAGTACAGTGATACCACCCATGCATAGGCCTGTCGGGTTCTTTGGGGGCTAAAAGGCCACGTTTGGCAGGTGCGCTTATCAGTTTCCCAACTTCGAATTTTGACATGTAATCATCCTGCCCCATGTCCCATTTGAGCCAATGTATTTTACCCCCATCAAACCATATATTTTTGAAAAGTAGACAACCCAGGGTATTTTAAATGGAGGTATTTTAACACTTTTCATGCACTGAATTCTACCACCAGCCTTTGTTTACATTCTTTAAAACATATATGATTTAATCTACAGTATAATATATTCTTTGGAAAGTCCTTTATTTCAATCTTAACAAATTTCTTACAATTATTTTTAAAAATGCAAATTTTTTGCAATTTTTATTCATGTTGCACTATTTAAACCATCTCTGCTGAATGTTTTTACCAGATTTCCCAATATCCGTAGATAGCACTGTCAATTTGTTCACAAGTGATATCTGTGGAGCTGAAACTGATGTTCTATTTGAAAGTTCAGGTGAGCTGTCTGCATACTATTGCCTCTATTTTTCTGATTATTTTCCCCTCGTTTTAATGTTTTGCATATTTTGCCCTCTTTTTAGAGTTAGGTAAGTATTTCTTACAAGATTTGACTTAATTTTTGCACTATACTGAACACCTCTTTTGCTTTAACTTTCAGACATAGATGAATTTACTGAAACCCTGGCACCTGGTGATTACATGGAAACCGTATACGCTTATAATGTCTATGATCCAGAGGCTTGTGATGTAGAAGTATCAGATAATCCAGGTGAGTTTAATGCACTTCTTCTGCAGTGTACCTTTTAGGATTCCACAGAACAATGCAGGCCCCTGCAGGAAGCCCCCTTGCTGTCTCGTCTGGCCCATAATCAATAAAGTTCTAATTTTTCAGCAGAATGTACTTGCAAACTGTTTTATAATTTACGTTTTAAACCATCTACTTGACGATTCAATAGCATTAATTCCAGTTATTTCTTCTTTTTACTTAATTTTAATTATTGTATCCTATTGCTTTAGGCAAAAATGGAAAAGGACTATATCAGGTCTAGCAGACTTGTATAATTTCGAAATAAACGCAAGAAATTTTAGAGAAATAAAAAAGTTTTCCTTTCTTCTTATGTTACTGTTAAAGTGGCTCTGTCAGCATTTTACCTTTGTCAAGAAAATCTGAAATATAAAGTCATGTGTTCTGCAATGTAACTTCATTTATAAGGGTGGATTTTTGGCACAAAGCTGAGCTTTTAAACCGCTACTACCTTCCACATCTTGTCATTTCCCATCAGCTGCCACTCACAACAGCTGATGGGAACAGGAATCATCTCATTATGTGCAGTAGATGCCTATATCATATCATTTTGCATGCAAGAGAATACCTATTGAGAACCTTGCAGGCTGCTCCACAGAACTATTTTTCTTTTGTGAATTTGGTGAGGGTTCACTGGTGATGTGGTCCTCCGGCATCTTCATCTAGCAAATAATGTTGGAGCTAAACTAAAACATGACAGTTAATGATGGAGCTAAAATGAAGAGGGTTTTGCCAGCTAAATATAATTCCTCAAACCCTCTCCTATGCCTGGATCCTCCCAAACACCCCTTCAAAATACTTGATTCCCTTACTTCCTTTTGTGATTTTGAGCTTGATTAGGAAAACCCCTCTTCAGTACTGTAGAATTAAATGCTTCTCTTGTTTCCTATTATACAGTGCGGCTGAATATTTTGGCAATTATATAAATCATTACATTCTCAAAAAGACCCCCATAAGTGACAGTGCCATTTTACCTTAACTTGAGAATATATTTGCAGCATTGTGGTTATACTTTCAAACTCCATTTAAATCAACTCTGCAATTATTTAATTTGTTCTAGATTCACTGGTGTTTTCAGAGAGTTCACCATCAGTAGAGGAGAGTCGTCATGTGTACGATAGTGATGCTGATAAAAGCATTTATCAAGGTAAACTTTCTTCAATGTATCATGTTCATATTTCAAATACTGCACCTTGTGTGTCACTGGCTAGAATTGTGTATGTGTTTTTTTTTGTTTTTTTTTGCTCTGAGAGTGTTAAGCACAATATTACACAACTATAAATTCATTTTCAGATTTTGAAACATATACTAGCAACCTAGCACCAGTTGGTGACTTTGACATTCTGTATATGGGTAATATATCCGTTCCAGAAGCTGGCTCCCAACTACTATGTTAGAGAAATCCATTTTAAAAAAAAGGGATTGGGGGGGGGGAAGGAGACATTGCTTGGTTAGAGTCCAGAAAGGATGTGTAAGCCTGCTATGAGCAAATCAACAACCCAACATGATGGGAACAACCCCCCCTCCAAAAAAAAGGGACATACTAACTCCATATTTGCTTCCAGACTAGCAGAAATTGCCTCCATTTGTGTCACCGCCATGGCACAAAGAACAGGCCACAGAGCCCTTAACCGCAGGCCTTACTAAACTTGTTCACATCTAAAATGGGGAGAATGCTGCAAGATCTCCCGTTAAGACATCCAAGCAAATGTATCAAGCCTCCCCTCGGAACTGATCAAAACAATCAATGATCTGGGTGATCAGACAAAAAAACTCAAACAAAATGGATCCCGTGGCTGGCTCACACACTCTTACAAGAGAAACCGAAATAGATACTATATTACGTATACACATCTCCACACCTAAACCGCTCATTCTACAATCTGCCAGAATATAATGGCAACATACACCTTTTCCCAGATTTCACTCAACTCAACACACTTTGCAATGGTGCAGTGACCTCAGTCCTGTCACTACTATCCTCTGTGAACGCAAGATACTGTACAACTGAGGTTTCCTCAACAATCGATCTACCACAACAACAACTTCACTGGATGAAGGGAAGAAGCTACTGTCGTTCTGGAACTTTGTCCCACAATCAAAAGCATCTAGTGCCGTTTCGGCATGAAAAGGGGGAGCAACCAAACCTATAAGGAATGGAAGAAAGCAGCCTCCAGGCCCACCAGATCTAGACCTTAAAAGTTACTGGGAAAGCACATACGATGCTCAGCTTTGTTTCTACATATAACTATTTGCATGTAAAGTGTTATTTATTGGCATTTCACCGTATGTTCATGTTAGACTTAATTGAGTTTAATATGCATTGATGCTCATGTACATTTAGGGGAGTCCTATTTGGTTTTTTTCACTGCCCTCAAATATTCAGTGGGTCTCAGTCTGCTGATATTATAAGTGGACCAAGACTGACTCTCACTCTGTATTATACGTCATTTGGTTTATGCAATTGTTTATTTTAACTTCTTTGACCCAGAGGTGGAGTCTCCCACACCAGCTCATCAAGCTAAGATACTGAAAAATTTTAATATAAAATTTAGAAAGTCTATGCATGTACATAACCTATACAATGTATAGAGCATATCGGGTCCAGTGACTAGGGAATATTTATATTTGGAATAGTACAGTCGTATAGATTCTTTTCACAAATAGGCCACTCCTTAATAAGATGGAACATATGTCCTGTGGGGCTATTACATGGTCAAATCACTGCCCGCTGATACTTAAGATACAGATAGGACCTCTCACCCATATATTCAATAAATGGTGTAAAAATGACTCCCTAGTGCAAGCCAGAGAAACAAAATAATTGGATTATTGTTGGTATTTATATAGCTCCAGCCTATTCCGCAGCGTTTTACATTAAAAGGGAAATTTAACAAATGTGACAATAACAAAATTACACTTACAAGAGGTAGATGAGGACCCTGTTAAAACGAGCTTACAGTTTAGAGGAGGTAGGGCATAGAACACAATAGCAAGGGAGAAAATGAAAATCCAGACACCTCCGTAGAATCCTTATGACTGGCTCATAAAGTTCATAGCTTATGCATCACACAAATGCAGACTATGACAGACCTAGCCGTCAGAATTGGCAGACACTGGAGACCTAACATAAAACCAAGCCCACACAGGATCTTCTCCAGCAAATTAAACAAGTGCATCTAGAACGCACAGAATTTGTTTGGAAAACTAAAAATCCAATTTTATTCTGCAGGTAAAATACTAGGCAATAAACTACATAAACTGTTGTGGCCATAATATCATACCATGGTTAATGTGTGCTAAATTTTATGATGCCTTCTATTCTTTTTGGAAAATATGAGGCAACTCATCAGCCCTAAACAGCTGAGAGATTCTTCTTTTGAATACATTACAGCTACACCAAATTACACCCTCCGAAGCACTGAGGCTATTGACTCCTATTACATTACAAGAAGTTACAACAACACTAGGGTCACTACCACAAGGAAAACCTCCCGGCCCCGATGGTTGCTGCTGTTAAAATTATGATTTTACGAAGGTTCTTGTATATATACCAAACTATCCTCTTACCATTCCTAATTAAACAGCTCAGGCAAATACTAATGTCCATCAATAACTTATTAATGCATATAACGAACACATAGTGGCAAAGAACATAATCTATCAGGAGAAAAACACAGGGAGGTATGGGGGTACCAAAATTGGAGTCCTATTTTGTTTACAGCCATCAAACAATGGATAGATGTGCAGAACACTATAGTTTATCCAATAAGGATATCTCTTTTGCTATGGTCAAAAGTACCATTGGCAGATTTTCCTACGTTACGACTATATCTAGACTTTAATCTGGGCAGTTGGGAAAGGAGAGACATTAAAGTGGTACGCAATATATATGTGGGTTTTAAACATTTATGTAGTACCTTCGAGTTAAAAAACCTAGATAGGTTCTCTTGCATACGAGTAGGGCACATTTTGTTAACTCCACTGATAAAGGAAAGATTGCAAATAACAGACTAACAAAATGCAAAGCCATGGTTACACATTAATAGGAAAAAAAGATTTGTTGCAATGTGATACATAATATACACAAATGCCTCCTAAAAAGAAAGCAACAAGGGAAGTAGAATTGAGAATTACGTTCACAGATGCAGAATGGCAAAAAATCCTGTATTTCACACATGGTTTTCCCAACTGCTTTAACCATGCCGAGCTACTCTGCCAAATGCTTTTTAGACTTGACAACATAAAGACTCTCTTGCATGTTTCCAGGAATTGTTGGAGGGGATGTGGTATGGAGGTATCTCATGCTCACATTTGGTGAGGTTGCCTGAAGACTAGTCCAATATGCTAGGTGTTTTATCAATGTACAGTTGCAAGAAAAAGTATGTGAACCCTTTGGAATGATATGGATTTCTGCACAAATTGGTCATAAAATGTGATCTGATCATCATCTAAGTCACAACAATAGACAATCACAGTCTGCTTAAACTAATAACACACAAAGAATGAAATGTTGCCATGTTTTTATTGAACACACCATGTAAACATTCACAGTGCAGGTGGAAAAAGTATGTGAACCCTTGGATTTAATAACTGGTTGAACCTCCTTTGGCAGCAATAACTTCAACCAAACGTTTCCTGTAGTTGCAGATCAGACGTGCACAACGGTCAGGAGTAATTCTTGACCATTCCTCTTTACAGAACTGTTTCAGTTCAGCAATATTCTTGGGATGTCTCCGCTTTTTTGAGATCATGCCACAGCATCTCAATCGGGTTGAGGTCAGGACTCTGACTGGGCCACTTCAGAAGGTGTATTTTCTTCTGTTTAAGCCATTCTGTTGTTGATTTACTTCTATGCTTTGGGTCATTGTCCTGTTGCAATACCCATCTTCTGTTGAGCTTCAGCTGGTAGACAGGTGGCCTTAAGTTCTCCTGCAAAATGTCTTGATAAACTTGGGAATTCATTTTTCCTTCGATGATAGCAATCCGTCCAGGCTCTGACGCAGCAAAGCAGCCCCAAACCATGATGCCCCCACCACCATACTTCAGTTGGGATGAGGTTTTGATGTTGGTGTGCTGTGCCTTTTTTTTTCGCCACACATAGTGTTGTGAGTTTCTTCCAAACAACTCAACTTTGGTTTCATCTGTCCACAGAATATTTTGCCAGTACTGCTGTGGAACATCCAGGTGCTCTTGTTCAAACTGTAAATGTGCATCAATGTTTTGTTTGGACAGCAGTGGCTTCCTCTGTGGTATCCTCCCATGAAATCCATTCTTGTTTAGTGTTTTACGTATTGTAGATTCGCTAACAGGGATGTTAGCATTTGCCAGTGACTTTTGTAAGTCTTTAGCTGACACTCTAGGATTCTTATTCACCTCATTGAGCAGTCTGCGCTGTGCTCTTGCAGTCATCTTTACAGGACGGCCACTCCTAGGGAGAGTAGCAGCAGTGCTGAACTTTCTCCATTTATAGACAATTTGTCTTACCGTGGACTGATGAACAGCAAGGCTTTTGGAGATACTTTTATAACCCTTTCCAGCTTTATGCAAGTCAACAATTCTTAATCGTAGGTCTTCTGAGAGCTCTTTTGTGCGAGGCATCATTTACATCAGGCAATGCTTCTTGTGAAAAGCAAACCCAGAACTGGTGTGTGTTTTTTATAGGGCAGGGCAGCTGTAACCAACACCTCCAATCTCATCTCATTGATTGGACTCCAGTTGGCTGACATCTCACTCCAATTAGCTCTTGGAGATGTCATTAGTCTAGGGGTTCACATACTTTTTCCACCTGCACTGTGAATGTTTACATGGTGTGTTCAATAAAAACATGGCAACATTTTATTCTTTGTGTGTTATTAGTTTAAGCAGACTGTGATTGTCTATTGTTGTGACTTAGATGATGATCAGATCACATTTTATGACCAATTTGTGCAGAAATCCATATCATTCCAAAGGGTTCACATACTTTTTCTTGCAACTGCATAAAGGAACAGAGTGCGCCCTCTTGGGCTTCTACCCGAGCCATATAAGAATGTCCCAAAGTAAAGTTGTTATATATTATATTTTTAGCATTAAAACCACTAATAGCGCAGAACTGAAAATACAAAGATACACTAAAAGTTCTCACATTTAAAGCAAAAAAGAGAAATTGAATATTGCTCTAATTTGGCCAAAAATGCCTCATGGATTTTTGGGGACATGAACCAATATACTTGAAGTACTGACCTTTGTAATACTTGGACTTTAAAGGTTTGTGGGGAAGTGTTGGAGGAGGGGGGGAGGATTCAGAGTCACATGGTGCAATATTCTATCTACTACTGATACACTACTGGATGAAGAGAAACTTGTTACAGACACAGTTCCAGTTTTCTATTTGTTACTATGTTATGTTTTGTAACTTTGCTTTGTAGAAATTGCAGAAATTGTATTTTTTGTACAAGATTTGTATAGTGAAATTTCATGTATCCTTGTTCATGTGTCACTATATTAAAATGTCAATAAAATTTACAGATTAAAAAAAAAAAAGAATAATTTGCAATTTAAGAAAGTAAATTAAATGGCAAGAGTGTGTAGTGTCAGACGGCACTCAAAAGCACAGGAAGGTATTGTCATGTATTAAACCAGTAGAGTGACACTAAGGTCGCCACAGCTGCCCATGACATCCGTGTCGCTGGAATAGAACAGGAGCTGACTGCGATGCGACCAGGCCCAGATTCATGCGTTCCACATGGCAATGAAAAATCGGAGGAGGTGGAAGAACGCATAGTCGCATAGCATATACTACCCTGTGAAACTCCACTTTCACCTATGTTCTTCTCTGGGTAGACGGCTCAGTATTTGCTTTAGCATAGCTACATATAATAACATTGATTATAAAACACTGAATCCAACTGTTCGTACTACTGGCTACTATGTCTGCTTATTGTTCAATATTGTATTTTTTATTGTACTTAACTTTTTAACTGAACAATGCCTGCATACTTTTTGAAAAGATTTACAAAAACATATTCATATAATAGTCAATTTCTTCGGAACTATGCAATGCAGATTTGGGAGACCATACTCCAATAAGATTTGTTTTACGGAACATATACTGATATAAAAGGACAAGATGACCCTGCTTGTGGTATCTAATCTCCTGCAAGATACTATGCAAGAAAGCCTTTAAACATATAATCTACAGGTTGTGAGACGGATATTTGGGTTCTTTTTATTTCTCAAGTGTATTTTCTAGGCTACTGTAGGCAGGTCATAATGCAGGCTGTAAGGATGTTCCTGCTGTGGTCTGACCCATAATCGGCAAATTTCTTATTGGTCTTCTAGATGAGTTGTACTGTAAATCTAGTGAAAATAAACATGGGTTTGTTGCCAGATTAATGTTTAATTCTGTTATTAACTTTTAACTACTTCATTTTGTAAATACATTGTGTACTTTTAAGTAAAGCAGGCAAAAGGCTATTTGTAAATTTTACAAGTGTAAGCTTTGTTTAAATGTACATGGGGATTTAGGCCAGAGCGCAGGTAACGTTCTTTTTGCTTTTACAAGTGTAAGCTTGACCGCTTTGTTGAAGTAATTATATCCAGAGTTTGGGTTATCTTATTTTTCCAGATGTTCCATTGGCAGTCATAACAAGTGGGATGTATTTGCCCATTTCTCACAGGACCAGTAGCATTGAAAAGGTTAAAAAAAAACTAAATGCAGTCCCCCATCCACAGTCTCCTCCCCTCTTAGCCCCTCCTAGTCGTATAAAGGGCAACTCCACACTAAGCTCCCCAGTATTTGCCTGTCCTCAAGAGAGACAGGTCAAATAGTAGAGCTCGTCCAACCTTTGGCAGAATTGATGAAGCTATTCACCTTTTTTGTGTTTTGGATATATGTGGTGAGGGAGCTGCAGCTCCTTTTTGAAGGATTGCATTAAAATTCTTAATCCTTCCATAAAACTACTTTTTAGCATTCCACACAATTTAACCTTGGGTTTTCTGCAATAACTATACATTTACTTTCAGACTTAATGGTATGCACAGAGAATCCAGAGTCAGTGGACGACTCGGACAATGTTTGCAATAGTGATGTCTGTTATCCAGAAGCTGGTTATCAAGTCTTTGATCAAGGTTAGCCTGATTTTGTTTACAGCATACATTTTCAGTCAATGTCCCCTTATTGCTGAATATAAAAAGTCAATGTTATTTCCCTAACATAGGGTGGAATAGCTAAATTTGCTAGTTAAAGGGACCCTATAGTCCCCAAAACCGCTTTAGCTTAATGAAGCAGTTTTGGTGTATGGATCATACCTCTGCAGTTTCACTGCTCAATTCTCTGCTACTTGGGAGTTAAATCACTTTGTTTATGAAGCCCTAGGTGTACACCTCCCTGCATGTGACTTTCACAGCCTTTCTAAACTCTTCCTGTAAAACATCATCTAATGTTGAAACGTTCTGTATTGCAAATTGTGTTTAATTTAGAATGGCTTCTCTCCTGCACTGTTAATTGCTTGCTAGACCCTGCAGGATCCTCCTGTATGTAATTAATTTCTTCTTCCCAGATCTACAATTATATACAGAGAGCCACCCACCAGTTGGTGATACGGACATTGTGTATACAAGTAATATCTGTGATCATGATGGTGATTTGGAAAGAGCAGAACATCAGGGTAAGTCTTGTTCAATCCATCTTATCTGGGCTATATGGTTATATTGAGAGTCTCTCAAAACAAGAAATATTAGAGATGAATACATTACACAGCAAAATGGGCAATGAGTCTGCTTTTAGAATTCTTTTTACTGTGAAGAAAGCGTAGACTAGTTACTCTAGAGGGGAAAAAAGTGTGTGTGTTTTTTTGGTTTTTTTTTTAAATACAAATGCACTACAAACCTTTCTGGTGACCAGTTCATAGACAACTGTATGTTTAAGTACATGTACTCAGATGCACAGTCTAATGAACTACAACATACAAACTTATACTTATGTAATTAAAGTGTGCAGTAGTGAATTCACAAATGAACGGCAAAATATAGGCAAAAATAGACAGAATAGTTCATAGACATAACTGTATAAAGGATAGTCCACTACTAAAATTAGAGGAAAAAGTTCAACTACAATAATTGAAAGGCCTCAAAAATACAATCCTGAAATAATTCCCTTTAAAATCTTAATATGTGGTTGACACATGTGCATATGTATTAAAAGAGATCACTTGAAATATAGTTTATTTGCCTTATCAACAGCATTGATAGTGGTACATGAAAATTTGATATTTGTTTGTGTCTTTTTTTTTTTTTTCCTGGGGGAGGAGGAAGTTATCTCAAATTGGTGTTATGGGATTTTTACTAAATACCAACTTGAAATAAATTAAATCCAAACTGCACAATACAGGGAGTGCAGAATTATTAGGCAAATGAGTATTTTGACCACATCATCCTCTTTATGCATGTTGTCTTACTCCAAGCTGTATAGGCTCGAAGCCTACTACCAATTAAGCATATTAGGTGATGTGCATCTCTGTAATGAGAAGGGGTGTGGTCTAATGACATCAACACCCTATATCAGGTGTGCATAATTATTAGGCAACTTCCTTTCCTTTGGCAAAATGGGTCAAAAGAAGGACTTGACAGGCTCAGAAAAGTCAAAATAGTGAGATATCTTGCAGAGGGATGCAGCACTCTTAAAATTGCAAAGCTTCTGAAGCGTGATCATCGAACAATCAAGCGTTTCATTCAAAATAGTCAACAGGGTCGCAAGAAGCGTGTGGAAAAACCAAGGCGCAAAATAACCGCCCATGAACTGAGAAAAGTCAAGCGTGCAGCTGCCACGATGCCACTTGCCACCAGTTTGGCCATATTTCAGAGCTGCAACATCACTGGAGTGCCCAAAAGCACAAGGTGTGCAATACTCAGAGACATGGCCAAGGTAAGAAAGGCTGAAAGACGACCACCACTGAACAAGACACACAAGCTGAAACGTCAAGACTGGGCCAAGAAATATCTCAAGACTGATTTTTCTAAGGTTTTATGGACTGATGAAATGAGAGTGAGTCTTGATGGGCCAGATGGATGGGCCCGTGGCTGGATTGGTAAAGGGCAGAGAGCTCCAGTCCGACTCAGACGCCAGCAAGGTGGAGGTGGAGTACTGGTTTGGGCTGGTATCATCAAAGATGAGCTTGTGGGGCCTTTTCGGGTTGAGGATGGAGTCAAGCTCAACTCCCAGTCCTACCGCCAGTTCCTGGAAGACACCTTCTTCAAGCAGTGGTACAGGAAGAAGTCTGCATCCTTCAAGAAAAACATGATTTTCATGCAGGACAACGCTCCATCACACGCGTCCAAGTACTCCACAGCGTGGCTGGCAAGAAAGGGTATAAAAGAAGAAAATCTAATGACATGGCCTCCTTGTTCACCTGATCTGAACCCCATTGAGAACCTGGTCCATCATCAAATGTGAGATTTACAAGGAGGGAAAACAGTACACCTCTCTGAACAGTGTCTGGGAGGCTGTGGTTGCTGCTGCACTCAATGTTGATGGTGAACAGATCAAAACACTGACAGAATCCATGGATGGCAGGCTTTTGAGTGTCCTTGCAAAGAAAGGTGGCTATATTGGTCACTGATTTGTTTTTGTTTTGTTTTTGAATGTCAGAATTGTATATTTGTGAATGTTGAGATGTTATATTGGTTTCACTGGTAATAATAATTGAAATGGGTATATATTTGTTTTTTGTTAAGTTGCCTAATAATTATGCACAGTAATAGTCACCTGCACACACAGATATCCCCCTAACATAGCTAAAACTAAAAACAAACTAAAAACTACTTCCAAAAATATTCAGCTTGATATTAATGAGTTTTTTGGGTTCATTGAGAACATGGTTGTTGTTCAATAATAAAATTAATCCTCAAAAATACAACTTGCCTAATAATTCTGCACTCCCTGTATATATACGCCTTTTTAAATTGTCAAATTATAAAGCTAAACTGGATAATCTTCCCAACGTAACTATTTTTGCCTATATTTTGCGGTTCATTTGTGAATTTACTACTGCACACTTTAATTACATAAGTATAAGTTTGTATGTTGTAGTTCATTAGACTGTGCATCTGAGTACATGTACTTAATCATAAAGCACGTTTTAGTTTTGATTAAACAAGCAAACAAAAACATTACTATTGATGGCATCCAACACACTAGTTTTCAGAAGTGAGAATTGACAAAAAAAGACCGTCAGGGAAACTCCTGATGTCTTGTATACTTCGAGGTTTCCTAATTAGAATAGTAGCTACGATCTCGGAGAAGTAATCACACAGACACACACAGTGTATTCAAACTACTGATCTTTAATGGGAGAGCAAAGGGTATGTATACAGCCTGAAGCATTTTGTAACTAGTTTCATATAGCATTCCTGTAATTAATCAGTCATGCGACCTCAGATCGTTATTGCTTAGCAGGGTCCTTAGGTTTTGTGGAAGTAAAACATTTACTAGGCTACGTGAATTCCATATCTGCTGCAAGTACTTCTTATCCTTGAAAAACTATTGAAACTAGTAGTAGGAGACAAGATGGAGGGGCATAGGTTTCTATCTTTCACAAGACTGCCAGACTTCTCCATAAGCTAATTTAGTCTTTGTTATACCTTATCATAGAGATGAAACTATAGGGTTAAAAGGATCCTCTAATTTTGGTACATTGTAGAATAATGAAAAAAATAAGTAAAAACAAACAAAAGAAAAAATGACTCCCCTTCAGTTTTTCTTGGTGCACAATTTAGTAGGTCTGCCTGCAATCCCCTTTCACAACAGGAGGGGCATGATTATACCACAAGGTCTGCTCAACTGGAGTTTGAAGGGTGTAAGAACAGTTACACTGATCACTTAGGATGGGCAGTGTGAATTTACTGGCAAATCCTTGGCTTGATTCTCCCAGAAGCAGAGAGCGTAGGACAAAATTGACCCAATCCTCTTGGGACTCCTGTACTGTTGAGTCTGATTAACCTCTCTCTGGGCAGATCTGCAATAACAAGATCCTGCAGTTCTAAGCCAGTCTTACCCATTAGAGTTGGTTCAGATTATGCAATGAATCCTCATCGTTGTAATGTTGCTTTTAAAAGTAAAAAAGAAAAGTCAAAATTGATAAATTGTATTCTAATAACGCATGTAGGGCAGTTTGAATCCATGTGGTAACAGTAAGAACTTTCCCAGGGGGATATAACCTGTTTGAATCATTTTGGGCAGATATCTATGGCCTAAGAAGACCGTGAAATTCAAAAAGGCAAATAACAGATTCATTGTATCTTATTGTCAAATCTTTTATTTCTAATAGCTGTTTGGATATTTTTTCTTATTGAATGTAAAAGCTGGAGTGTTTGATAATAGTGGCTTTCTTTTTAGATGTTTTTGAGTACACAGCATACCCAGAGATACCTGGCAGTGAGACCATAGAGAATGACTTTAACATGAGCAGTAGTGCAGAACACGATTTAGAAGCCCAAAGTAAGTTTAATCCACAGCATATTATTTCCTGCATCTAAGTCTTTCTCCTTACATCGATGTTGAGGTAGTAAAGTATACTTCAATCCTCAAATGAAGTTTTTGATGAGTAACCATTTCTTTTATTGAACTTCTACAGTTTGAAAAGGAATTGTACATTTAATGAAAGTGGGGAGGTGCGAGGGGCAAATTAAAAGCAGAATTAAAATCATCTGCTCCTTTTATGAACCATTTGTAGTTTCAACAGCTTATTAAAGTACATGCAAGACTGACCGGTTACTATTCCATTGAACCTGTGAACATTGTATATTGGTGTTAAACAGGCAGAGCCTGCTGTGTGAAAGAACCCAATACATACATTTCTGTTTTTTTTTCTTCTTTAATGTTTTTGCTTTACCTTAAAACATGTTTCTAGCATAGTTCTGGGGATGGACTTCTCACATTTAGCACACTTGTTTCCCCCTCCCCTTTAAAATAATGCTGCGGTTATTGTAATTGCTTTCAGAGTTACCAATATGTACAGAAAGTCTAGCAACTGTGGATGTCTTGGATAATGTGTGCACAAGTGATGTTGATGAGCCAGAAGGCCATGATGTCATTCACAGTCAAGGTGAGCTGCTTTGATTTTATTGCCCCTTATGTTAATTACTTTACTTTACCCTTAGTGTTTACTCCTTCAATGTTAGATATACTAGTCTGCCAGTAATGAAAGTATTTAGAAAATTGGTCAGACTAGATGGTTCTTATATTCCGTCACATTCTGTTTTTTTTTGTTTGTTTTTTATATTTAATTTTTTATAAAAGCACTGCAGTTATTTTTTTGTACAATATTCAACTGTAATTTTTTTTCAGGTGTAGAAGTATGCATTGAGAGCCCAGTACCAGTTGATAGTGCTGACAATATGTACATTGGTGATGACTCTGATCCAGAAGGTGGGGACCTTGAAGGAGCAGATAATCAAGGTCAGTTTAGTTATATACGGTTATTTTGTGTGTTTTGTCACACTCCCCAACAATGCAGGGTTTAAGAGAGTCTTTGCAATTTTCTGACCCTTAATCTGTGAAATTCCATTGGATTCGTTTTTGAGAATGCATGATAGCCTATAAAGTTGATAGACTTATGCAAAGCATCCTCAACTTGCAATTATGCAATGTTGTGATGGTGCATAGAGTGAATCTTAACCCCTTAATGACGAGTGATGGACGAGGTCCGTCACTGAGGGGAAACCCTTAACGACGAGTGATGGACCTAGTCCGTCACGCGGTAAAATTAACCCCAGATCGCGGGGTTAATGGTGCTCCGGTCTGCCTCTGTATTAGAGGAAGACCGGGAGCACCCGATCGCGCTGCCCCAGCACCGATGCTCGCTCTGACAGGCTGTCAGAGCGAGAACGTGCTCAGTATACTCATCTTCTGCCTCCCTGCACTTTCTGTTTCTGTGTGAAGTGTAGGAAGACGGATCATCACTGATCTTGTCCCTGTTAGAAAAAAAAGTTAATTTAAAATCCCACCCTCCTTTACCCATTTTAATAAAAATTAACCCCTTCCCTGCCAATTGATCAATGACTACAGTGATCAATTGGCAGGGATTACATTTTACTATGATCTGTTTTTTTTTTTTTTTTTTTAACCCTCAGGTTAAATTTATTTTATTACTTAATTTAAGTATTTTAAAATTATAAATTTAGCTAGCTGGGGTGGGTGGAAGTTAGTGGGGAATTGGGGCATTTGGTGTTAGGCTAACTAGGGGTTTAAAGTTAAAAAAAAAAAAGTTTTAAAATAAGCTTTAAAAAGTTCAAAATTAAGTTAAAAAAAAGTTTTAATAACGTTTAAGTAAAAAAACGCTTATTACCACTACACCTGGTACAAGCTAGCGGAAAAATTATCCCACGCTAAGGTTCAAAATATACCTTTTGAAATACCCTGGGGTGTCTACTTTAAGAAATAGTAGGCCTTTGTGGGGTAGTGTGAATTTAAAACCTGCGAAGATGCTTGGAAATTGCACATAGGCCCAACGTCAAAATTCAAAGTTCAGTAAAAACTGTTCTGGCTTGGTCTACTATATGGCACTGTAGCTTCATGAATTAGTGCCAAAGACATTAATTGGGGGTGTCTTTTTACTCAGAAGACTTAGCTGAGCATAATTTGGGGGGTTTGAACTTAGTGGCACATATGAAATATACAAAATACCCAGCAAAAATGCAATCCATATGTAAAAAAAAAAAAATGCACAAAATAATTTTTTACCACATACTTTGGCATATATTGGTGAAAAAATGGGGGCATGTTAAGGCACAATATGCACCTTATGAGATACCCTGGAGTGTCAACTTTTACAAATGGTAGGCCGCTCTACGAGGACGTGCTGATTGGCCAAAACTGCATTTGGCCCCATCCCCTGCCGATTTTAAGCCAATCCAGTGCTTTACCATAGGGAAAGAATTGGATTGGCTTAAAATCGGCAAGCCTGATGATGTCACCATGGGGGGTGGGGAAATGAGGTGAGTTTTTTTTATTTTTTTCTTCCTCCTTAACCCATCCATTATTTTTTTTAAAATTTTTTTTTGTTGCCCTCTGAGCTTGTTAAATGGTCTAATCATAGGGTTTGATTTGATCTCCGCTCTATCACAAGAGGGTGTGCCGATTGTTGTATTAAGGGAAGTAATACTAATAGTAAAGTTCTAGGGGAGGGGAAGACCCAAAAGAATAATGCCCAATAGACCGTAGATATTTCTTGAAAATGTATAATTTTCAAGAAATATCTATGGTCTAAAAAGTTGGCAAAATTAAGAGGCATTCCTTACCCCCCCACCTAAAAAAACAAAACAAAGCCTAATTCTTATTTTCTTTACTCTACTGTTGAGCCTTTCAATTGTATAGATTAGATGTTATTTTTTTTGGGGGGGGGGAGGATGATTCAGAAACATGAGAGGTTTGAGAACAGTGGCCTGTCTTGACTTTCTTTTTAGATATCTTTGAGATACCTGGCAGCGAGACCATACAGAATGACTTTAATATGAGCAGTAGTGCAGAACACGATTCAGAAGACCAAAGTAAGTTTAATCCACAGCATATTTCCTGCATCCAAGTCTTTCTCCTCACATCAGTGTTGAGGCAGTCAAGAATATTTCCATGCTAAAATTAAAGGACCACAATAGTGCCAGGAAAACAAACTCGTTTAGTCCTTAGGTCCATCCCACCCCCAGGAAGACAGCCACTAGAGGCTGGACTAACCCTGTATGTAAATATAGCAGTTTCTCTGAAACTGCTATGTTTACAGCTGCAGGGTTAAAACCTGGGGAACCTGGCACCCAGACCACTTCACTGAGCTGAACTGGTCTGGGTCACTATAGTGGTCCTTTAAGCTTTTGAGAAGCAACCCTTTCTTATATTGAACTACTATAGTTTGAAAAGGAATTGGGCATTTAATCAAAGTGGGGAAAATTTATCTGAAAGCAAAACAAAAAGAAAATCCCCTGCTGATTTTATAAACTCATATTTGTAGTTTCAGTAGCTTATTGGAAAAGAACACGCGAGACAGATCAATCCATTCCATTAAACCTGTAAACTTTTTCCTTAGATGTAAAAGAGGCTTTAAGAAAAGCATATGTCAATATATGAATTCTTCTCAGTTAATGTTTTTGCATTCCTTCAAACATGTTTCTAGCATAGTCTGGCAATGGACTTCTCATTTTCAGCATATTTTAAAGTGTTTTTTTTTTTTAAATGTTTTTACAAGACCACAGTAGTTCTTTTTTGCACAATATTCAGCTCCTTAATAATTTTACTGTCAGATGTAGAAATATGCACTGAGAGCCCAGCACCAGTTGATAGCGCTGACAATACGTACATTGATTATGACTCTGATCCAGAACCTGGGGACCTTGAAGGAGCAGGTAATCAAGTTCAGTATATTTATTTTATTATTTTTGTGTGTTTGTCCCACTCCCCAATAATGCAGGGTTTAAGGCAGACTTTTTACTATTTTCTGACTCTTACTTAATGAGATTCTTTGGATGTTTTGAGAGCCTTTATGGTTGATGGAATAATTATTATCCAAACTAATGCTCATGTGATGGGGCCCTGCTAACCACAGAAGAGCAAATTAAGATTGTCCAGAATCAGTTTCTAAATGGTAGAATATGTGGCAAACTGTTCAGTTCACAGATTGTTTCCTAGTGGGTAGTTTTTATTTTATGTTTTGATATAATTATTGACTAGTAAATATGCCATCATCAGAGAGTTGTGTTTTCTACTCTATTAGGAAGGGACTACCTTAAAGGCACAATGTTTTTTGGAACAGATTTGATAAGGTAGCCAGTTAGTCATCACTGCACACATTTTCCACATGTTATCATTTTGATATTTTTGCATCCATTGACAAAAGTATTTGGCAGGAAATTTCAAACAAAAATATTCTCTATCTGGATATCTGCTCTATCATCTTTGAGAACCTATGAATTATGCACACACACCGATTCTAAAAAGTAATGTAATGATAAGTATATCTTTTTTGTTTTTAAAAACTCCCCCTGCAGTTTTAACCTTTAATACAGAATGTCCGGAGACGTTGAGCAACGTAGAAGATATGCACAATACTGCTTTTTTTGAAAAGGAAACTTCTTCACAGGAAAGCTGGAAAAATCAAGGTGCATTAATTTCTTGTGGTATAATGGAGTCAGTCTTGACTCTGTATTGATGGTATTTTTTTACATATTATCTGTTTTATTTTGTATATTGGGCTTTCATTATCTGTTGGGCTTTATTAATATTTTCCAAAGTGCTGGTTAACCTAACCAATTAGGTTAACAAATACTACTCAAAGTATGGACTTGGATTCATAGCACAATAAAACATATGTCCACAACGAGGAGGACTAATATGAATTGGATGTGGGGATTGGTGATGCAAAAAGTGTTGGCGGTGGGGGGAGGGGAGGCATAATGTTATTTTAAACAAATTTTATGGTGCCTCTTTTTAACATCAGAATAATTGTTTACGTACAGAATTGGCAGTAAATACAGAGAGCCAAGCAGTGGATAAAACGGACAATGTCTTCACAAGTGATGTTTGTGATCCAGAAGCTGATAATCTAGAAAGAGTGGCCGATCAACGTGAGTCAATGCATTTCTTATATAGTACCTGCAGCATATGTTTCTATTATGTTGATTTAAAAGGTACATGTCATGCCAAAAAATGTGCATGAACAAAACTTTGCATGGCAATCTTTTAAATGCCTTTTTGTTATCTTCAAACTGAAGCTAGTCTAGTGACAAAACTGAGTGGCAGAGCTTAGCTGTGTTTAGAACACAAACCGCAAGTCTGACCTATCTCTGCTGACCCCTTATTTAAAGGTTATAAATGTCATGGAGGGCAGACTTAAGGACAAGGGTGGTGATTTTGGGGTGGGGAGGTGTTTATGTCAAGCCAACGGTTGTCTATTGGCAGTATACTGTGCGTGCATACAACAGACGCCAAACATGCTAAGAACTCTTGCACTGGGCTGGCTAATGACACTCCAATGATACTACCACAAATGGAGTTATGCCTCTGGCAGCAGAGGGGTTAAGCACTGCACATACAAACTCCAAGCACCACCACGACTTCAAATCAGTGAAGTGGTCATGGTGCTTTGAGTAAACCTTTAATCAGGTTTCCCTTTTTTTTTAATATCAGAATAATATGTGTTAACTTACAGAATCGGCAATAAATACAGAGAGCCCAGCAACAGTGGATAAGATGTACAATGTTTTCACACATGATGTCTGTGAGCCAGAAGCTGATAATCTAGAAAGCATGGTTGATCAACGTGAGTCAATGCATTTCTTTTATAGTCCCTCCAGTAAATGTTTCCATTGTACTGATTTGAAAGGTACCTGTCATGACAAATACAATATAATCCTAATTGATAGATAATCGATTTTCAGCTATAAATTGTGCTAGCAGAATTGTTAGCAAATATCTAAAATATTTTCATTTAAAATCAGAGGCTAAAAACAGCCTTTTACCCCTCTCCTCAGGCTGTGCAGAGCCTATGCCGATCAACACAGAGATAAAAAGGTTGTGCACTGCATGTCTGTTATCAGGGAAACTCCCCATGGCATCTCTCCTGCTTGAATTCAGCTTAAAGAAAGTAAAGAAAGAAAAGCAATGACCACAGGGGAAGTACGGAGGTGGGGCAGGCTCTGTGTTAGATTAGCATTGGAGAAAGGAGAGAAACCATCAGAATAATTTATTACAGCACTGTTGGACAGACAATCTCAGAATGGACAGAGAGAACAGATACATTTTATTTTCAAAAAGCCAACATGAAATGTAGGAGACTCTTAACCTGTTATGGGAAGCAAGACACCTACTGAAAACATGATTAATGACCTCAGTAGGTGACACTGATATTAAATTAGGAGCTTTCAATCATTTTAAGAAAAACTTAATTGTACAACATGAGCCAAGCCAGATGGTTAGAAAATAATGCAATCTTGTATCTGTCAAGACCAGTTCACTTTAAGCATTACCTACACTTACTATATGCCAATCTCAACTGTGAAACTATTCACTTCCAGACCAGCCTGTGTGTTCAGTACCTCAAGCTGAAGTGGACAACACTCACCGTGTGCACATAAATTATATCTGCGATCCAGACACTGGTAATCTAGAAAGCGTTGCTAATCAAGGTGAGTGTAGTTTTGTGTGTTTTTTCTCACAAATTGTAGGAATAGTAGCACAGTAGGACTCTTTAAAATGGGGAATATGTTAAATTATTAGACTGTTCATTATGGTCACAAAAGAGCCAAACAGTGAGCAGGCTGAGCTTTATTTTCTTTTTCCTCTTTTTTTTTTTTTTTTTGTCATCTCTTTTTGGACACTCCAATCACTTAACACTGTAGTAGTGCTGGTTCTGTGAAACGGACTCTAAACTTTTTTAATCCTACCGATATTCATTTTAGTGAACTCTTCAGCACTCACTCAGATCTCACCCCTTCAGCTTCCCTCTGAAGCCATTTATTAAAAGCATAGCTTTGCCATTTAGCTTTACAGTAGCTGTTCTGTGGTGCATGCACAGAGCACTGTCCGTGTCTGACTCTGCACTGGGACCCGGAGTCTGGAGTGCCCACAGAGTTCACTAAACTTAAATGATTCCTGTCATCCCAAACTATTTATACCCTTTTAAAAGGCATGGAATTTCTTCTTTACATTGTGCTAGCAAATGTACAGATTGTGAAAACCTGTCTAAAAATACAAACACAGAGTAGGTCCTCTTTCACTCACAACATAGCAGCCACAGTGCTCTACGATTGTCAAACAGGTTTTCCTTGCATTAAGAGGAAGCTTCACCAAGCAGGGCAAATCAAAAGGAAAAACAGGGACTTAAACAAAAACACCCATGTAGATGAATTGCGAAATGGGGTTGAATATATCTTGATATTTTGGCTGCGGCGCACTTTTCTATCTGTGTGATCCTGAAGTATTCGAAATCAATATAAGGGTGATTTAAGGTAATTACATTTTTCATTAAGAGGTTCACTTTAACCCCTTAGGACCGAGGGCGGTTCAGGACCCGTCATCGGCATTTTACCTTGCCGACCCGGAAGTGGCCGGTCCCTGGGCAAGTAGCGGGAATCTGAAATTGCTTTACCTGATACATGCGTTCCCCGGCGGCGATCAGTGTTCCGGTTGTGGGGAGACTGCCTGCAGCCCAGACAGTCTCCCCGCGGCAGATTAGGACCCTGTGGCCGTATGATGCGCTTAACACAGCGATCACATGGTCACAATAGGTGTCCATATTGCTTGCCTGCAGGGGGATGCCTGTGCTGACAGGCAGTCTCCTGCAACTGTAAATCAGAAAAAATTAAAGTTAATGGTAATAAAAAAAAAATAATAATAATTATATATGTATAAATATGATATATAGACATATATTATATCTATATAATATATGTCTATATATCATATATATATAATGTCATACTAAGTGTATATTTTTATATTAATATGTACTTATATTAATATATAAAATACACTTATAAATTACCGATATATTATATATATATAATAACTATATATATTGTATATATATATATTATTATAAAATATAAATAATAAGTAATTTAAATTAAATAAAAATTTTTTAAAATAATAATAAAAAATTAAAAAAAAATTATATAGCTATATGAAATTTTATTCTAACTGTATTTTAAAATTAATATATATATATATATCAAAATACACTTAGAATGAATTTGTATATATATCTATGTATATAAAAATAAATAAAAATAATAAGAAATATACATACGTCCATATACAAAATTACATGAATAATTATATAAATATACACGTTGACTTCAAATATATAAATATGCATATATATTTAAATTCTACGTGCGTATTTATGTAATATTTTTACATAATTCAGTAATTTTATTGATTGCAATTTGAGGGACCTGCCTACCAACCCAGGCCGAAATTCAAGAGAATTTAATTTGCTAGCACTGTATTTTACCCTGTAACGTTCTACGACACCCTAAAACCTGTACATGGGGGGTACTGTTTTACTCGGGAGACTTCGCTGAACACAAATATTAGTTATTCACAACAGTAAAACATATCACAGCGATGATATTGTCAGTGAAAGTTACTTTTTTTGCATTTTTCACACACAAACAGCACTTTTACTGATGATATAATTGTTGTGATACGTTTTCAGTTTTTAAACACTAATATTTGTGTTCAGCTATGTCTCCCGAGTAAAACAGTACCCCCCATGTACAGGTTTTATAGCATTTTTGAAAGTTACAAGGTCAAATATATGGGTCAAATATTTTACATTGAAAATGGCCAGGTTGGTTACGTTGCCTTTGAGAGCGTATGGTAGCCCAGGAATGAGAATTACCCCCATGATGGCATACCATTTGCAAAAGAAGACAACCCAAGGTATTGCAAATGGGGTATGTCCAGTCTTTTTTAGTAACCACCTGGTCACAAACACTGGCCAAAATTAGCGTTCAATTTAGTTTTTTTACTTTTTTCACACACAAACAAATATGAATGCTTACTTTGGCCAGTGTTTTCGACTAAGTGGCTACTAAAAAAGACTGGACATACCCCATATTGAATACCCTGGGTTGTCTACTTTAAAAAAAATATGTACATGTGGGGTGTTATTCAGAGATTTATGACAGATAATAGTGTTACAATGTCACTATTGATAAATTTTAAAAATGTATGTTTTGAAACCGCAATATCCTACTTGTACCTATAGCCCTATAACATGCAAAAAAAAGCAAAAAAGCACGTAAACACTAGGTATTTTTAAACTCAGGACAAAATTTTGAATCTATTTAGCAGTTTTTTTCATTCGCTTTTGTAGATGAGTAAAAGATTTTTCAAGTAAAAGTCAAAAAACATGTATTTTTTTCAATTTTTCATCAGATTTTTGTATTTTTTTTAAATTAAAATACATGAGATTATATAAATAATGGTATGTAAAGAAAGCCCATTTTGTCCTGAAAAAAACAATATATAATTTGTATGGGAACAGTAAATGAGAAAGCGGAAAATTACAGCCAAACACAAACACCACAAAAGTGTAAAAATATTCCTGGTCGCAAATGTACAACATCGCAAAAACAGTCCAGTCCTTAAGGGGTTAAAGGGTCACTCTAAGCTCCTCATAAAAACCTTGCATACTACCAAAAGTGAAGGTATACAGATTGCTCAGAGCTTTCTCTCAACACCTGACTGTGTCTAAGAAGCAGTTTGGAAAAAATCGCATCCAGTCTAGGCCTACTCCCTGGAGCGGTCTGGCAGGAGTTCTGGGTTTTTGTTTTAACTACCCGGAAAACATTGACTATTTTATTTAGATTTTTTTTTTTTTTTATCCTACTTCTTCTGCAATGGCATTTTTCTGTATACAGAAGGTTTGACATTGAATTCTTTTTCCTAATATTCTTTATTAGAATGATTGCAGTCAGGGCTTAAATTTACTTTTGGTTCCTTTTTCTAACTCTATGAAACCAAAATATATGCTACAGTTTCCTACCTTGAAATAGCTTTCTAGAACTATACTACGAAAGCAAATTCAATAACTTAATTTACTTTTAGACTTGAGCACAGAAAGCCCAGCAGCTGTGGTTGGCACGGACACTGTGTATTCGAGCAATGCCTATGATTCTGAATATGGTAACATAGAACAAGCAGATAATCCAGACTTGCCAATGTGTACTGAAAACCCTGCATCATTTGATGATACTTTATACGCGAGTGATGTGTGTATTGCAGTTACTGGTGTGGATTGTAAAGGTTAGTTCACTTTAAAGCATTTCTGCTCTTGCATGAATTCACATTGTGCCACAACAATAGAGGTTTTAAAGAAATCCAGCCTTGAGCTCAAGCATTTTGTCAAACTTTAAAATGCATTGATTTACAGTTGGTTAAATTCACTACTCCCTTTTTTTTATACATATTTATTCTAAACAAAACTTTGCATGGCAATTTTTTAAATGCCCTTTTATTATCTTCAAAGCTGAAGCCGGTCCCGTGATAAAACTGATTGGCAGAGCATAGTTGTGTTAAGAACACAAACATCAAGTTCTCCCTCATGCTGACCTTTCTCTGCTGATATCACTCTCCATTATTAAAGGGGAATAATGTCTGGGAGGGCAGATTTAGCCCCTTAATGACAGAACTTCTGGAATAAAAGGGAATCGTGACAGAATATTTCCATCATGGGGTTAATGAAGGACAAGGGGGGATCATGCCAAACAATCGGCTGCCTGTCGTCAGTAGACTGTACGTGCAGACAGACGCCAAACATGCACAGAACTGAGATTGTACAGCTGAGAACTCTTGCACTAGGCTGGTTAATGACTCTACCAGAGTGCGAGTTATACTGGTGGCAGCAGAAGGGTATAACTGTGTACACGCAGCACTTCATAGGGAAACGCTGCTCATACAGACACCAAGCACCACCATGACTTCAAATCAGTGAAGCGCTCATGGTGGCTTGAGTAACACTTTAAGAATATTAGAATGGAGAGGGAAGAGGGATCAGAGACAGATAAATATTAGTACCTCACAATCCTGACTATTCCAACACTAGAAAGCAACCCAAAGATAAGTAACTAAGAAAACTTAACCTTTAATAAATTTAATATAAATTTTTTTTATAAAGTATACAACTCGTAATTAATCATAACATGGTAGATAACGCCAGACTAGCAAAACCATCAAATAATGTGAAACAAGTAAGAAAAATCGAATTAAACGACCAAGCAAGCCGAAGCAGAAAGTAAAAGTATACGTCTCTGGTAGACAAATTAAATGAACGAAAAAGAGACACTAACAACTAGTGGAAACAAATGTAACATATGTGGTAACAAATAAGTATCTATAAGGGTAAAACGCCTAAAATAGAGCACATCGAGGAGAGAAAGGTAAATCGTAATAAAGGGAAGGGATAACTTATAGCTCCAAGTTGTTCCCTAACGTGCCTTCGTGGGCACCCCTTAAAAAATTCTGACTCCTACCCGTTCCCCCCCACATCCACATAGTTGTCTGATAGTAAAAGAAAATTAAAGTAAATAAGGTGAAGGTATAATAAAACCATAGATTGGTGGCTTATCTATAGAGTCATAATAAGTTGCAGCATCATCCCTAATCTAGCCGCCAACCACTACACTAAACTGTCCCGATGTTCGTTTCGCCAAATAATGGCTCTTCCAGAGGAGACGAGTCATGGATGTCGGAGGTTTAAATCTCCTGCCACACAAGACGACTGGTGGAATAAAACACCAACCAGATTGGGGAGGAATGAAGGTAACTCTTAACCCTTTGTGAGATGTGCATGATCATTTTGCATTGGTGGTAATATAAAAATCAATAAAGGAATCAATAGCAAATCTGCCAGAGTTGTATCGACAGTCAGTATTATTTATTTATAAAATATTTTACCAGGAAAGATACATTGAGATTTCTCTCGTTTTTAAGTATGTCCTAGGTCCACAAATCATTGCATTGTTACATTAGGGTACAATAAAATACAAAAACAATATTAATACACATTATATACAAAATTTAACAGATAGGAAATATATAATCAACCATAACACGTGCATTCTGTATTGAGGTATGTAGATAGGGATCTCTTAAAGGACTTTAGGCTTAGGGAAGATTTTAAATTGTGTGGGAGGTCATTCCACAATTGCGGCACTCTGTAGGAGGAGGAGGATCGGGCTGCTTTCTTTTTGTATTGAGGTAGACTAAATAAAGTATTGGTACTGGATCGGAGGTTATAGGAGGTGTGAACAGCCGAGGAGAGCATTTTGTTCAGGTAGGACGGGAGTTTCCCAGAAAAGCTCTTAAACACAAGGCTGGAAAGATGAAGGATGCGTCTGGATTCTAGCGACAGCCAGTCTAGTTCTTTTAGCATGTCACAATGGTGGGTCCCTTAATTACATTGTAGCACAAATCGGCAGAGCAAGTTATATAATGTATTGAGTTTATTAATGTTGGATTGCGATGCAGATGCATATACTACATCCCCATAATCAGTGATTGGCATCATCATTTGCTGTACAATCTTTTCCTTTACTGTAGGGCTTAGGCAGGATTTGTTTCTGTACAGGGCACCTAGTTTTGGATAAAGTTTAGATGCACGTTTTTTTTTTGTGGGTATCTAATCTATACTGTATTATTTAGTTTAATCCTTAGTAGAAAAGCGCATAAAATTGTAAAATAAGCGTAAAGCATGAGAATGGTAATAAAGGTAATGGTAAACAGCACTTTTCATGGAGGGGGCAGCTTGTGCATAATGACTTCATTTAAAATCCAAGGCTGAAAGCAGCCCTTTACCCCTCTCCTCAGTCTGTGCTAAATCTATGCCGATCAGCACAGAGATGAAAAGGTTGTGCGCTGCATGTCTGTTATCAGGGAAACTCCTCCCGGCATCTCCCCTGCATGTATTCAACTTAAAGAAAAGCAATGACCACAAGGGGAAGTAGAGAGGAGGCGCAGGCTTTGTGTGAGAGTAGCATTAGAGAAAGGAGAGAGATTTATTGCAGCACCATTGGACAGACAATCTCAAAATGGACAATCTCTTAACCTGTTATGGGAAGCAAGACACCTACCCAAGACACCGCCGGTAGGTGTCTTGCTTCCCATAACAGGTTAAGAGTCCCCAACATTTTATATTGACCTTTTGGAAATAAAATGCATCGGTTCTCTCTCCATTCTGAGATTCTGCCCAGTGGTGCTGTAATAAATTATAACATGATTGATTGATTGCCCTCAGCAGGTGACACGGTAATGTAAACAAAATATGTGCTTTTAATAATTTTTAGGGAAGAAAAACTGAATTAAATAACACGAGCCAAGCCAGATGGTTAGAAAAAAAAACTGCAAACCTATCGCTGTCATGACTGGTTAACTTTTAAGCTTTTTCTACACTTACTGTATGCACATACAGACGCCAAGCACCACCACGATGTCAAATCAGTGAAGTGGTCATGGTGCTTTGACTAGCCCTTTAAGCATGTCTCATGGTGCCTCTTTTTAACTTCAGAATAATTTGTATTCACTTGCAGAAATACCGGTGAATACTGAAAGCCCAACATCATTGGATAACTTGGACAGTGTTAGCACAAATGGTGTCTGTGAGCCAGAAGCTGATAATCTAGAAAGTGTGTTTAATCAAGGTGAATCAATACATTTTATTTATAGTAGAACTACTGTTCCTCCAGTACACGTTTCCATTGTATAGATTTATGCATTCCCTACACTTGTTTTATTCCATGTAAACATTATATGAAACTATTTACTTCCAGACCAGCCTGTGTGCTCAGTACCTCCAAATGAAGTGGACAACACTGATTGTGTGTGCACAAATGATGTCTGCAGTACAGACACTTGTAATATAGAAAGTGTTGCTAATCAAGGTGCGTAGGTTCACGGTGTCTTTCAATGTTTTAAGAATGGCAGCACAGGTCACTGTTTGGAGTGAGTTTTTCATTGTCACACATCAACATAAGTTTTAAAGAAGTCCAGACTCGAGGCTTCAGAATTTTGTCAAATTTAAGATAGTTTGATGGTTACATTTTGTTTTTATTTTATGTGCATTGTGAATTACAAGCACAAAATGTACATTAACAAAACTTTGCATAATATTTTTTTTTTTTTACCTTTTATTTTTTTCTTCAAAGCTGCAGCTGATCCAGAGACTAAACATATTTCCAGAGTTTAGCTGTATTAGGAACGCAAATGGCATTAACTGTAGGATTCCCTAACAATATATTTCACACAGATAACCATCCTTGAAGTGTAAAGTTTATCTCATGTGCTTGCTTTCCTCTGCTCACTTGTAATATGCCATGATGCTACTAAACCAAGCTAAAGACGTTCATGTAGTTCTCATTACTACATGTTTGCCTGGGTATCCTCTTATTCTAATCCAGGTTACTTGGCCTCCAGTAGTACAGATCACTCAGTGCGGTCAATGGCTGAGCTGTGTACATACATTAAGTAATTCATTTAACAGTATGTTTGTCGATAGGCAGGTGTATGGTGCAAAAAGAAAATAGGCAACAAATAATCACAAATTAATAGCAATATTTACTTTGGAGTGAAAGACTGTATACACCCTACAGCAGGGGCTCATAGTACATCTTGCACTAAGGGACTTGTCATAAAGAGATTTTCAATGCACACCATCATTTTACCTTCATTGACTTACTAGTTCTCATGGTCTCTCATATGGGAATCACAATTTTAATATGCTATGGCAAACTGATTGAAAAAGCATATGACTGCCTAGGGCACTGGGTTTCAGTAATGGGAATCTGTATTACCTTGGTAAAGAAAAAAAGCTGACCAAAGGTTGGAAACAAAGGTTTTACTTTGCTTACAGCTAAATAACATAAGAGATGCTTACCTGTGAGAGACAGTCTTGTAACTTGCTCTGCAAAAGGTGATGATCAGTTAATGCCTATTTGTGTTTGCAGGCACATTGTGTCCTGTACCGGAGCTTGGCACAGACTCTTTGTACATGAGTGAGCTTTATGAGCCAGAAGCTGATGATCTGGAAAATGTGGATAATGAAGGTGAGCCCTACATTTACCTCACTATTAATCTAAACGTGTTTTTGGTGTGCTGGTCTGCTAAATAAAGTGTGAGACCCACTACAATAAAACTTGAATGGGCTATTACTTTTTATTTACTGACCCAAAAATATTTCTGCCATGAATCATACCAGTTTCTGACTCCCTCTTACCCCATACTCTCTTCCTGGCTTATTAACCTTTTTCCAATTTTTATTTACTCATTGTCCCCTATACTCTCTCCAACCCCATCCCTTTTATTCCCATTTTCAACTTTTATCACACTAATTCTCTGCCAGTTTATAAGCCTCTATTCCCTCTTTTCTAACATTCTAACCTTTCCAGGTTCAGCCATTCCTTCTCACTGTCTTGTCTCCTGCTTGCCTGTCATAGCAGAAAAGAACTTGGGTGCACACCAAGAAAATGGATCAGCTTGATGCTGCTGTAGAGACCAAACATTATGTAAAATACATGCTATTTTTTGTTTTGCTCTACTTTTTTAAATGTGCTTTCAGTATACAGAGTTGTTACAAGTGTGTTCCCTTCAGAGATACTAGTGTGTAGTTTGTGTCCAGTAACAATGGTTAAAACTGGTAATGTCTTTGAGCCTGAGCTTCTTTTGTTTCTGACACAGAAAATTAAGGATGGCTTTACACAAAACCTAAAAATACAATGTGCAATGCTGGATGTAGTGCAGTCTGGCATGTACAGAGACTACTGGTAAAGCTAAATTAAACAAACTCTTTGTTGCATTCTTTAAAAACCAGCACAAACCATAGAGGTGGGCCCAATCAAATTTAGATTCAAATGATCCTAATGTGATTGATTACTAAATGGAAATCCCATGAACTTGGGAAATAAAAATAAAAAAAACCTCATGTCCAGGAGTTAAAATGTAAATCTGATAGAAAATTTGAGAAGTTTGCAAAAATTATAAACATATATATGGTACAGATGTGTAAATAGCCCACAAAGAGAATGTAGGAGCACACTTGGTGCGGAGTCTCTCTGTGAACACCTGGCTTTGTAAGGAAGGAGAAATCATGGCACCCATAGTTCTTTATGCAGAACAGCTCACTGTAGTAGTTATTCCTTTAAAGAGACACTGTAGGCACTATAGCCATTCCATCTCAATGAATTGGTTATAGTGCCTGGAGTCCCCTGGCACTGGCACTCCATTCAGAGAGAAGTTATTTCTGAGCAGTTCTCGATTAAATAGTCCCTGGCCTCCCACAGACAAGCCTCTACTGAGCTATGGCTAAGACCGAGATTACACACTGCATTCTAGCCATACCAATTCATACTAGCAAAGGGTGCTATGATAGGCTGAAAGCTGTCAGCTGACATACTCAGCCACTCACAAGCACCCATTACTACTCAGTCTGGTATTTCAATAGCCTAAGCAGGGGATGGGTTGCTGGGTATCCTTTATTATTTAAATGGAAGAACAGTGCCACGGGACTTCAGACACTATGACCACTATAGTGCCAGGAAAACAAACTCTGGCTGAAGGGGGTTAAACACTCACCTTTTTTCAGCGCTGGGGACTCTCCTCCTCCGTTGGCAGTCATCGGCTGAATGCGCATGCGCGGCAAGAGCCGCGCGCATTCAGTCAGTCCATAGGAAAGCATTCTCAATGCTTTCCTATGGACGCTGGCGTCTTCTCACTGTGAAAATTACAGCGGGAAACGCTTTTAGCGGCTGTCAATGAGACAGCCACTAGAGGCTGGATTAACCCTGAAGTAAACATAGCAATTTCTCTGAAACTGCTATGTTTACAGCAGGCAGGGTTAATCCTAGTTGGACCTGGCACCCAGACCACTTAATTGAGCTGAAGTGGTCTGGGTGCCTGTAGTGGTCCTTTAATTGAAATGAAACTGCATAGATTGGCCAGAGTTAAAGGAACACTAACCGTGATAAAAGGTGCATTAAATGCTACCCGAGAAGCCGCTTTTAGAAGGAATTGGACATCATTTTGATTGTGGGAGGTCTCTCTATAGGTTGCAGGAGATCCTCCTATAATCTAGGTGAGAATGAGTTCACTATCCAGCAAGCTGCTAACATTTCTAATTAATGCAATACCAACTGAAGGTAGAATATTCACAGATGAGTTAAAGCACAAAGCATATTCAGTGCTGCTTCTTGTCACCAAATAGCTCTGTAGCAATAATTTGAGTGCGTAAATCTCTATACAATTCCAGTGAAGGAATAATATGGAAGCTGTAACAGGGAGGGATGGTGGATGACGTCCTGAACAAGGAACCAACTTTCTGAATTGCTTTTTACATGGCATCTCTCTCTATTATGTCATTTCTAAAGTTCTGTTTCCTAAACTATATATTTTTTGTTTCCACTAGAGTTGTCCTCTAGCTCCACTTTCACCTAGTCAGTGCAGTATTGACAGTCTGCGCTATAGGTAAGACTTTACCATTCCACCTTTATTTTTATCTAAACTACCCATACTACACTAATAAACGGTTTGTTTTCTTCTTTCAGCTCCATTTTACCTTACTTCAGGACTAATTTCAAGATATGTATATTTAATGTATTAAAAGAGGAAGGTTTTTGGTGAAATGTATGTGCTGTTATTAGCATGTGCTCTTTCAAGTTTGTCATATCTTTGGGAGAGTCTCCTCCTTTTCGTACCGGTTTTTGGTGGGGTTCTACAGTATGTAAGGTTTTGTTTCTTTTGAATCACTGGTATTTAGACTGATTGCTTATATCACTGCACTTATTTATAAGCAATTTAGAGTATATTTGTGTTTTTTTTTGTAATAATAAAAGTGTGCTTTCTGTTGCAGACTTGCTCTTCCAATTGATATTCAGACCGTAGCCATCCTATTATACCATCTACACACTTAATCACTCTTAGGCACATGCTTTTGCTTACAGTGATAAATTAGTGCATGTGTCAGAGATTGGGGGGAACTTGCTTTCAAATTTATGACTGAAATCTTATTGCCACTTGTGTGCGCAGATGATGTAGTCAATCAAAATGTTTGCTTGTGTCCAGATAATATGAGCCACCATTAGTTTTTGTTTGCTTGACGATCTCTTCATACTGTAGATTTCTGTAATCTGAAGATTTTGTTGAATATACTTTTCAGAGCTTTCTGAGTTCTACATACATTGTGATACCAGCAGTACCTTTAGATACATGTTAGTGGCACAATAGCTGCCTGACACGTTTACTCTTATGTTATTCACTTGAGAATTATGCGGAATTTACTTGATAATAAAATAAGATTGCTTGAATTTGGTTATTTTGTCAATTCACTGTTTAAGTTAATAAACTTAACCTAGCTAACAACCACCCCAACTTGCCTGTATGGTAAAAAGCTCTAATCATACTCTGATGGACCCCCTCCTCTTGCCTGACTAGAATGATGTGGGAACAACTCTTTTTGTTAGGTTTTTGTGTTTTTTGTTTTGCTTTTTTAATTAAAAAACAATTTATCAAAGAGAATGCATTAAAACGAAGAGAAACTCAATCCCTACCTTTAGTATATGACAGGATCCTTCAGCTATATACATAAATCTTTGATCAGACCGTGTTTAAAAAAAAAAAAAAAAAAAAAACTCTGTCTCTGTGGTCTTCCCTGCTTCACTTACTGCATCGAAGCAGGGAAGACCAAAGAGACTGCTATTTTCAGATAGGGATGAGTTTCTAATTTAATTTTTTTTATAATTCATTAAAGTATTTCCTTTCAAAACTTGATGAAAGGATTATCATATTAAAAATAGTTTTAATGTGACAGTTGTCCTTTAAGTTCCAGTTCAAGTGTATGCACGTTTATCCAGGCCCCACTGGGTAAGGTTAGCGTAACTTGCAACCATTTACTGTGGAGACCTCTTTAAATTATTTCACCAATAGGATGTGTTATGGAAAAGATATAAGGGAACCGGCTCTTCTTTTGATAATAGTGCTTACAAAACAAAAACTAACCCTCAAGCCAGTCCACAACTATAAAAGTATAAATTACAAACACAAAACAAATCCTTTGGCACCAAGTTACATCGTGACAAAGTTTCCCTCTAGCATAGACTGTCCCTTCTGCCTCAACTCATTTTGAGTCAAAATTCATCATCCCCTCATTAAATAATGAAAGTCTGAGTCTGCTGATCACTCGTGATTGTGAATTAATGAGAGAATTGGTGGTGACAATAGTCCAGTACCCTCTCTCTCCTTAATACTCCTAACCCCATTTAAATTAGGGAGGGGGAGCATTTACCACTATTTTTCTTTTTTTTATTTGTTGCATTTTATATAGCATGCTCTTATTCTGCAGCTCTGTTTTTGTTACTACACTATCCGTGTTAGATTTGGATAATTTCAAACATAAATTGCAACAAATAAGTAAATCTATTTTTAGATATTTAGTATACTTTGTGTACAAATCATTCTATGCAAACCTGCAAAAAAATTCTTGAAATTTTCTAACTTTTGTATTTTATTTTTTTAAATATACCCATACATAAGTCATCAGGACTAAGCCTTAACTTTTCTTCAAGCAAAATATGTTGTCCATGGTTGCTCAAAATCAGAATGTGGAAATTTGCATCTGAACCAACACATAGAAAAACCATTCACTGGCGGTCCTCTGATTTCATTTTAAAACAATATTTTGTCTCTTTGATACATAATCTAGATTAGTGTTGGGGGCCCCACACTATGTATCTTTGAACTTTGGTCTGGACACATCTTTATGACCTATATTTTTTATATTTATAATGATCTTTTCATGGTTCTTATGTTTGATCAATGTCATTGTTTATATATGAATAAATATTTTGTGTATATGTATATTTTTATTTTATTCTACAGCTGCTGTTTTGGAGTATAATTTTTCTAGTGGTCATAATTTATTTGGAGCACTCACATACCCTTGTTGGTTTATATTTTATTTGGTTATTTAGTCGCTCCTCTGTATGTGACGCAGCCCTTTTTATTATTTTGCACAGATTTATTGTACACTCCTATTCAGATTCTTTTGATGTTTATTGTATCGGTCCTCTGATTCCCTCAGACAAAGAATGCTGACTGGTCTGACTTCTGTGGAAGCAAGATGTCATCACCGGCTACTGGAGGAGCCTCTGAGCTCATTGGGGACCCAAGTAAGAGGACAAACTGTTTAACAGTTTGCCCTACTACTGAGGATCCAGGCCAGAGTACATCTAGTACATAATCACTAAAGTGGGCTTTAAGAAGTTTGACTTTAATCACATTCTGTGCATGACCATTTCTAAATAAATGTTGCTGAAGCTTAGTGCACTATCCAATTTCTTACCTGCCTTATAAATCCTTATTTTGCTATGTACCGTAACTACGGTTAGTATCACATGAATTGTTGCTATTTAGTTCAAGGTTCTGACGCCAACTTAGTGATCAAATGCAGTCTGATCTCTTCACTTTCTGTTAGTGTCAAAGTTCTAGAAAAGTATGTCCACTGATAATTATGCAATCGTTCCCAACAATATGTTTTTGATGTATTTTCAGTCTAGCATGCCAAACAGTCTTTATTCTTACTGCTTTCTTAAGTGTGCAATAGCATCCAAAGTGACATTGGGGCAAAGAGAATCATAAACCATTTTCCTGAATTTGACAAGTTGTTGACCCCACAATCTTGCTAAATTAGTAAAAAGAAGTCACCTAGCACCTTCCCACAGTAAGTAGTCAAACCTTTTTTGAACGGTTTGACACTAACATGGGTTCCTCGGAATCTGCATTTCTTTCTGTCTTCTTTAAATGTTTTAAAGGAATTCTATAGTGTTAGGAATACAGATTTGCATTCCTATCATTATACTGCTCTCTGCTCCCTTCCCACCGGCACATAAAGGGTTTAAAACCCTCTATTTACTCAACGATTCCAGCGTTGATGTTCCCTTGGATCCCTTAGTCACAAATCCTGACCACACTTAGTGTTCATATGCTTTTTGCATTTTTCACACACAAACTGCACTGTCACCAGTATCGTCATTATAAATTTAACTGCTCTAAAACTCTCCTATTGGGCAAAATATAGGGCTTGTGCATTTCAGCCTTCATACCTGGAGATTTTGACAGTGATTTTTTTGGGGCATTTGAGAGAGTATCACAGCCTGGGTAATAACTTCTCCACCATTATGGCATACCACTTTCAAAAGTAGGCATCCCAGAGGTTTCCAAAATGTCATAATCCTGATGATGTGAGTTAGTTCAATAAAGCCTTTATATTTTTATTTCACATTCTCACGAATAAGAGGGTACACCCATTTACTGGTTTTGGTAAGTCACACAGTAAAATATAGAAGATGCCTTTTTCAATTTGTAAAATAAAATAAAGTGGTTTTCTGGGCTTATGTCATCTTTGACACCCTTAGAACTTAGAATTGCACCTATACGGCATACCATTTGCATAAGCACCAGTATTCCTTAAGGTGTGGATTTAACCAATTTTGTGTTGCTATTTTATCGGTCATTTGTGCAATTTGTCAGGAATGGTTTTTGATAGTGTGTTCAACCCATTTGCGAATCTTGCATTTTTCAAGATGATAAATTCATTGTGTATGGCAATCTGCAACACATTGCCCCTACATTTTAAGAGTATCCGGTAGTCTTAAAGGTTGGTCAGGTACATGAACATCCCAGTGTGCTTGCTTAATGCCACAATATACCTGGTCTTCCTTAAAGGGACACTATAGTCACCAGGACTACAGCTTGTTGCATTTGTTCTGGTGAGTAGAATCATTACCGTCAAGCTTTTTGCAGTAAACACTGTCTTTTCAGAGAAAATGCAGTGTTTACATTACAGCCTTGTGATAACTTCACTGGCCACTCCTTAGATGGTTAGTAGAGGTTTTTCTGGGGCAATCCTGCCTAGTGTGCATCACAACATTCAGTGTCTCCATTCTCATGCTGACACTGAACTTTCCTCCTAGAGATGCAATGATTCAATTCAGCTCTATGAGGAGTTGCTGATTGGCCAGGGCTGTGTTTGACTTGTGATGGCTCTGCCCCTGATCTGCCTCCTTGACAGTCTCAGCTAATCCTATGGGGAAGCACTGTGATTGGCTCAGACCACCCCTTTTGATGAGGTCAGAGACAGACAGGGGCAGAGCCATCAGCTCCAGACTTGAATAGAAGTAAGATTTTACTATATTTAGGGAGGCAAGGGGGAGGGTGGGGGGTGCGCAGGGAGGCTAGATGGTGGTTTACACACTATAGGGTCAGGGATACATGTTTGTGTTCCTGACCCTGTAGTGTTCCGTTAATCTCCAATTTTACTTCAGATTTAGACTTCTATGTCATAGATGGTGGAGATGGTTATCAGCTACAACTTAAGGCACAACAAGTGAACGGAAAAACAAGCAGTCACCCGATTAAACTGAAGTTTATTCAGCACCAGATAAGGAAAAACAGGAGTTTTTGCTTGACCTTTTCCCAATAACGCATTTCGGATCTCAGTGTCCTTATACGTAATGTGACGGAATGCCGTCACTGAGTACTATGCTCCCCCCCTTCTCCCCGTGAATATACCGAACCCCCATCTGTGTGGTATCCTTGTTTGCAAATCATGTTTAGGCTTGATTAGAAGATTTGTGCTTGTCCCAATCTAAACATGATAAAGATGAGGCCTGAGTATTGATCTGTGGGTGGATATTGATGTCTCTTGGATGTGATATGGAAACACAGGGTTTTTTTTTTTGGTTTGTTCTTGAAAGCTAATGATTATTAACATATCAAAGGACTCCCTAAGAGGCAATCAAGACCTACGGCAAATGAGAGCTTTAGTTTGTGCTGAAGCCAGACTCCCAGGCTACTTGTGTGTGTGACGTCTCACACCTGGCAGAGTGGCTTTGTTGTGGTCCCAGCTTTAAAGAGGAACTTGGATTGTAAGATTTGAACTTCCATGCAATTACCGTATATATTCTAGTATAAGACGAGTTTTTCGGCACATTTTTTGTGCTGAAAACCCCCCACTTGTCTTATACTCGAGTCACTGTCTGTATTATGGCAACTTACATTGCCATAATACAGACCAGGACCGCCGAGCTCATTACAAGCCTGACGGTCCTGTTGAGGGCTGACTTCTCTCTCGTCCGGTCAGCTCCACTGTAAGTCTCGCGAGAGCCGCCGGGTCAGACCGTGGCAACGCTCCCCGCGGCAGTCAAAAACGAGGCTTACAGTGGAGATGACAGGAGCTGCAGGGAAGGTAAGTTACAGCTCTCTGCCAGCCCCCTCCTACAAAGCCCATCCACTGGACCACCAAGGAATGGGAGCCCCCCTCCCTGGCCAGCTAACAAGCAGAGAGGGGGGACAAAAAAATTATAAATAAAATAACAAAATAAAAATGCCCACCCCCCACCACATACAGACACTCTGCATCACACACTGCATTCATTATATACACACACTGTAAATAAATATTCAATTAATATTTTTGGGGGGATATAATTTTATTTAGAAATTAACCAGTAGCTGCTGCATTTCCCACCCTAGTCTTATACTCGAGTCAATAAGTTTTCCCAGTTTTTTGGGGGGTAAAATTAGGGGTTATATTCGGGTCGACTTATACTCGAGTATATACGGTAAACCCTTTGGAAATATTGAATTGTTTGGAACTATTGTAGATTTGTCTGTACCTGAGGGATAATTAAATTAAAAATCTCTCTCAGGCACAGAGGACCATGTAGGGGACTGGGCATAAAAGCCGCGTTGGTTCCAATAAACTTCAGTTGTACTCCCAGAGCTATGTGTCGTCTAGTTACTAAGAGGGGAAAGGGCTATGATTATGCTTAGTACCTTGTTCCAGCTTGTGGAGGGCTCAGTGGGGAAAGTCCTGGTAAGGTCTAGAGCTCCCAGGACATTGTATCGTCCAATCCCTGGGAGGGAATAGAGCTAGTCCCCTCTCCTGTTCCAGCTAGGAAGCTGTCCTTGGCAGAGATATCCAGCCGGGGTACAGGGACAGTTACACTTAACATATTGGAGGACCCAGACGCTTTAGAAGTTTATGCTTGAACTTTTCACTAGTTTTGGTTTTTTTTTCTGGTGCCGAATAAACTTCAGTTTGGTTCAGTGAGCGCTTGTTGTGGTGGGGGTTTTTTTTTTGTGTGTGTGTGTATTTTGTTATATTATTCCTGGGATTTGTCTGGTGTCTCCTCAATCTTCAGGTGAGTTGGGTTCTTTGTCTCCCCTTGCTTTTCAAGCTGATGTATTGATGTTTTCATTTTATAGGCAACTGATGCTATCTGTATGCCTGGTCCAACCTACTTATTTTTGATTGTTTCATTTCTATATCAACTGCCAGACTTACAGCACTACAAATGATTGGGATAATATGTAGTGGGTCTTTTGTAGACCATTTTAATAGTGTTTTTGCTTTAGTATATAATATTCACATGGTTACAATTACAATATAATTTGCATTTAGAATATCAATTACAAGCTATCCCCATTCAGTAAATGCATGAAAGGGAGTCAGGAACACATCAAAGGGGGTCTATTATAGATTAATCTATTATATAGATTGTCTTGCAAGCTGTAGGTAAACCAATGTTCTTTAAATCCTGTTTTGTTTTTTTAATTGTTTAAATATTTATAGAAATCCAATTGTTCTGTCCTGTTAAGAAATGTATTCCGTAAGCTTGAAATTCACAATTTAAAGGAGCACAAAATACATTTTAAACAAGATTTATCAAATTAAAATAAAACACCATCTCAATTCGTCACAGTATCTAGTTTCATGAATATAACTACTTCTTCTTTAATTAGTTTATATTTTCATTCGCCCGTGTCTTCCAAAATCAACAGGACCTCTAGCAGTAGCATAATATCAATCCAAGATACTTGAGGGAATGCAGACTGAAAATTCTGAAAGTTACAGGATACAGAAAACAAAAACCTTTATGAAGACCATTTAAATTAACTTAATTAAAAATATAATGTAGTAGATAACTCCAAACCAGCGCCCACGCGGGTCTGCCGGCACTGGCTCCGGCCCCCTTGGTGACATCAGAATTGCATGTCATGGGGGAAAGCATTAGATTGGATAAAATCGGCAAGGCCAAGCACTGTTTTGGCCAATCGGCACCTCCTCATAGAAATGCATTGAATCAATGTATCTCTAAAGAAAATTCAGGGGACGCTAAGCAGCAGTACTGCCTACTGTACAGCACTGCCCCAGGAAGCATCCCCAGTGGCCACTTGGAGGTGTCCCAAGGGACACCTCCAACACTGCCTTTCTTTTGATAAGGCAGTGTTTGCATTATAATGCCTGAACGCAATGATTATACTCCCCAGATCAACTATATTAAGCTATAGTTGTTCTGGTGATTCTAGTGTCCCTTTAATTACATAAAATGTAGCGCCAGGTAATGCTCCCAAGTGCTGCTTTCCACGACCCCTCCTGATGATATGCTTGTTCTTGCAAGGTTCAATAAAAAGGCCTGCAGTTGTGCGGCCAAAACTACGAAAAGCCTTTGATTGGACTGTTTTACTACCTCGGCAAGAAGAGGGAGCCTTTTAAAAACTAAAAGCAGGCTAGAGGGAGTGGAAACACAAGACTCCGGTTCTGCCTGCATTGCGAGAATCCATGTATATCGGTCACCAACATGCTGTGCGCACAGACAACATTTAACACATGCACAGAATTGAGATTTGGTAGTCTGATTTTCCACAATACCTAGTTTAGTGTCCGGTAGCATGAAAAGGGGGTTGGTTATGTGTGCAGCTTTGAATAGTTTTGATAAAACACAGGAGATTCATTGGCATGTTCAAGCTTGGCCCATCTGATCCACAATCATAATGATAAATTTAACTACCTCTTTTCCTGTAAAACTATTTGGACGGAGTGAGCCTGCTCTACATGCTTACACTAAGCAGTAGCAGGCTTTGAGCACCGAGTAAAAGGATTTAGCCACACCAAACTCAAAGAAGTCCTATCCATGTTTTGTATAAAATGCCAAACCTGTGGCTATTAATTTATTGGATAACTGTTGGGATTTGCTATATAAATTAGTACACCATTTAAAAATATAACATACTAATACTACAGGAGTTTGTAGTTACATTTGAATCATAAAAATTATAAAGTACGTAAAAAGATACAATTCAGTTTACATCATCAGAAAAAGTCAAGGATTAAGTTTGCACTATTCTTTCACCCAAAATATACCATACTTGATAATGTCTGTCTCCTTCTGCCAGAAAGTCTGTATTCTGTACACACAATATAACCTTGTAACAGTTACTGCTTGTAAATTGCTTTCCACATCATTCAAGTTGAAATAAATAAAGTATAATCACAAGAAAGATTTTAAAGCATCGATTAGTATCTTGCTCCCCATCAGGAAATAATCCTTATATAATCCAGAAGGTCTAAGCTGTACTTTCTCTACAACCTAGGTGGCCAAGCAGGACTCCAGATCTGGTAGATGATCGGTAGTTTGTGATAACCAGCATCAATAACTAGATCCTGTTTGAGGTATTGGTTCACCTGCTTTAGCTTGGAGCAGATGTTCATGATGGCAAAGTATGAAAATATTTCACATAGGAAGTTCTTGAAGTATATATCACTTGACATTTTCAGGTTTTTGTAGAGGTAGATAGAGGTTCGTTCCAGGAATGACAAATTCTCCCTCTCCTTCTATAAGAGAATCCCACTGATTGAAGTCTTTCTGGAGACCTGGTTAACAAAGATGTATAATGGGCAAGATGTCATGGTGGCCCTTGTCACTTTACAAAGCCAATCAATAATTGTATACACAGTGTATATTTGTCTATTTTTCACTCTTTAACAGAAGCAACGATAATCCTTAAAGGACCACTATAGTGCCAGGAAAACACTTGTTTTCCTGGCACTATAGTGCCCTGAGGGTGCCCCCACCCTCAGGGACCCCCTCCCGCACGGCTCTGGAAAGGGGAAAGGGTTAAAAACGTACCTTTTTCCAGCGCTGGGCGGAGAGCTCTCCTTCTCTCCTCCTCCGATCCTCCTCCTGGGCTGAATGCGCACGCGCGGCAAGAGCTGCGCGCGCATTCAGCCCGTCGCATAGGAAAGCATTTACAATGCTTTCCTATGGACGCTTGCGTGCTCTCACAGTGAAAATCACAGTGAGAAGCACGCAAGCGCCTCTAGTGGCTGTCAATGAGACAGCCACTAGAGGGAAGGCTTAACCCATTAATAAACATAGCAGTTTCTCTGAAACTGCTATGTTTATTAAAAAAATGGGTTAACCCTAGAAGGACCTGGCACCCAGACTACTTCATTAAGCTGAAGTGGTCTGGGTGCCTAGAGTGGTCCTTTAAAGATATTGGTTTGGCAAATGGCCATTGACTAATTAGAATTTATAGTTTTTGCCATTAAAAGGCACACTTACCTAGGTTTATTATACCTTCTGTTACACATTTTGAATGTATACAGAAATACAGTTTTAAAGCAATACACTAAACATCATTACCACTACAGACTGCTGATGTGAAGGAGACCCTGGTGCTGTTCCATGGTAAAAGCCAAACGGTTTTGCAATGGTTTGGATTTTACCTGGATTTGTGCAGGCTCCAAGCCTCAAACAATGGTGGCTGCCCCACATTTTTTAGCCTCTACTGATCCATTCATTGACTGAGAGTCAACTGAGTTTTAGACAGGCCTAAAACTCAAAAGTTCTCCTGAACACCAAATGTGTTTTTTTACGACAAATCTCAATATAACCAGACCACATCATTTGTTTTTCATTATCTCCCTCTGACTAGCTATTCCAAAATAAGCTGTCTCCTGGTGTTGGTGAAGGCATTAGAGAGCTGGTTAAATAATGGTTCAGGCACTCCGGGATCAAGCTTGATAAAGACCCGGTAGGGTTGAAACATTGCTGCTTTTGCCCCAATAAAGTGGCTATTTCTGTTATTCCGGGGTGCCTGAACCCTTATTTATTCTGCATATGCTAGAAGGGAGGCCTGGCAAGCCATGGCTTCGAAGAACCTGGGTTATTTGATGAGTGCGGTATCCAGTACGTCTCTACTATTAGAGAGCTGGAGGCAATTGCAAACTGCTAGGTTGGTTTTAACACTTACCCAGATGTCTCTGCAGAAACGCTAATGTCACATTAATAATAATGTCCATTCCTATGTATGGATCAATTTCTCCCTTTAACTTAAATATTTTTCCCACCAAGTTGCCAGTCAAGAAGGTGAAATCTGGAAAACTCTGATGTACGGTGCCCCTGGAATAAAATTAAAATAAATTCCATGTAAACATGTACAATTTCAATCAATAAAAATAAAAATTGCAGAATATTTTAACCATGTTTAAGATTGTCCTGTTTAGTTTTACTAAAATTAAGCTGTAACAATTAGCCGTTAAAAACAAAGTTAACCATTCTTACACAGTGACTCTGCCTACAGTGCTTTACAAAGATTAACATTCATACACTAATTGATAATTACATATTGATTCTGTAATAGAGTAGTTAAAGGATATTGAGCTTACAAAGAATATAAAACAAAGTTACATTGAACAAAATTATTGTATATAATTTAATAGACGTGTGCATGGACAAAACATTTGGTTTGTCCAATATTTTTGTTGTTTCTGAGAGATTTTGTCTATGTGATCATTTTGGGGAAAGAGATTCTGACGAACCAAGTTAGAGCTAAATTGGCTAAAATTGTACTGCAAAATAAACGCAATATACATGTTTACACGCCTTTTGGCTCACCTATCCAGTGAGAAGACGTAACAAGTAGAAGAGAATAAAGGCGGAGCAGTAAAAAGTAATCTGCATTTATATATTTGTTGTAATTGTTTGTATCTAGGATGCCCTTTGATATTATAAGATTTAACAAGGTTTTGCACGCCTTTCTATTTAATATGACTTAGCAATAGCATACATTTTACAGCCAAATTAGAACCTGCTTGTTTCAGGGTAAGACTCATTCTACATGTACTCGATGGAGGATTCCTGCAGTAGCAGTGACAGTAAGTGACCTGCCAATTGACTGCCTATCTTTAAAGAGGTACCATCACTTCTCCTAAACCATTGAGAATTACCTATATGATATGGCTGCCGGTATTCAAGCATGACTATAATGTAGTAATCAATTAAACACTCTGTATGTGCAGCGTTTCAGCTTGAAACATGGCCTAAGAGGTGCAATCCATGACTATGTGCCGGGGTTTAGTTCCACTGCATGCGCGATGTAGCGTCCACTGCTTTGGATAGAGAAGGATTGGAACCAATGCTTCTTTATCAGAAGAAGCTGATTGGCGAGTTGCAGTGCTCGCTGTGTATGTTTCAAAAGTCCAACAATGAGAGGAGGAGGTAACAACTGAGTACATGGCCTGGGTTGATTTAGTAAATGAACCATTACTTTTTCCACTGAGTGCCAGTTCGTGTTGGGCAACTTTTTTTGTTGGCAAATTAAAACATAAGAACTTTCTTTTTTTTTGTCTTGTATTATATTCTGTATGAATATCTGAAACACCTGGATTTATTCACTAAACAATTAAACGTAAACTAAAAATCAAATAGCACAATTTAGATTTAAATAGCCAGGCTGTGACTAAAGTGCAATTTTTCGCCATTAATATTTTAATTTGTTACATTTTGGAGTGTAAGGAGATTTATGCAATGGTGATCATTACGGTCTTTGCAAAAAAAATTAAAACCTAGTTTATTTTTTTAATTCACTCACTTGATTGTGATCATCTTCCTCTCCACACGAGTGGAGTCCATTTTTTTCATTAATAATACATTTTCCACCCACTGGAACTTTTCAGAATTGACAAATAATACCGGCTGGTTGATGGCAGAAAATATCTCCTCCCTTAACGGAAACATCCATGCATCTAGCGCTATTCCACACCTAAAAAAAACAATAAGAACAATTGTTTGTATCTAGATGTCGGTTTCAAAAATCCTCAAGGTGACACAAAGAGCGGATTCCCTCAAAGTCACATAGTGCATATCTAGGATCACACCTAATTCATGCTGGATACATTTTGAAATGTATTCACTAAACATCAAGTTGTAGCGAATTGAAAACTAAATTGCTAAACTTTAGAAAAAAAAATGTTGATTTGAGCAAATTCTCCAACTCTAATCATATCATACCGTGGCTATTTTATTTAGCCCAAATTTCTCAAATCAGTTTTTTTTTACAGCTAGATGTTTAGTGAATAAACCCCTTCGTTTACATCAGATGTTTACTCCCACACAGTTCTGGACACCCAATGTCCCTGGGCAGGAACATTGTTACATTAGATATAATATATATATATATATGGAAAAACAGCACGTTTATCAACACAATATTGGATGGTTTTAAAAATGTTAGACGCGTAGGCATGTTTAAATCTGTTTACCAGGGTCTAATAAAAACAAAATAAAACATTGCTATGTAATCTTTCGATTTAGCAACCTCCATGCAAAAATCTGCCAGATCTTCTCTTTGTGCCACGGCACTTTAAGTGTAATTTTTAATGGGACTTGCGTCATTTGACTGGTAATTTAAACCAGCAAACAAGTACAGACAGATACAGACACAGGCATGCGCATGCCTCTATATAGAACCAAAGACAAACCCATGAATTTATAAAGAGGCTTAGTAAGCCCTAGCCTTTACTCAAAAGCATTGCAAGACAATGGGCTTCCCTATGCCTATGTATAAAGGCATACGCATGTCTGTGTCTCCATGTTTCGGTGTTCTACAATTTTGAAAGAAAAGAGACAATAAAATCCTTTTAAAAAGAAAGATGGTGTCCAAGGCATGGAAATCCTAGGTAGTGGAATCGCACGCCAGGATACCAAAATAGGACGCTATCTACTAACCACCTGAAAGAGGAGACATAACAAAAGGCCTTTTTGTTAAATTTGAGCGCTCAGTTGCTTCATAGATAAGTCCCAAATTTGGTATCCTTAATTATGGCAATCACATGTACGGATAGGATATGGCGCTATCAACTAAATAACTGAAAGAACAAAAACGATGGAAAAAGCAGACCTTTTCTTAATTTCGCGGTTTCAATTAATAGATCTAAAAATTTGTCTCAGTTCGTTGAATTTTCCGTCGAAATTCAATTTGTATGATAATGAATGCACATGTCTTCTATGAACCAAGTCAGATTGCATTATTGGGTTGGAGTGTTGTCCGTCCGTTTATTTTTGACATTAGGGTTGTGAGGTCTATTCTGCAATGGGACATTCCCTATTCCTTTCTTTGATTTCTGTATGTATACATATTTCTTCGTTGACCAAACTTGTCTTAAATTGTGATTTCACATAAAGATGAAAAAAATAAAATAAAGTTTATTGATGGCGTTCGTATTCTTACCTGAATCGTGAATCTCTGCCGAGAGCCTTGATTGCTGTGGCAGCTCCAAATGAGTGTCCAACGGCCGCAATGCTTTTGACATCAAGAGAATCCTAAAAAAAAAAAAAAAAAGTCATAAGGTTTTTACTGGATGAATTTTCTGAAGCATATTCATATAAAGTAAATTGGATAAAAAAAAAAATAAAAAAAAAAAAAAAAAACATTTGCTTATTCGTTAATTGCAGTTCAATATTAAATGTGAGTCCATAGCTGTAAAATGTGAATATGCATTGTGGTTTGATTGAAAGGTAAGCCTATTTTCAAGAATTGCAGCAATTCGGGCCTTTATCATCAGGCGAATTATCCCCACATGGGTGGCTAATTTGGGGATTTGGTTCGATGCTCCTTGAGATATCAAATGAATCTTTTGGCTATGAAAAAAAAATCACAGATGAAGGGGGGGAAAAAACAGGGCTGGGGGGCGGGGCCTGACCTTGGAGCAGAGTGGAAGCACACTACAGCAGCTCCCGCTGAAAACTGCAAATTTCTCCGATTTCTATAGCCCTAACGGCGCACAACCAGGTCGGAAAGGCTACCCAGTGAGCCGTGCCATCGGGGTGCACTGATCGAGCGACAGATCTAACCCCAATCACCCGACATGATGGTGAGGCCTACAAACATGGCATGCGCGGGAGGGACGGCCGCTCTCCTGATGCCACGACCAGCCAAGATCCAGGACTTGGGCCCTCGTCTCCCCCCCTCTGGACCGGTGGGGGTCATCCCGGTCCACCCCCACAAGCTCCCCCTGCGAAGGGGTGTACAAACGATAGGGACACAGGGTCCCAAACCTACTGGCATGCAAGCCCCCAAGATGGCGGATGCCGTCTCAACAGCATACCCACAAAGTATATGGTTGGACACTGAACACAGGCTAAACGCTATCTTCGCCTCCTTTTGGAAACAGCTGAGGGCTCGCATGCGGCCTCAGGGACACGCACCACCTACTACCGAGAAGCCACACAACTCACCGCGAGGTGCACAGCGTATAGCACCGACGAGCACCCAGCTCCAGCGAAGGGCCCTCTCCGACATGCGCCTGAACCCAAAGGTGAGCAACAACAAACTGGGGCCTGGAGCCTGTGGGATGGCCAGGAGGAGACCCCCGAGACGCAAAACGCAGAGGGGCAGATGCGACCCGACCAAACAAGCGACACAGCGAGGCGCACGGCCCAGGGTGATGTCCACACCGGGTAGGCGACCACAGAGCCACCCCGACCCGAGACGGGTGAACTCAGCTCAGACCACAACTTGGAGGTCCTTACACTCACCGACCAGTATACATACACGCGGCTCCGGGGCTCCACACTCCCTTACATCTGGGACACTGCGCAAGCTGACCGGCACAATACAAGCCTGGGAGATGACCATACAAGGAGTAGGCTGAAGCACGGGCAAAGCGGGACTCTAACGGACTTAAAACCTCTGTGGGTTACCTTCAATGCCCCCATGCTCACGGAAGGCAACATAAACACCCGACTGTTACAATACAGAGGACTACATCCTCAAAACGAGATATGTCTCTATGTTTACGTTCCCCTGTTATTTTAGGTTATCATAAGCAGGTTTATTAAGAGTGACTCAATGCATCCAGCAAAATTAGTCTCCTAATTACTCACATTTACTATATCTGTCTCCCTCCATTACTGCACATGGGCCATAGGGCTCATAATACTCAGCACCCCGTTTCAACCTGTCTCACTAGCACTTGAATATACCCACAATAGATATAAATTGTTAGCAAACGAAAAAAAAAGACACAACTCCATCTTGGAACTCCTCAAGCTCCGTTAAGCTTGTAGTTCAGATAATTACACTAGCAGCCAATATGCGTTGCTAAGACAGTTATACCTCGTATGCCTAGTTATCGCCTAAACTTTGTGTTCACCTTGTACCATATCATGCTAAAACGTGCATGTTTATCTTGATAATCTAACAAAAATGTGCAATGCCTTCAATGCCACAATATTGTTCTCTTGTGTTTATCGCTCAGTTTGTTCTTGCTGTTGTGGCAAAGCAAACCCATTTGTTATTAAGATGCACAAATAAAATAAAGAATTATAAAAAAAAAAAAAAACAGGGCTTTCATTTTTTTTATTTTTTTTATTTTTTTCCAATGGACATTTTACTTCTACTTAATTGAACTAACAATATGCCCTGACTTTTGACACCCAAAACTGTCAGTTCAATTAAAGGGGCACTATAGTCAACAGAACAATTACAGCTTAAGGTAGATGTTCTAGTGTCTATAGCTTGTGCCTGCAGGCTTTTTTTTTTTTAATTTGATAATTTTTATTGTTTTCAAATATCAACATTAGCGAAGAGAGGGAAAAAAGGGGGGGTGGGGGGGAGGTGTCATCCAAGTTGTTAATCTACACTGTTTCACATATTGAATTATTTCATATTATTACATATACAGCAATATCTGACATAATCTTCTACAGTACCCAGTCTCTGTGTGTGCTATCTCCCTAATTAGGGTGTGTTCTTCTCCATATGTCCCACATTCCCCAGGCTGCTGCATTAGTTTTGGAGGGTGGACATATGTTGGTGAGGTGGCGTTCATATATGCTTTGGTTATCTATCTCAGAGAGGACTGCTTCTTTTGAGGGAGTATGACTAGACTTCCACGCTCTCGCTATTACGCGTTGAGCTGTAAGAAGTAGGTGGTAGATCATTTTCCTGGTGTGTGGGGGGGTTCCCTGTGGGAGCAGGAGTAGTAGGTATGTGTGTGGTTCCCATTTTAGTTCTGTGTGAGTGATACTTTTCAATGTGGTGCCTATGGCCCCCCAGAAGGTGGTGATATTCGGGCACTGCCACCAGATATGTAAGACTGTGCCTATATGCTTGCGCATCTCCAGCATCTCGGAGAGCTATTTGGGAAGAGTTTGTGTAACCTTGTCGGTACTAGATAAAAGCTGTAAACCATTTTCATGTGTTGTTCTAAGAGGGTGGCTGACTATTAGTTTTCTAGGGGCGACAGTTATGTCTTTCCATTGAGCTGGAGTGATCTCCCCTCCAATATCTTTTGTCCATTGTTTCGCCGGTGTGGCATTAGCTAATGACATGTAGTGATGTCGCGAACCGTTCGCGAACTTGCCGCGAACCGTTCACCGCGACCGGTCAGCTGACACATCCCTGCCAATCTCCGGCAGACCCTCCCTCCCAGACCCTCTCACCTCCTGGACAGCTGCCTTCAACATGGATACTGTCCAGGAAGTAGGAGGGTCTGGGAGGGAGGGTCTGCCGGAGATTGGCAGAGATGTGTCAGCTGACCGGAGTTCGCCACGGACGGTTCGCGGCAAGTTCGCGGACGGTTCGCGACATCACTAATGACGTGTAGTCCAGGAGTAGTTTGTAGCACATGGAGAGCTGTCTAGTAGATCTAGATAAGTGTTTGTTAGAGCATATCTGTTCCCATGGGGTGAGTATTGATGCTCCTGTGAGATGCTGGGTGTGGTCATGGGGTTTTTAATGCCAACAATGTCTAGTAACTGTCACTCAGACAGCAACTGGAGGTGCTTCCTGGGTCAGTGCTACACATTGTGCATGGAGACACTGAACGTTCCTTATAGACATGCATTGATTCAATGCATCTCTATGAAAGGGTGCTGATTGGCGCAGAGCAGAGTTTTGCCACACATGCGCAATAGCCTCCCAATGCTTTCCTATAGGAAAGCATTGGATTGGCTGTGATGACCAGGACTAGATAGTGTTATTACAACACGTTTGTATTTCTAAATAATATTCCTTCGATGTACCGATTAGGCGTTCTGCATGTAAAGACGATATGACATAAGTCATAAACGTTTGTTAAAAAAAAGAAAAAAAAAAAAAACGACTTCTGAACTAGTGATGTATGGATTGTGACATGAATTTATTCAAAAACTGTCACTTTTCTCCCATAATACTTTGTATCACTGACACATGAGCTGCTAACAAACATGACTTTGCAGCATTGCATCCCGATTAAAAAGAGACACTATAGTCACCAGAAAAACTACAGCTTATTGAATTTGTTCTGTTGAGTAGAATAATCATTACCTTCAGGCTTTTTGCTGTAAACATTACATTACAGCCTAGTGATAACTTCACTGGCCACTCCTCAGATGGCTATTAGAGATCCTTCCTGGGTCATGGCTGCCTAAAATGCATCCAAACATTCAGTGTCTCCTCCCTCTGCATGCAGACACTGAACTTTCTTCATAGAGATTCATGGATTCAATTCATCTCTATGAGGAGATGCCGATTGGCCAGGGATGTGTTTGAATTGTGCTGGCTCTGCCCCTGATCTGCCCCCTTGTCAGTCTCAGCCAATCCTATGGGGAAGCATTGTGATTGGATCAGGCCACCACTTCTGATGATGTCAGCAGGCAGGTCAAAATGAAATGGGGACAAAACAAGCCGCTCCAGACTTGAATACAAGTAAGATTTTACTATATTTAGGGAGGCAAGAGGGGCTAGATGGTGGTTTAACACTATAGGGTCAGGAATACATGTTTGTGTAACTGACCCTATAGTGATCTTTTAACAACTAATGGACAAACATGGTTGCACAATATAATCAAAGTCCCGTTGATTCAGTCAAACTAAAGCATTATGATACCGTGAGAGTGGGCACAATGTTTTCCTTTTTTTTTTGTACGCACCTTCAATAAAAGCCAGTCAAAATTGGATTGTGTCGCATTTGTTACTGGTTTCCCAGCATTTATATCAAGCATGAGATCCAGCGCTCTTAAACATTCATCTGCTCTCGTCTGGACCTGAACAGACATGAAACAAGTTCATTCATCAACATTATTAGGAAAACAGACATCAAGGTCTATGCGCTACTGTCCAGAACATGTCAGAACTAAAGTAAAAAAGACAGGTGATTTTAGAGATGAAAGGCTTGTACGAAGACCCATCAATATAATCCCTAATACAACTCTCCTCCTATTCCTGGGATTGTCATCTTCATATTTATTTCTCAATTATACAAGACATGTTTATTCAATACAGTTCTTCTTGTGCGCACCTTTAGTCAGGGTCCCTTTATACTACATCAATATAGACATCATGCTCACAGGTAAAGAGCACGGACAGGAACATTAATTACAGCAACTATTTTTTAACATTGTGGATTTCTACTCAAAGGGCCTTACAGCATTCAGCACACACTCTAGGGTTCTAGGAACCTAGCGGGCAGCTGGTCAATCAGCATTTTAAGATTGATTGATTTACAAAAATATAGAAGCTTTTATAAAGATACCTGCTGATGCAGCTACCCTTAAGTGAAAACGTGTCTGTTTTCCATGATTGAATAACAAAAGGGCAAAAAATAAAAAAGCGACGAGTGTGCAAGAGCAACAGAAATGGAAAATACATAAAAATTAAATAAAATAACTTTTTTTTTTTTAAATAAAATACTAAGGTAACGAAATATAAAATGTGATATGACAAATGTATCCACTGCACAATAAATGAAAAAAATGATAATAAAAAATGTATTGCTAAAAATAATGAAAACTATTGTCTGAAGAAAAAAAAATGTACATAAGATTAGGATAAAATCCCAGTGACCCGGACAGAAAAGAGTCCAACGATACGAGGTATCAGCAAACCAAAAAACTGTTCCTAATGGCAAAACAAACAGGAAAACACCTGATAGAAACCCAAGTAGGGAATGCCGAATCTCCAAGATAATGAGAGACAGGGGACTATTTTTGTCATATCACATTATATAGTTTGTGAACGTAGTCTTTTTTTTTTAAGTTTTATTCTTTAATTTTTATTTTTAGCTCTGCTGCTCTTGCGCTTCCTTTGTTGTGTTTTATTTTTTGTTTTATTTATTCTATGTTGGGAATTCCCTTTTCACACAGAGTACACTGTATTTTAGAAGCAATATTAGTTGGGTGTTACAAGGTAGAATAGGAAACTTTTTAATGATGACAACCTGCTCAAATCGGAGTGGGAATTCATCAGCCCCTGGCTTGGGACGCTTATTATACAGCCACACTTCTTCCAGCTCGTTGCAGTTCTCCTCACATGGCTCACTGGGGGATTTCTCTTTCAAGTAATATGTCGCAGAAGCCGATTCATCTCTGGAAGAAATTGTACATTTTTAGAACCAGATTTCAGGGGAAAAGTGCGGCTTCCCGAAGCTCTCACAGTCACATATAGTGTGTGATTTATTAAATTATGCATTGTTTTATTGTGGGTATATCCAACGCTGGATCTTTCAATCACAGCGGCCCCCTGAGGATGGGGCGGGGCCAGAGAGGGTGTGTTTTGTCATCACTAATGACAAGCACGGCCCCTCTCAAAGTGAGCATGTTGGCTCAATGCGCAGAGCCCAGCTGAGATCCTGTGTTCTCCCCTGCCGGCCTCGGCCCATCTGGCATTTGCCCGGTATGCCCGATGGCCAGTCCGGGCCTGTGTATGTGTGTCAGTGAGCTAGTCTGTAGTGAGTCACGTGTATGTGTGTCAGTGAGCATGTGTGTGTGTGTGTGTGTGTGTGTGTGTGTGTGTATGTATGTGTGTCACAGTAAGCTTGTCTGTAGTCATCTTCTGTTTGTATATCAGTGAGTTTATCTGTTGTAAGCTTCTGTGTGTATACAAGTGAGTTTGTCTGTAGTCCACTTGTGTGTCTGTGTACCAGCAAATTTTTTTGTCAGTGATATTGTCTGTCAGTGAGGCTGTGTGCATCAGTGAGCTTATGTGTATCAATGAGATTATCTGTGTCTGCATGTGAGTATGCTTACTGTTTAATTACTTTAATTAATTTTTTACCCTGAAATGACCAATATTTATAATTAGAAAAAACAACAGCATACCAATAATAAATATGTATACACACACACACATACATACACACACACACTCAATGATTTATGGGACTGGAATACATTTTTCCCAGTGCTGCTTTGTATCCCCAGTCCGGTCCTGGCAGGAGCAGAGCAAACAGCATTCCCCTCCTGCCAGTCACTTCATGTAGTGTGACTGAGCGTGCCATGGCGTCATGATTCTCTACCCGGTCTGAAAGGAAGGGCTCAGTGAGAGCACCAAACGGCTTTCTTGTCAGTCCAGGTAGAGGAATTAGAAGCTCTCTACCGCAGTCTGCTCGGCCCACTGCATGAAGGTATTAAAGGACCACTCTAGGCACCCAGACCACTTCAGCTTAATGAAGTGGTCTGGGTGCCAGGTCCAGCTAGGGTTAACCCTTTTTTTTTTAATAAACATAGCAGTTTCAGAGAAACTGCTATGTTTATAAATGGGTTAATCCAGCCCTCAAATCCTCACTGACAGCCGCTAGAGGCGCTTGCGTGCTTCTTACTGTGAAAATCACAGTGAGAACACGCAAGCGTCCATAGGAAAGCATTTTAATTCAGAGACCAGCTGAATGCGCGCACAGCTCCTGCCGCACATGCGCATTCAGCCCAGGAGGAGGATCGGAGGTGGAGAGCTCCCCGCCCGGCGCTGGAGAAAGGTAAGATTTAACCCCTTTCCTCTCCCCAGAGCCCGGCGGGAGGGGGACCCTGAGGGTGGGGGCACCCTCAGGGCACTATAGTGGTCCTTTAATTCCTCTATTGTGATACATTATTCATCACAATTTGTTATGTTTTGTTTCATATGTTAAAGATCCAGATTCAATAATACAGGTGTCTTACACAGACTATTCTGGGGATAGAAATGTACAGATAATGAAATAACTGTATGGATTAGACCATAATAATGATGTGGTCACATTACACTATTTCACCAAACAGGTTCCCTTTAATTTGACACTAAACACACCATAACAAAGCATTTTGGCTAAATTGCCCCAAAAAATGTACAGCTTATTATTTCCTTTCAAGGTTGGACCACTTTGAAAAAATAAAGCAGAAGTGAATGGTTTTACCAGACCACATGAAAAAGGTTAGACAAAAAAATCAGGGTGAAAGCACCCAAAGATTTCTTACACCACAACAACTACAATCCAGTTATGGTCCTAGGAATGTCTCTTTAAATACAAAATCCAATTCTACATCTGACGATAATCTGCAATTGTAAACAGCCTGATCAGACACCAGCACTACGAAAATTAAGAATAAGATTTTTTTTGTACAGCGAAGACTAAAGAATCAGGTAAAATCTGAAATAATCTCTTCAAAAGGAACACTGTAAATTCTTTGAGTGCAATCTGCACATATAACACACTGCAGAGCCATTGCAGGGCAAAGCTCCATTCTGAAAATTATCTTGGGGGGAAGGAAGTGAATCAGTATGTGAAAGTATTGCTTCTAAAGTGTTTCACAAATTCAGAAATGTCACAGAACTGTACTTCTCAAAATAAATTTAAAGGAAAAACCAAAGAAAAGTTAGAAATGATCTAGTTCAGATCCAGAGGAGAAATTAAGAAATGTGAGGTTTAAAGGTTTAACACTCAACGCTCCATAACTACTATAGCGTACTATAAGAAAGTACATTTACATAATGTGCCATGGCTGTGCCTATACAGTATTACTTTTATTTCTTATATCTAAACATTTTCCATACCAAAACATTTTATAAGAAACAAACATACTACCTTGTAATTGTGTTATCTAATTATGTTTGTGTGTTCGTACATTGGTTGTGTATTGCTGAATGTATACAGAGCTGCAAAACATGTAATAAAATAATATGATTGCTGCTCCTATTGTGTTTTAATGTGAATAGGGAATATGGCATCATAGTCTATCTGAGGTCATGGTAGACCGATGTATATCCTGACAATTACCTGTGTTCAACAGAAGCAACTACGAAGCCTTGTGATGCCAGGCCAATGCAGATGGAAGAGTACAGGGTCCTGTACAGAAACAGAAATCATGTTAGCTATTCAGATCAGTGATTCCAAAATCTCAAGGAATACTAACAAAAATGAATGTTTAATCAATTGTAAGAATGACTGAGTAATGTGCGAATGCTGTGTTTTGTCTTTGTGTTTTAAGCCCTGCATTCAGAACAATTCACAGTTTAGTGGACAGCCTGGCCTGTTTATTCCATTCGCTGCTGCACGACAGATCACAACTTTTCTCCAACGTCCCTCTTGGTCGTGACATTTATCTAAACAGACGATATACCCTTCCCCACCCAGATATTTTGTCTTTGAAGTAATTGGCGAAGTCTGTGACTGGATCACATGGTATTTAGTAAAATTCATATCCTATGCTTTAAAGGAGCAATCAGTACACCATAACCACTACAACACGATGTCAGGAGTGCTCCCCACCAATGTATGCAGTCACACCATTTTCTGATGGTTTAACAACTTACCTGAGGTCCGCTAGGGCTCCTGCATAGAGCTTCATTTGGCTTTCCTGGGCTAAATCCTCCCCTACAGGGCCAGTTCATTGGCTGATGGTCACTCTCAATGAGCTAAACCCTGCACCACCTGCTCCAGCAACACTTACACTGGGGGATTACTTACACCTCACTAGCATTGTAGTGGTTATGGTGCTTGGAGTGTTACTATAATAACCAGCATTTCTTCTAGACCATAACAGCTAGTGACCTAGAGCTGCATTTACAATAATCAGGAAATAAAAATGAGTGCACATTTAGCACACACTATTTTGACAACACAAATACCTGAAAGCGCCGAGTCCGTGTGAGAATATAATCAGAGGGTACTTCTCCCCTGGCTTGAAAGGTGCGTTCAATCTCGCAGGACATTTTACAGAACCTACAGACAAGAAACAAGTTTCAGTGAGGCTAGAAATACTTCTATTCCGATAAGGAGACACAATTTAATATAGTGACCTATTTACTGAGGGACTTTATTCAACACTGAGGGGGGTTTCAGACAGCAAACTCTGGACGTGGTTCATAATATTTAACAATGTCGGCATTTGTTCAATTCAGACTCCTGAATATAGTCTGAATTTCAGCAGGACTGACAAAAGGTTTTCAGACGCTAGGTCAGCTATTACATTGCACTATGTAATATAAGGAAGGGTGCTCTGATTGTTTGGCTAGTATGCCAACCAATGAGAGCTCTCTGACAGCCAAGTCTCGAGATAAGTGACATTAAGAAGTCTCCCCCTGTTATTTCACAGGGATGGAGCCTTTCTAGCAGCTGGAGAGCAATGGCTCCCCAGTCGCTAGTTTTTAAAAGTTTAGTAGAAATGCCCCCCATTCACTTTTGCAAATGCCCGGTGGGCCGTGGTGGCCATGGGCCGAGGTCGGCAGGGGAGGTCCCAGGATCTCCCCCGCCGGTCTATGCAGGGCCGGCACTCTCCTAGCGCCGGCCCCGCTATTTGCCACGATGGGCCGGTGGGGAGATCAAAGATCTCCCTCACTGGCCCACCTGAAGAGACCTGCGGCTGGGGAGGGAGAGGACCCGGCGGAGCTCTAATCTGAAGCTCCGCCGCGTTCGTCTCGCGAGATCCGGCGCGTTGCCATGGCAACGACCGGATCTCGCGAGAGTGAACTCTAGCCCCGCAGGCTAGAGTTCACTCACCACTGGACCACCAGGGATGATGAGTGCCGCCACCCCAGATACCACGTGCCTGTACCCTCCTCCCAGATACCACGTGCCTCTCCCCCCCTCCCAGGCTAAAGGTAAGAAGGGGGGGGGGGGATTTAATGCCTGTTTTTTTGTTTGTTTGTTTATTTACCCCCCCACACAATCCATTCTAACATTTACACAGCACTCTCACACCCATCACACACACACACACACAGCACTCTCACACCCATCACACACACACACACACAGCACTCTCACACCCATCACACACACACACACAGCACTCACACCCATCACACACACACAGCACTCACACCCATCACACACACACACACCCATCACACACACACACAACACTCACACACCCATCACACACACAGCACTCTCACACCCATCACACACACAGCACTCAACCTCCCAGCAAAATACATTCATTTAGTTTCAGTGATTGTGCATAAAACATAAAAATGTAGGTGAAATAAGGTGAACGGAGAAAGATTTGGGCACTGATATTAATAAATATAGTTAGAATATTATTAGAGAAAGAGAAAATATTTAATAGTTTTTTTGGAACCAATGAGGATACTGCATCCGTTTCAACTCATAAGTGATTCAAGGTAACCAAAGAGCAACAAGATACTTACCTATGAAAAAAAAAATCACAGATTGCCAAATTCAGTAGGAAGAGGTTACTCTGCGTTCTAAGCCTTTGGTCAATAACAAAAGCTAAAATAACAATAGCATTTCCTAACACCGTAACAGAGATTATCGTAGGTATGAAGGCATATAAAAAAAATAATGTTGCTTTTAGGTGTCACAGCATCTATGTCTTCATCAGAAGAATTAGTGACACTAAAATTTGTAACAGCAGCTGACAGTTCCATTGTAAAATGTTAGTTAAAAGGCCACATCTTGACTTAAGTTCATTTACAGTTTGCAAATCTGGGAATTATCCCCTTCTTAGTTCTGAGATCAGATCATTTTATACACTCTTTGTATGGTGGGTGGAGACATACAATTCTGCTGTACCTTTCCCATCTCTCACTTGAAAATAGGGAATTAAAAGGGACATTTTATACAAACCACCTCAAGATTACTACTACTTAATAATAATATGGGATATATTTAATGAAACAAAAAATACAAATAAAAGAAAAATAAATGTGAAGTTAAAATGTAAATCAAAATTATTTATCTGCAATTGTAAATAAATTAGCATCCAAAGTTCCCAAGGCCGATCCAACCATTTAAGTGGAGCGCTACAAAGTGACCTATAGTTTTCCCTGGGTAGTTTCTCATAATTGATAAAGAGAAAGAGCAGTGACTACAGGGCTGGAGACAATCCACTCCTGGAGTCAAAGAAGGACTAAATGGGCAACATGAAAGGGGATAACCCAACAGAAATGATAATAGAAAAATTCCCAAAGATAAAAGGTGTATGGAGAGAAGAACAAACGTCTATCTCTCACAATACACTCGACTAAGGGTATGCCCACTAAGAGGGTATATAGCATCCCCTGGTAAAACAAAGATGAGTAAGATAGAAAATAAAAAATACTTTATTGGAAGACGGTATAGAGACTAGATAAAATGCATGGGGTCCGGGATGGGGGGATGGCTCATAGTCCGTGAGATTATAATAGTACAAAAGGAGGCATCAATAGGAATCACTATATGGCAATATTATAAGCCAATAGGTAACTGTGAGCTAGTGTGTTCAAAGTAGCATGTCATACTGAAGTATCTATGATGTAACACATTTCAGGGAGCTCCTTGGTGAGCCAAAAATATCTGCACGAAATGTGATCAAACCACTATTATGGGAATAGCACCCAATATATAGGGTGTAATTCCCTGGGGTTTGTGACAAGCTATAAGCCCATTAGATAAATGGTAAATAAATCGGGCTGGAAAATGCTGACTACAACAGTGAGATAGACTGGAATCGAAAGTGTATACTCTAAGTAAAGAGAAATACACCTTTATCTTTGGGAATTTACAGTTTCTCATAATTGCAGCAATTTTCCCTAATGAAAAATCATTGTCACTGGGTTTATTCACTAAATAATCAGCTATAATAAACACACAGCACCCCTCACATACACACAGAACCCCCCCAACACACTGCACCACACACAATACTTCCAAAAAAAAAAAATATATATATATATATATACACACATATACACACATATACACACATATACATACATACATACACACACACACACACACACGCACACACTACACTCTTAACATACACACTAGATTCCTTGTAAGCAAACACATACTACACCCCTAAACACACACTACATCACCTATATACACACACACACACACACACACACACACTATAGCCTGTATGCACACACTTGCTATATCCCCAATACACACATTCTCTACAGCCCATACCCACATATGCATCACATTACACCACAAACACAACATGACTAAAACTAACCTTATTACACAATACCACAATCAGCTCACTCTACACACACGCAATACCACAAGCAGGCTCCAAACACATGCACAATACTCTTTCCTGGCATTTTTGTCTCCTGGTATTCATTTAGAGAGACACCAGAGACAAGTTGCAAGGAAACACAGTGCAAGCATGTTATTAAATTTGCTTGCACAGTGCAGAGCTCTGTGCATGGTCTGCCCTGAAAGAGCATTGAACCAACATGCTCACTTTGAGAGGGGGCGTGTTTGTCATTGGTGATGACAAAACACACCTCCTCTGCCCCACCCCTTTCTTAGTGGGCCGCTGTGTTAAAAAAATGCCCGGGCCGAATTTTTCTCCCAGTCCGGCCCTGATTTGGTCCCACCGAATTCCGACCGGAATTGGCTTTTAGTAAATCTGCAAATTGTCATTGCAGTCGGAATTCAGTAATTATCACCAGGTTTTGTCCTTGCGTTCAAAATGTGGTGTAGTGAAAAACCCCTTAAAAATGTCAAGTGGAATACCCAGAGTATTTTCTCAATAATGGTCAATCGTTTTTATATTTTAAACTTACCCGGTCACAGTCACAATCCTAATATTTCAGTCTACCTTCACCAATACTTTTTTCTAGAATTGACATTTTCAGTTAATTAAATCGTCATGGTAATTCATGACTAGCCAGGAATTTAGCATTAATTTAAAATTCTAGTGGATCTCACAAAATTCAAAAAAAAAAAAATGTTTTCAGTTTTTCTATCTTGGCCTATAGGTAAAATTCACTAATTTCCCTAAATTCCCGACAATTCACACTCTTCTGCAGGGGATCCAGACCCTATATGGATCAAGGCAATACCTCAACGAGAGAAGGCACACTTACATTTTTACATTCTTCATTAGTGGATTCTAAGCGTATCATATAATTCAATTTGTAATTACTAGAGAGGTATACAATATATGCACACCTCTTTCCAAAATTACTTACAGTTTGAATTACCACAATTTTAAAATCAATACTTAATAAAATACATATTTAAAGACTGTATTCCGTCAGTCTGTTACAACTTGATACATGCAAAGAGTTTTGCTCAAGGTACTTCCTATAAACACTGAATTATCAAGAAACCAAATTAGCACTCCAAGGGTTAATCACCAGCATATGCTTTGTCTGGTGTCCCTGTGTCAATGTATATAATACAATATTATGTATACAGGCTTTTTAGTAAAGATTATAAGCCAATCAGATGTTTGCATTAAATAAAAGACACTATAAAACTTGCCAATTCTTACAAAGTACCTTAAAGGGACACTAGGCACCCAGACCACTTCAGCTAATTGAAGTGGTCTGGGTGCCAACTCCCACCACCCTTAACTCTGGAAGGGTAATTATTGCAGTTTTTATAAACTGCAATAATTACCTTGCAGGATTAAGTCCTCCTCTAGTGGCTGTCTATCAAGCAGCCACTAGAGGAACTTCCAGCTTCTTAGAGGACGTCCTCACGCTATGCATGTGGACCTCCAGCGTCGCCGGAATCCCCATAGGAAAGCATTGAATAATTCTTTCCTATGGGGAGGTCTAATGCGGCACACGCAGGATGAGGGGCACTCCAGGATTCCACAGGGTTTGTTTTCCTGGCACTATTGTATCTAAGAGTAAGGGTTTTTAAGACCTATGGCGAGCTTGATTTAGATCGGTAATAACTCAAAACAATTGACGTTATTTTAATAATAAAAGCAGAACAAAACTTGATTTTTACATCACAAAACAGCCCAAACGTAACATTAATGAAACACAGTGGATTTATCCAAGTGTGCTGGTTGTAGGGGACCAGCTTCACACAGCCGCTAAAGTATAACACGTGTGGTTAACCCTTGGAGCACTAATTTATAGTTTTTGCGATCGTTTGTTGGTGCTTGTGTGGACAGTGCTGGTATATTTTATATATTTGTTTCAGGTTTTATATTTAATTTTTTTTATTATTTGTGTGCTTTTTTTGTTTGATTATAAAATTAATTATACGCACAGCTGCTCATAAGACACTCATGCGTCAAAAATTAGACTAAATAAAATTGAATTGGGCTTATGATACTTTCAGTCTATCACTGTCCATCATAAGTAGATTTAAGGACATTTTTAACCTTTGCTTGTGATGGGTGACCAGTGAGATACTCTCTGCTTACGGTCACCTCTTCAACACTTTAACCCCTGTTTAACCCCCGTTTAATACTTGAACTTAAATGGACACTGTAGGCACCAAGACTACTTCAGCTCATTCAAGTGATCTAGGTGCACTGTCCCATCCCCCTTAACCCGGAGCATGTAATTATTACGCTTTTTTTTTTTGTAAACTACAATAATTACCTGCTAGGGTTAACTCCTCCGAGATAGCCACCAGAGGGATTTCCGTGCTTGAAGGTGACTTTTGGTCGCCTAAATAACACTGTACGTCCTCACCCTGTGCATGAGGACATCCAGCGTCACAGGGATCCCCAGAGGAAAGAATTGAATAATGCTTTTCTATGGGGAAATCCTAATGTGAGCACTGCCATTGCCGCGCATGCACATTAGGTCTCCCTCGCCGGCTGACTACGGACATCGGCGCTGGACCCACGTAAGTGACAGAAGGGGTTATTAATGGGGCCATGAGAGAGGGGGAAGCTATAGTGCCAGGAAAACAAACCATAGTTTCCATTTAAAACAGAGCCAATGGTCTGTTGGTATCCCAACTGCTTCATTGAAAGGAAGCAGTTAATGCCAATGTATGAGTATAATCAATAATAAAGGCAAACTCTATACTCGCAATATATATGATTCATATATGAAGGTATGTACATGCACTTACGTTATAAACCCTTTAGATTTGAATCCCATTTGGGCAGGGCTCTCTTTAATCACTGTTCTGGTATATAGAAACATAGAATGTGACGGCAGATAAGAACCATTCGGCTCATCTAGTCTGCCCAATTTTCTAAATACTTTCATTATGTCCTCTTGTTGTGGTAGTTTTTCTTCTTTTAAATATAGTCTCCTCCTTTACGGTGTTGATTCCCTTTATATATTTAAATGTTTCTATCATATCCCCCCTGTCTCGTCTTTCCTCCAAGCTATACATGTTAAGATCCTTTAACCTTTCCTGGTAAGTTTTATCCAGCAATCCATGAACCAGTTTAGTAGCCCTTCTCTGAACCCCCTCTAAGGTATCAATATCCTTCTGAAGATACGGTCTCCAGTACTGTGTACAATACTCCAAGTGAGGTCTCACCAGTGTTCTGTACAATGGCATGAGCACTTCCCTCTTTCTACTGCTAATACCTCTCCCTATACAACCAAGCATTCTGCTAGCATTTCCTGCTGCTCTATTACATTGTCTGCCTACCTTTAAGTCATCAGAAATAATCACCCCTAAATCCCTTTCCTCATATGTTGAGGTTAGGACTCTATCAAATATTCTGTACTCTGCCCTTGGGTTTTTACGTCCAAGATGCATTATCTTGCACTTACCCACATTAAATGTCAGTTGCCACAATTCTGACCATTTTTCTAGTTTACCTAAATCATTTGTCATTTGGCTTATCCCTCCTGGAACATCAACCCTGTTACATATCTTAGTATCATCAGCAAAAAGACATGCCTTACCATCAAGACCTTCTGCAATATCACTAATAAAAATATTAAAGAGAATGGGTCCAAGTACAGATCACTGAGGTACCCCACTGGTATATCATACATGTTTTGATAGAATTACAGGTTTGTCTTGTTTTCTACTGTACATCGATGCAGAATAAGTTGGCACTATATAAATAATTTCATATAACTGAAGAGAATCATTTTCAAAAACTTGCAGATATTTTCGGCTTCTTACCAAAATAGTGACTAAAGATAAAGTTGACCACAGTGCGGTTTAATTTAAGGGTGTCAGCAAGACCTAGATAATACTGTTTTTTGGGAATCCATACTGCATCCTCATATTCTCCACTGTTTGAGCAAGGGTAGAAGAGACGCAGAAACGTACCCTGCAGTAAAAAAAATAAAAAAATTAAAAAATTAGTTTTTTTTACACATAATACAATTCATACAAAAACCACAATCTGCAAATATCACACGTTCCTCTTCTACTTCAAATTATTTGCACCCTAGAAGCATACCTGGGCTCGTTGACAGGGGGCAGGGAAGTGGGGAAAGCCATAGACAGGCTCATGATATAAGCAGTAGGCATTAACAGGCTGAACAAAAACAATCAGTAGGCACAAACACCACTTGCATGGCACTACCCACTACGTATAACACTACCCTAGACTACAGTCTACACAGTTATGGGCAGAATATTCTAAGATTCCATGACACTACCCACTATGTATAACACTACCCTAGACTACAGGCTACACAGTTATGGGCAGAATATGCTCAGATTCCATGACACTACCCACTATGTATAACACTACCCTAGACTACAGTCTACACAGTTTTGGGCAGAATATTCGCAGATTCCATCTAAACCTGCACTTATGATTGTATGTTTTTATTTAAAAAAGTCTTGTTATCCATTGTTCTAGCTGGTGGAAAAAAGATTGGTAAATAAGTGTACGCCACACATCTCGATGGAATAATCATCTGCAATAAAGTATGTGCACATGCGCCGGTTACTCAGTAAGCTAAGGTATATGGAAAAATGAAATCTAGCCAAACTAGCATAGATGGAAAAATTGTCAAGTTTTGTAACTTTTTACAAATCTGCTATTTTGGGCCTATTATTTCCATTTCTGTGGTGACATCTTTACAATTCTCTGCTTTTTATAAAAAAAAAAAAAAAAGTTTTTTTAAATAATGCAACCTGTAGATTATTATTTATGACACATTTACTTTACATAAAGATTTAAATTCCATTTCATTAATGTAAAACTGCATTGAATGACTTAGGAATGCTGACAGTCTGCAGATAAGGCCTAATGCCAAGAGATAAACCACAACCTTTGTAACAGAACAAAATCACCATAACACGAGTTCACGAGGTATGTGTAATTTATATACATAAGCAAGGCACCATTTAAAGAAACAATGCGTTTTACATGAAATGCTGTTATTTATATAGCTTCAATTCCGTATTACATAGTGTGATGTCACGCTGCAATATGGCTTCACCATATTGCACCTTGTGAATAAACAAAATAAATAGTGGGACGCACAAAATCTTCGTCCTGGGTTGCCTGAGATTGATAGGAGTTACAGTGTCATGCTTCCGTTACTGCCATTAACCCTATCTCTCTACCCAAAAGTAATTCAAGAAGTTTTGGAAGTAAATAAACTTTCAATTAAAGAAAGACACTTTTAAAGAACTATTTTTATTTTGTTTTTGTGTGTGCAAATAATATAAAATAAAAAATACAAAACAGAGAACAGTGTGTTATGGAAAAAGGTAGGTCTATAAAAAGGTCCTGTAGGCATCCATTAACCAAGAGATTATTGTGAAGGCTCATGATCAACCCAGGAACCCTTGAAGACATCACTTTTCCATAATCCAAGTTTCATCGCTTATTGATCAGTGCATGGAAATGGAGCATTGATTCTGATCAGTTTGTTTCCTTCTTTGATTTTTACACTACCCTGAACTCCTGGTAGGAAGGTACTGCATGCTGTAAAATATTGCACACACCTACATTCTCTCTCAATGATTCATTTTGATACCTGAATGGTATGATCACTCATAAGGTCAGTGCAGCCGACCGTGTGCGGCCCTTTCCCGTTGGGAATTCCACAGAACTGTACGCTGCTCGAACTCCCCATCCTCGCTGGTGATTTAGAATTCCTGGGTACACAGCAACCGGCAGGGCGGACCGTTTTCTTTCCCTTTAAAAAAACATGCAAATAGTCATTACTTGGGTTTAGTTACATTAACATTCATCTGTTTTCACACCGAAGACTAAAACAAATACAGCAAGCCCTTTAATAATTTATAACGGCACGTGTTCTAGTTAGTTCCAGTTACAGAATGCCAACATTCAGAGCAATGCTAAAGAGCAGATTAGAAGACAGATAAACGCAAACATCAGAGAACTGCATGCCTTACATGAGACTGAGTTATTCTCTGTAAATGGATATTAAAGATTTAGCAAAATAAGTCACAATCCAGTTAAGTCCTGACACAGACAAGGCATACATTAACAAATGAGGAGGTTAATAAAATAATTGGGGAATGTGTATAAATAATGGTGCAAGTTCTAATTTTAATCCATTTCTACTCGGTCATATATATTACTTTGTAAGTTGCCTGATTTATACATAAGAACAAAGTGTGGCACATGTATGACTGTTTTCACAGTTGCAATGTTTCTGGGTTTATCTGCACTGCATCCAGAAATATGACAAAGAACCTTAATTCAATAAAGGGACCTAAAAAAGCTCACACATATAGATATACACACACACAAAATATGTAAAAATAATAAAATTAGTATGCTTTTCATTTTTGGACACAGCAGTCCCTCAGGGATGTATCAATGGTGGTGATAGTTTTTTTTAGATAAACGTAGACTGCAATTTGTATTATCATTGAACCACATATATCATGGAGACACCTTTTACATAATCCCATTGTTTTCTGATCCCTCCACGACACACTGTGCCCAAAGACAGAAAAGAGAAACCTTTATAACGATGAGCCAAATTAAAGACATGACAGGTTAGAGGTGTGGGTTTCTACATTTAAAGATTAGTTTTTTTAGACATCACAAACATATTTTCTTAAATATAGGGAATTAGTAAACATAAAAACACTTGATAATTGTCAGTTCCATTATAACAGGAAAATTTCAGTCATGATTAGAAATAAAATAAAGTATTTATTCGCTCTCACTTGGTCCAATTAGAGCTGTCCTATAGTAAAATTGGGCATATTGTTTATACCAGTCCTGCTGCAGAGATTAACATTTTGTTGCACCTATTAGAGCTTTGAAAAGGGACTATAAGATATGGTTAGTGAGTGATAAACATGTCTTTTCTTTTCTTACTCTAACCCTCTGCACGGCTCATTAAATAGGCTTTTATATTTTCTGATTCTTAGAATCCTGTAGATGAAAAATGTACTGGTTGGTATTTTTTCAAAATCACATCAAATCTGCTTGCAGTTAACATTCAATGACAACAGGAGGAGTTTTTTTTTTTTCTGTCCCCCGATGGGAAAAGTAATTAGCATAAATCGTAATATTTAGCAGAAGTTCAAATTAATGAATTCCTGATCAGAAAGATTTTTGTATTTATTAAAGGGGTTGGACAGGTTTTAGAAGTACTCATGCGATAACAGGCGTGGGATAGGTTAGAAAGACAGACTGTGAAAACAGAAAGATTCTCACCCAGCGCAGGATTCGGTTTAGACTGAGCAAGCCTTGTGAACAGCCCTTGGTTACACGAGTCATGTCAACTCGTGGCTCTGTTTGATGGCAGTGCTGTCATCAATACGGTTTGTCTTTTTGTCTCGTTTATTGTGCTGGGGGAATGTCTTCAGTGGTTTTGATTTGTCCAAGGGGGGCTCTGAAGGGCAATTCAATGCAGACGCTCAATGCTGGTAAATTGTTACATGATATCAAATATATGTCACAGCTAAATTCAAAATGCAGTTTGAGTTCACCAAAGTGAGAATTCAAGGTGATTCCAAAGTGAATTTCAAAATGAAGGTTAAAATAGCCAAACAGGAAACATTCTCCAAGTGAGCTAATCTTGCCTTTCAGCTGCCCAGGCCTTCAATGTAAAATTCACTTTGAATTCTCACCTTTGTGAATAACCCTGTGTGAGTTCTCACCTTGAAGAGACCTGTTGGTTCCTTGATTGTGAGTTATATTAGTGATTTGGTGTGTGCACACCTGTTTCCTAACACTAGAGTGTTCACCACATTTAGAATCAAGCTCCTCTGTCTAAATAAAAGTCGAAATAAAAGGGTTTAACCCCTTAAGGACACATGACGTGTGACATGTCATGATTCCCTTTTATTCCAGAAGTTTGGTCCTTAAGGGTTTAACTCAGGATCCTGGTCTCTGCAGCCACTCGATCCACTTCCTGCGATGTTACCCGACTCTTCTGGAATGGAGGTTGGCTGTGAGAAGTCTGACTCTGTTCTCACAGGCGAATCACCTCGAGTGGCTACTAAAAAAACCACTGATGAAGTGGTGCCTTTAGTGCCCCCTTTATGATTTATCACTGTAATGAAGGTCAGACAACTACTACACAAGTGACTGAGTGGACCTGCAGTTAGTTAAAGGACTGACAACCACTAGAGGCGCTACTGTGATTTGCACTGAGTACATTGCACTTATTTGACAATGGACATCCACACGGACTTCCAGCGTCAAAAAAGATCCCCCAGCGACGGAGAGAGTTCGGACCCGGAAGACTGCCGGATAGGAGGACGACCCGGGAGGCTGAGATCCTCCCACGAGCAAGCAAGTTGGAGCGTTGCCACGAGTTACTATGACAATGCTCCAACAGCGCTGTGCTCTCAGGAAGAAAAGAGTGAAGTCAGCCTGCAGCCGGAGGAGCGGTGCGAGCAAATCTACTGGACCACTGATACTGGAGGTTTATTGGGGACTATGTCCTATCTGCTAAGGACATTCCTATTCACCTCCCTCTTTTTTGGAAGCGCTGAAACGCGCGTCGAGCGAATGCTCGCTTTTTGCTTTTAGTTTTGGATAGACTAATCTTTAGGGACATGTCTAGCTTGAGTGTAGACTCGGGACTTCTAGTTTTGGTTAGAAGGGGGCTGCCTCGAAGTAGCATTTAAGGGGGGTGGATTATTTCTTCTGCATATATATATTACCCTGTTAGCGCTATGTATGAAGGATAGCATTTATTCGTCCTATCATTGCACATTAATATATAATTGCTCAATTTAAATATCTTAGCAATCTCTGCTCATACTCCGTTGTTTTGCAAATTAGGACACTGTATTTATACTTCTACTACTTATCCAGGGTTTACGGAGAATAGGATTTACCCTGGTAATACTACTGTGTTATACTGCTAAAAGGATTCCTAATATTGCATCTTCATTTCATGGTTTATACCACAATAGGGGCATTTATTTGGGACACACTTCTATTGTTACGGCTAGGAGACCCAGTAGCAATCTATCTCAGCAACCTGGGGTTAACTGCAGTCCTTGCCTCGGTTTTTATTTTGTGATTATTATTATACAACTTTTTGTATTCTAGCATATAAGAATTTGAAGTGTATTGAAACTCTTTTCTATCTAAGGAAGCTTTTTATATACACATTTATATGTGGTGCTTTCCTACCCCCATACTTCCCCTTCTAATATCAAATTAGAGTAACTATTTATCACTCCCTATGGGAATCTATATAGGATCAATCTCATGATTCACCCTTCGTTACAATCCAACTGGAGTGTATATGTAGAATTGATGAATGTACAAGCTAGAGGTGACAATTTCTAGACATTATAGATCATGGATACACAGGACTTCTGCAATTCCCATAGTGCAACATTGTAATCAATATAACTACTTTACTTTGTATCCGGATTGTGAGCATTCTATTTTGATTTATCTAACACTAAGTAGCTATCCTATTTTAAGGATCTATGTATCACATTATTTCACGTTAATCACTGATTGTATGCCCATTATCCCAATTGGGAGTTAATAAAATATTTGGCATTATTTTGTATATATTTATGTTTTTATTATTACTGTTGGCTCTTTTGAGCTTTCTCTGTTGAATATCTACTGATGTGCGGGTAATTCTATTGGTATCGTGTCCTCTTCTTTGAGGCCTGATCCAATTTAGCTATCAATTAGTATGTTGGGTTATGCCCTTAATTACCCTACAACCAATGCAAACATCGTAACAGTCTTCTTCTAACTCCGTCACGTAGTTTTGTCTTCTATCATGTATAATACATATATGGTATGATAGCATAAACATGTTTTAAGGTTCCCCCCCCCATTTACTAGCAAATGGAAAACCCCACAAAAACCTGTGATTTAATTTACAGCGGTGGTCTGGTACCTAACCAGTTGTATTAGTGAGCTACGCCTGTACATCTCATTTCCCCCCCCACCCCCCCAAAACTTATTTTGTCAGAAATGTAAAATGACTTCTAGACTTTTTTTTTTATTTGTATAGATCAGCAGACTAGGCGGAGAGAGCCTTTAAAGAACTAGAAATGTATATTACCAGAAAGTGCGGTATAGACACACGCTACAATAAACAACCAGTTAAAGCTCGGAGTCTTTTGTGCCCCGTACAGAACAAGCTGAGCAGGTACAAAGCCCGATTTGCACACTACAATGGGAGCAGTGACTGCAGTATGTTTCAGCACCTCTGACTTGTTTTGATATTATCTCAGGAAGTTCCCTGATCACAGATATTTCAGCAATAATATTCTGTAACTAGTTCACATGAAATTTTACCACCAACACAATGTTTACCTCCAGCTAGGCAGAGTGATAGAGTATAAAAAGTCTTTATGTTATAAGTGCGCATTTCAATTAATGCATATTGTAAACAAATATTTATACAATACCTACGGTGTTATTCACTACAGTGAGAATTGAAAGTGAATTTTAAATTGAAGGCTAAAATAGCTGAATTGGAAAGATTCTCTGAATAAGTCATGCTTCCAGCTCAGCTGTTCTGGCCTTGAAGGGACACTATGGTGTAGTCCTTCTGTTGTCTATAGTATGTCCCTGCAGGCATTTTAATGTAAATATTGCCTTTTCAGGGAAAAGGCAATGTTTACATTGCTGCTTAGCAAAACCTCTAGTGACAGTCACTCAGATGGCTGCTAGAGGTGCTTCCTGGTTCAGTGTTGCACAATATGCAGCAGTGATGTTCAGCCTCTCCACACTCTGCATGAAGACGCTGAATGTTCCCAACAGAAATGCATTGATTCAATGTATCACTACGAAGACTAGCGAAACGTTTTGCCACACGTGTAATAGCCTCCCAATGCTTTCTTATGGGAATGCATTGGATTGACTGAGATCATCACGACTGATGATCTCAGCCATGGGAGAGGGGCCAGCCATGGCATGACTGGTGCGGTGAAGGAGAAAGTGTGAGTAAAATTACCTTGTCACGGCAATCTGAGGGGGCTGGTCACCTAAACAGCCAAATCAGCACTATACTCTTAAGAATGCATGTTTGTATTCCAAACACGTTAGTGTTCCTTTAAATTTGAAAATCCATTTGATTTCACCTTGAATGGTCTCTTTAGAGAATAACCCTTTTTATTTTATTGGGCACATACGATAAAGTTTATCCAGTAAACTACAAACTGTAATAAACTGAGATGCAAAGGGCAAATCTTTGCAATAAAAATCCAAGCTGTGTCTATAGCAGAGTTGAGTTAATCTCTCCTAATTGACTATTGAACTAGAGATGCCAGACTAATCTTATGAAATGGCAATCACACTTTATGGCTGATGGATTCTAAAGGAACTGCAAATTCCATATAATCTTGGGTATCACTTTTCATTTACACCGCAAGATCAATTTATAGAATTGGGGAAAATGGCAGATATATTATTTTTAAAAAGTCAGATCATGTTTTCAAACCCCGAAGTGCCCTATGTAATGCACGCTGTAGCGGATGGCCACAAGATGCCCTGGAACTTACATTATGTTTAAACTGTATACGTCTATTTGCTAAATGTCTTTGCAGTAAGGGAATGTATTTGTGTAAAATAGTTAAGTTATATGTGTAAAATGTATTGGATTCGTCTGAATGTAAGGTAGCTTCATTCCCCTAGTTTGTTCGAATGAAACTACCGAACAGTCAGACCTCCCCTGTGTGAAGTGTGTCCTCAATTACCCGTTGCAACATTGTTGCAAACGGGTAATTGACAAGTAAAGTAGCCGTCCTTTGTTCTCGGGGGTGGCCGCCATTCGACAAACGAACACGTGGCGGTGGCCATTTTAAAACTCCCGAACAGCAGTGTTTTGCCGTCGAGTGTCTGGAACTCAAATTGGACACTCGACTAGGCGAACACCGTTGAATCCTCCACAAGCCCGGTCCGTTCGGTTCCTAACTACCGAACGGCCCCTCGTTCGGTAGAGAGAAAGAACCGAACGAGGGGATTCAGGCGAACCCTCCCTAGCCTCTATAGCTAGAGGTTTTCGTGCAGTTTGTTCCCTTACTCCAGGACCGACCGCAGGGCCCATTCACATGGAACAGTGCGGTCGGTCATTTTATTCCCTCCATAAATTTCCAGAACCCCTGGTCTGATCTGGGTGATTTTTGGATATGTTGTTCACCCAGATCAAGGCTATCGGGGGGTGTAGGATTTAAAGGGGTACGCCTACGTTTAGGGGTACATCCAGAAATGAGGGGAATTACTGTACTGGATAAGGGGATTATGATGCCGGCTGAGGGGAGGAGATGTGTGAGAGGTTACCAGGACAGGATTGGCTACTGTACTAATGATTGTAAATCCCTCCCTTGCATGGGAACATGCTTTAAAAGGCCAGTGTGTTTTCAGTTTTGCTCCTGAAACTGTGTCGTCCAGTTATTGGGATTGCTGTGGGATATTGCTGTTATTTTGCCTGCTGGAGACCTTGTCTGTGGATTTACAATTTACTTGTTCCTGAGCCTCACTTGGATTATAAGCGGAGATACCTGGGGAATATTGCATCTCCGCTACACACGCTTTGACGGACACAGTGCGTGTGGATTGTAGAATATTACGTGTTATATGTTCCTATTCATATTAGATATGGGTGTCTAACGGGTTAAAAAGAACAGATGGTAATTTGCTATGATGTACCATGAGAAGTCTGGAATGGGGTATATAGTATATTAAGAGGAGTGAGGGTCTTCATATGTGTCCTTATGTGGGCAGAGTTTTAGCTAAAAGTTCTGATGTGATTATAGTCGAGTCTATAATAGAACAGTAGACAAAAAGGACCACATTTCACTGCTCTAGTGTTCTCCGGTCTTTCTGGATAAACAAGCTTACTCTCCAATGAAGGTCTCTCTGACTGTAATATCGTTAAGCAGAACATTCTGTTTTTTTGTTTTTTTTTTACTTATGTATTGTGGTTTGCTTGGAGAGTAGAATAAACTTATATATGTTTTAGAATGGATGTTATGAATATAAAATATTTTGGGTGATTTTTTTTAGAAAGATATGGAAAGAAGAAAGTATATGAATAAAGTTTATTACATGGATAATCTCATGGCAACGCACAGACATACATGTTCCTGTTTGCCCCGGAGTATTGGGAGTTATTTGTTAATTCTGCCCCTCTCCTCACAGCAATATGGTAAGAGAGGAGTTGAGTAGACACATACATGACTATTTCCTGTCTCCCCAGGTCCTTGGCCATTCTATAAGAATCATGAGAGAGATTGAATTAGTGGTGACTGCTGTAAATAGAGACTATTACCCAGGAGTATAACTCGCACTAATCTCTGGCAGACTAGGATACACATGGTTTAAAAGAATCCCAAGTTTCCTGTCATGTAATATAAATTAAACATAATGATGGTATGTATTAAAAGAAGACTCCACACACATACAGCACACTTTAGTCATGCTTGCAACAGTTTATAAAATTAATGGCGTGTTCCTTTAAGGTAAAAAGAATGCCATATTTGGATCTGGATACATTATAAAAACCACTCAATAATTAGTTGCAGAGCCCACTAAACACACACACAGGCTATTTCTAACTGGTCTGACTAGTAGCTGAGCATGAAGTGAAACATATTCTGATAAAGTGGAATAGTAGCATTCCATTAGTGATGACAGGGGCTAACTTGTAAAACAGCACCTATAATCCATTAGTGATGACAGGGCAGGGGCTAACCTGTAAATCAGCTCCTATACCTAATTAGTTAAGGGTAAATCAGCTCCTATACTCCTTGGGTGTTTAAAGCACTAGTGCATTATGGTACTAGTCAACACATCAGAAACCGTTTTTGATATTATTTAGAAAAAAATATAACACACCTCCCAATATTTCAAATGGACAAAGAGGGACACTTTAATTTTAGGGGTGTAAGTAAGGAGCTGAGACTTCGTAGGTGACTTACTAATAACGATTTAAGCAACTAAAATATAATTTAGAACAAGAACAGTGTATCTTATTGATACAGACTGATTTGCTAAACACATTTATTGTAGTTTAAAGACACATTACTGTTATTATTGCTGTGGAGCTCTGTTATTCACTCAGACACACCAACAATACGGAGCTCCTAGAAAAGAGGGACATTAGGATAGAAAAAAAGATAGAGAGATTTGTCACCCCTAAATAGGGACTGTCACCCCTAAATAGGGACACTTGGGAGGTATGCTTTATTAGCAAATGTCCAGATGAATTGCTAAACTAAACCATTGTTAATGCAAACCAACCCTTACACAGTAAAGCAAGGCTATACTAAACTCAAACCAGTACTGGCTAAAAAGGGAGGTGGCTAAACTACATTTCCCTTGGTGCTTTGCCAATGGCAAGACTTGCAAAGTATCATGGGAGTTGCAGTTCTACAACAGCCAGGGATTAATCTTTCGAATCAAATAACTAAATTAGGCCTCGGTCTCAGGAACATCAGGTTTCCAAGCAGCCCTGGCCGCACTTCCCTAAATAAAAGGCATAGCAGAGGCCTAGTGACAGCCAGAGACCAGGGCCTTACCTGAGCAGGCAGCCTGCCTGGGTGCCAGGGGAAGGGGATGTCCTCCTGCAGGCAGCGAGGGCGGTCTGTACAATGCAGACCCTGGATTGTGCAGGGGGAAGGGTGGGTGCAGCTCTTCCGTCTGCCACTGGAGTTCTGTACATTTACTATTATTATTATTATTATTATAAGAAAAAACAAACTTGCTGCCGTAAGGCCTGTCTTCCCTTGTCAATTCTCCACAATTCACAGTTTAGTAAATAAATAATCTTGAGACTACGGTTATATGAGAGTTTTCCCTTTTATGGTTTATTGAGGATTCACAATCATGATATGACAAACAACAGATAAAGTAACAGCAGCTGCAAGAACTTTGTAACAAAGGAAGACAGGAATTTCTCAGTAAATATTAGGAAGGAATCCTCAGTTCCCTGTTACAGCTACATTCTGCATGTTCCTATCAATTTTAAATCAACTTCCACTAAGCTGTTTATTAACTAAACAATGTATTAAAGCTAAGCTATAGAACGGTCATTTTGCCTACATTATTTTGACAGATTTTTTTTCACTAAAATGTTGTTAATTTTTAAAATAAGTTGAAAAATTCAAGATAAACAGCTCTCTATAGTTGAGATGGAGATTCTTTTTTCAAATCAGCAATTCTCGTCTACATTGAACAGTTTTGTTTACAATTTATTTCTAGGGAATAAATCTCACAGAAAAATACATATCACTTAATTAAAGACAAAAACATTGGATGCATGCAAGCAACATGCTAAAATACAAATAGCAGTGTAATCTGGATTAAGGAATGGTAAACCCCAAATATAAGCAAACTGTACTTTATATAAAAATCAATTAAACAGAGCATCAGAAAAGAACAAACTATATCACTATAGAAAAATAAACCCCCCCCCAAATAGCTGTAATTCCTTCATGCGTTTTCTTGTTTATGATATCTAATCACTCCACTTTGGTGGGTGGCAAATTAAACAAACTACTACCCTGTTATATGTAGCGTTCATATGCTGCCGAACGGAACTCAATACAATAAATCAAGGAAGGATTCCCAGAGTAATGTGTCAAGCCATTTTAGAAATTGTTTGAAAAATGACCTGTGTACTGCAAGGCTAGCACCTTGCCTCTCGAATTTACTTTCCGGAGAATCAGGATAGCTGCATTAAGATGATGATTATTATTATTTATATAGCGCCATCAGATTCTGTAGCGCTGTACAAAGGGTGATAAACTGGACCCTGCAGGACTGAGCTCATTATTGCCTGTTAATTTACAAAACAGGAGGTAAACATTCCAAGAATGATCCTTCAATAGGGTGCAAGGACCCGTAACCTTCTCTAGTATTGCAAACCAAAAAATAATGGTTTAGCACTCCAGGTATCAGCTCTCCATCTATTTCAAGGCAAACACATAAAAAATGACGACGTTTCAGCCAAACCAAAAGCGTTTGTCAAATCAAGGCCTTTGTGACTTGAGACGTCATCATTTTTTATGTTTTTGCCTTAAAATAGGTGGAGAGCAGATATCTGGAGTGCTGGACCATCATTTATTTGTCTGGAATATTAGCATCAGCTGAGAAGACCATGGATACCCGCCAGACCCCAGGTAAGTTGTCATTCCATTTTAAATGGCTTGACGGATTACCCTAGGAGGGTACGAGGACACTCCTGGTAGAATAATTACCTCATGCTGTAGTGTTTATAGTGCTTGGAGAGTTCATGTTTTGTTAGAATGTAGGCTACTATGTGTCAAGGACAAGAATGTTGATCTGGCAACTGTATGCCCAGGTCTGATTGCGCAGAATGTAAGGGTTTGTTTAATTAACCAGGAATTGTGGAAGATTGACACGGAGATTCCACATTTTAAGTCAATCTACCAAAGTGGAGAAACGATATCAGCTATATTTCCAGCTATCTTGGTTTCAAATTTGAAATACCAGAATAAATACTCAACAAATCCAGGTTTAAATGAGGTTTACGCACTAAACATAGAAATTCCTGCAATTGAATACTAAATTGCAAATTGTACGCAGAAGAGCTCAGCAGGCGGTTTTTCTAAAAACTTTGATTTTTAATTCACTACTTAGTGAATAAACCCCTGGGTATCGCTTACATCTCTTATTGGTATCTGTGGATGCAATTATACTACTAATGTCAATGGAAACAAGTGGCCCCTTTAAAACAAACCCAACACTTACACATGTAGAAGACATTTGTCAGAGGTTAATAATGGTTTCATGACCACAATCACAAGATGCATTCTGGAAAAAGAAAACCTCAGACTATTTTTATAGATTGGTGTTGCTTTATCATTGCCCTCATGTTGTTCTTGCGGTGGAATAAGTCACGGATAGTGTAGCTTTATATGACAAATGTTAAAATGCCTGGAGTAGAACCAAAGTTTCTATGAATACAGAACAAATTAAGCATTGCAGGCAACTTGCAGCTAACACGTCTTGTTTCTACCTAGTTTTGCCAGATCTACCACTTTTTCCTGTCCTATAGTATGTAGCATTCATAAGGTGCAGTGTGACGGACCGCTGGCACTCCGACCGAGTACCTCTGCCAATCGATGCTCCAAGCGCTTGCCGAGGACTCCGAGCACTCCAACCAACACCATCAGCACTGCGGACCCCACTTCCAGCAATGCAGCTGCACCGGGGTCTCGCCGTCTCTCACCCACCCTGGATCCACGACCAGGATCCAGCTCCCAGTGGGTGAACCTCTCCTAAATCCAGAGAGCGTAGCAGGAACAAATCAAGATCTTACAAGAGCTTACTCTGGGGAGTAAGTGATTATAGCAATCCCCAGAGTGTAGGTATCCCTTCCCCCAAGCATGAGCCAAGGCTTCAAGAAAGGTGCAAGTAGGTCTGGTTTATTGAGGGCTACCTGCCCGGTATTTATGCGTGTCCACCAGGTGGACACTCCCCTAGAGGACCTGATGGAACAATGGGACACATATTGGATATTAGCCAATCACAGACAATACAAACAAAACACTCCCACAGTGACATCACAATCCCTCCTTTCTATCCTGGAGATAATTGGGAAGTAATCAAATTATCTCCCAGGACAGAGGCAAGACTCCATTAACCACATGGTTACAAAAAGACATAAAATTACACAATGTTACAATTACTACATAAACATATACATACAACAAATTCCCAAATAGCTTAGATCTGAGCGCACATTATTACTGAATGGCGCTCAGATAACATACATACAGTTCAATCGCCATGGAGCCAAAGTCTTTTCCATAGTCTTTCATTACACGAATAGGCTCCATGGCATAGCTATCTGGGGTAGCACTACTCACATACTGAAAGTCCTGAATGCCCCGGCAGAAATACACAAATAAACCTTTCTGCAGGGTAAAATACAGCTATCAGCACAGGGGCCATAGTCGGAACGCAGGAAATTAGCCAGTAGTCCCCTCCAGGCACAGGTGGCGAAGGGCACTTCGTCACATGCAGGATTTATGTTTGGTTAATAAACGGTTTTCCTACCTGGAGTATTGAAAGGGACACTAAGCATCTAAACAACTTTAGCTTTTGATGCATAGACCAGGCCCTTGTAGCTTCACTGCTCTATTCTCTGCCATTTAGGAGTCAACTTGTTTTGTTTAAAGGGACACTATGGTCAGCAGAAAAGGACAGAGCAGAACTATGGTCAGCAGAACATAGTGTGCAGCACTGACGCTCTCCATGAACTTTCCCCATAGAGATGCACTGAATCAATGTATTTCTTTAGGGAGATGCTGATTGGCCAGGGCAGTGTTTGGCACCGCCCCCTCCCCGCCACCTTGGCTGAGATCACCAGAATTGACGATCTCATCCAATCCTATGGCAAAAATCACCTTTCTAGCAAGAGGTAAGGGGGGCTGACCACCTAAACAGTGGTTTTAGAACTATAGTGTCAGGATTACACATTTTGTGCTTCTAACACTATAGTGCCCCTTTAAGCAGCCCTCGCTACACCTCCCCTGGCTGTGACTCTCACAACCTCCATAAAAAAAAAAAAAAAAGTTTATTTTTTACAGCACAGTTTGTTTACTTTAGAAGGTGCCATCTCTTGCTTGTTTAATTAACTTGATCACACACAGGAGGCTGATGTAGGATCTAGCAGCAATTAACAGAGCAAGATATAATATATAATAAAACATATTGTGCAATGAGGGAAGCTGAACAATTTGTGTTTCTTTTCAAGGAATGTGTATGGTGGCTATTTGCATAAAACACATTTATTAAACTCTTGATTAGCAGAAAGGGAGCGCTTTAGCCCCTCCCCATAGGAAAGTATTGACTCAATGTTTTCCTATGGGGAGTTTACTGATACTAGATGTCCTCATGCAAGACATTCAGAGTCAGTCAGGCGACCATAAAAATACATGCTTGTTATTTACGGAGGTATATAGACTAAACTGTTAGTTTAATGCATAGATAGCAAGTAGTACATGATGTTCCAAGGTGTATCTCTTACATCCCTGATATTTTAAAGGGGCAGTATAGGCACCATAAACACTGACGTCCCATGGCACCATCCCACAGTAAGCACTCATACCATTCTCGACCTTTATAACACTCACCAGGTTGCCCCGGACACCACCTCTTCAGATGTATCTTAAAGGGTTTCTCCAGCCCTTTTTCACCATCATTAGGAGAATGCCTTATTGGCATTATTCTATATATCCATCCCTACAACTACAATCACAGAGCATTTTAAAATGATGTTTAATCATTTTTACTTACCTTAATCCAACACTGGGCGTAGCTCTCAGGCACTGCTTGGTTCAACCCCGTCTGATGTCATGGGAGCCGTGCCATTGTCTGATCAAGAGCTTCTCATAGGGAAGTCTTTGATTGGACCAATTTAGCAGCCCAGGGCGCATGCACGTGCTCTGAGCTGGGGAGGGGAGGAGGAGTGGGAGGGAGGGAAAAGAAGAGAGGGAGGGGAATTAAACACAATAGTGCATTAGATAGGGAGGGGAGACAAGAGCACTGTCTGCAATGGAGAAGCTGTTATGTGTGTAGAGTATAGTGGCCTCTGAAGACAGATGTATTCTGTATGCACAGAATTGATATTAGGCAGCCAGGAATGAAGTTCAGGGCTGCCTGAGTCACGTGTGTAAACACTGCACACCCCGACTCCTATCACAATGACCACTTCAAAAAGCAGAAGTGGTCATGGTGGTTGGAGTAACTCTTTAACTGAAAGATCCAGCAGCAAAATTATCGACGTGTGTTGGAAGATCCCCTTTTGAAAAAGATGGATCAATGTCAGACGTATTTTGAAATTGGCTGAGTATGTCATTTTTATGACTTTCTATAGCACACCTAACAAGAGAGCCTTAAAGGGATCCTATAGCGTCAGGAAAACAAACCCGTTTTCCTGGCTTTATAGGTTCCTGGAGTGCCCCCCTTCAGCCACTAACCTGAATCCGGTAATCAGGCTCCGTCCCCACGCTCCCTTTCCTATGGGGAAACTCTGACGCTGAAGGTCCGTGAGGCCGTCCAGCATCAGATAACTGACCAAAAGTCCTTTTGGATTCAGGAAGTCCTCTAGTGGTTGTCTGTTAGTCAGCCACAGAGGGCAGACTTAGAGCTGCAATGTAAACATTGCAGGTATCTGGAACTGCATTATTTTACATTGCAGCACTATGTGCAATAGGAACACAGCACTCAGACTACTTCAATTAGCTTAAGTGGTCTGGGTGTCTACAGAGTCCCTTTAAGGAAGCACTACAGTGCCAACACACCTTACAGGAAATCTTATACTTCATCCCAGTATTAGACATTACAGATCATATGGCACCTAGCAGGACATCCTGAGTTATAGGATTCATTTATAGAGGTGATGGATCAAACAGAACAATTAAAGTAGATCTTAAGTACTCATCCCAACACTATAGTTGCAGATCATGCAGCACACCTGCCGGAAGGTCTGAAAACTCATCCCGGCTTTATAAATATCATACTGCACACCCTGTGGGTTCATACGGGGAACTTATATCTTATAGTATGTGTGCAGAACCAGGACATCCTGCTGCTTATAGGCAGTGGCGTACACACAATCCATGGAGCCCTGGTGCAAAACTGATCCGTGGGCCCCCCCCACTCCCGACACACACACACACAGACACAGAGACAGATACAAAGTGGTGTATTTAGGATTTGGGCTGCCCTAGGCAGGACAGTGACAAAGAATGACACACACTGACAGACGCACACACGCACTGACCGACACATAACACTCACACATTCACTTACAGACACTCACATATTCACATACACATTTCTCCCAACACTCACAAATTATTTTTATTTTATTTTATTTTAAATCCACCCAGCCTCCCTGGGAGAGCTGGAGTGGATTGCTTACCTGTCTAGTGTGGCTGCTGGTTGGGCAGGCAGGGGGCGCACAGGCTGAGTAAGCTCAGCTTCCTTGCGCGCCGCTTAGTGATGCCGGGAGCCGGTCTGACGTCATATTCCGGCTCCCGGCTTCATTAAGTGGAGGGAGCTGAGCAGGCCCGCCTCGGGGGGGCTCAAAAGTGGCCGGCCAGTTATTGAGCCCCCCAGGACGCGAGGCAAGCAAGGGATCTGCCTGGGCGTTTGGGGGCGGATTTTTTTCCGCCCCCTGCAAAGCGCCGCCCAAGGCAGATGCCTTGTTTGCCTCATGATAGACACGTCTCTGCACATACACACACACACACACACACACACATATATAGGTACAGACACATACATACAGAGACACATATATACAAACAAACAGGTACACATACAGACAGACACACACACCGACATATACAGAGACACACATACAAACATGCACACATATACATACAGACACATACATACAAACCAGCATAAATAAAAGTAAGGGCTGCGCTGAATAAAACTCTGTGTAAAACAAGTAGTCCAGATAAAATAAATGGATAAAAAGAGAAAGTATTATCTCGAGACGTCTGTTGCGGTCGTATATAGTAATGATATTTGGCCCCGAATAATTGTCCTTGTCGGTATCCTCCTTATGGGTCCACTCGTATGTAAGAGATATGGATAAATAGAGAACCGAATAGTGTAGTATATTCAGCAGTGGAAGTAATAGAAATATAAAAATCTAGAATGCAAACTCACATTTGACAGAGCTGTGACCTGCTCTGGTATGGAAGGCGTACAGCGGTTTGATCCCTGCTTATGGGATATAGATGGCTATCCTTCGCCATCGTCTACTTTCTCCGTCCTTGGTGTGGTATGCACTCGGTATATAAAAAAAAACAAAAAAAAAACACAGCCAATAGTGTTCTCTGGATAGAGAACACTTATTTTATCTGGACTATTTGTTTTACACTGAGTTTTATTCAGCGCAGCCCTTACTTTTATTTATTCTGTTTTGTGTTACTTCTAAGGGTTTTGAGGGAATCCCTTAAAGGGTTGCTGCTTTATTGTGTTTTTTAGCGCTTACTCATTGTTTTGGTTTTACATACATACAAACACACACACAATATTTAAGTCACCCTCCTGTTTCCAACCTTTTAGGTGCAGGAGGGTGACCTTCCCTGGGGTCCAGTGGTGGCTCCCACTGACTCCCTGTTCTTCCTCCCGCGCAGGCTCTCTGTATGCCGGGAGGAGTGACGTGCGGTCACTTCCTCCCAGCTCTGTGTGATGTCATCACAGAGGGACCGGTAAAGCTGTTAAAGCGCCCAGCGCTGACCGGGCCCCCTGACAATCCATTTCCATTGGCTGGCCCTGACAGGGGTTTGCCGCGCAGGCCGGGGCCGCAAGAGATGGTGGCGGGTATCCGGTCGCAGGGGTCTGCAGGGCGGACGGGCCCCCTGGAGTGATGGGCCCAGTCACAGCTGCGACAGCGGTATGTACGCCAGTGCTTATAGGTAGTTATTATTAATCATTCATCAGTACAACCAGGAGTACCAAGACTGATACTGGTTACATTATTACTACCTATACATCACTACTACCAGGTGAACAACTGATTGATACCGGTTACAATATTTTTAACTATACATCACTACTACCAGAAGAACAGAGACTGATACTAGTTACATTATTACTAACTATATATCACTACCACTAGGAAAACCAAGACTGATACTGGTTACATTATCACTAACTACAGTGAGGGAAAAAGGTATTTGATGCCCTGCTGATTTTCAACGTTTGTCCACTGACAAAGAAATGATCAGTCTATAATTATAATGGTAGATGTATTTTAACAGTGAGAGACAGAACGAAAAAAAAAAAAAAATTACAAAAATTAATAATCCAGAAAAACGCACGTCAATGAGTAAAATAAGTATCCATTGTCCCTTTGATGTGGTGCAGTTGTCCTGTCCCCTTAGCAGAAAAACACCCCTAAAGCATTATGTTTCCACCTCCATGTTTGATGGTGGGTATTGTGTTCTTGGGGTCATAGGCAGCATTCCTCCTCCTCCAAACACAGTGAGTTGATGCCAAAGAGCTCGATTTTGGTCTCATCTGACCACAACACTTTCACCCAGTTCTCCTCTGAATCATTCAGATGTTCATTGGCAAACGTCAGACAGGGCTGTACATGTGCTTTCTTGAGCAGGGGGATCTTGCTGGCGCTGCATGATTTCAGTCCTTCACGGTGTAGTGTGTTACCAATTGTTTTCTTGGTGACTATGGTCCCAGCTGCCTTGAGATCATTAACAAGGCGCTTCCGTGTAGTTCTGGGCTGATTCCTCACCGTTCTCATGATCATTGAAACTCCACGAGGTGAGATCTTGCATGGAGCACTAGACCAAGGTTAGACTGACAGTTATTTTGTGTTTCTTCCATTTGCGAATAATCGCATTAACTGTTGTCCCCTTCTCACCAAGCTGCTTGGCAATGGTCTTGTAGCCCATTCCAGACTTGTGTAGGTCTACAATCTTGTCCCTGACATCCTTGGACAGTTCTTTGGTCTTGGCCATGGTTGAGAGTTTGGAATCTGATTGATTGCTTCTGTGGACAGGTGTTTTTTTTATACAGGTTACAAGCTGAGATTAGGAACACTTACTTTAAGAGTGCTCCTAATCAGTGGCATACTAAGGGGGGGGAGGGCAGTCCACCCGGGTGCCACTCACTAAGGGGTGCCCGGGGCAGACTGCAATGTCCCTCCTGCGCCCATCGCGGAGACCGGTCTGCAGTTCCGCAGTGTGTAGAGCTGCAGACCATGTGTCTCGCGAGCACTGCCCAATCAGAGCGTTGCTGCGGGTTACCATGGCAACACTTTGATTGGGTCTCGCGAGATCCATAGTCTGCAGCTCTGTGGAGCTGAAGACTGGAAATGATGGCCCTCGGACTACCAGGGATTTAAGGTAATTATGTAGTCCCCCCTGCATCACCCCCCCTCCCTCTCACAATCACCCCTTCCCTCTCAACCACCCCTCCTGAGCTCCCTCTTACTTCACCCCCCCACCATCACCCCTTCCCTCACACCATTATCCACTATACAACCACACACACTGCATTCACTATACAAACACACACACTTATACATGTGTGTCTGTGTGTGTGTCTGTTTTTATCTATAACTGTGTTTGTATCTGTGTGTCTATCTGTATGTGCCAGTGTTTGTCTGTGTATGACTGTTTCTATGTAACTGCATGTGTGTACCTATGTGTCTGTATGTGTGAGACAGTGTCTGTATATGTAAGTATATGTATGTGCATACATCTCAGCATTTCCCCTACACTACACACAAATACAACCCTGCATCCAAATGTCAACACTACAAAAAACAAACAAAAAAAACAAACAAAAAAAACCCACACACCATATTCAAAAACCACACTACAGAAAAATGCACGCCTTCATTCAAATGCCAATACGTGCAAACCCACCCGTACATTCACTCACACATACTCCATACAAATACATGCTTACATTCAAACACACAAACAGTGCTTGGTGCTAAATACATAAAAATAAAAACACTGATCAGTGCTAAAGACATTAAAAAAAAAATTTGCGGGTCCAAAATATAGGATCTGCCCCAGGGTGCCAAATGCTCCAGGTGCGCCCCTGCTCCTAATCTCAGCTTGTTACCTGTATAAAAGACACCTGGATTCCAGAAATCTTGCTGATTGATAGGGGATCAAAATACTTATTTCACTCATTGACATGCAAATCAATTTATAACTTTTTTGACATGCGTTTTTCTGGATTTTATTTTTGTTTTTCTGTCTCTCACTGTTAAAATACACCTACCATTACAATTATAGACTGATCATTTCTTTGTCAGTAGACAAACGTTCTAAATCAGCAGGGGAGCAAATACTTTTTTCCCTCACTGTATATATCACTACCACTAGGAGAAACAAGGCTGATACTGGTTACATTATTACTAACTATATATCACTACCACTAGGAGAAACAAGACAGATACTGGTTACATTATCACTAACTATACATCACTACTACCAGGATACTGATTTTGTTATAGGCATTTGGCAATACTTACAGTTCTTCCCATATAAAATTCCATAATACAAAATAAAATATATCTTATCATGAAATACACTCTATGTACAAACATATCCAACAAACGTGAGGTTCCATTTGGCCACTCTCTCCATACTGGGCAAGTTAGATTTAATGGTTAAAATTTAACTTCACACACAGTTCACAGTTTAGTAAATACACATCTGTTTATACAGCACATAACCTGCCCAGGAGAGAGTTTATTGGTTGTAAAACATAATAAAAATATATATTAATAATCTCTCTGATCCCCCCTGTCTATTCACTGTCAGCTCCCCACGTATTGCAGTATCTATGATCCCAGTGAAGCCCCCATGGTTACCTTTAGCTGTCCCTCTGCAGTTCCTGCCTGTACAGTTGCACTGTGCCTGGTGTGACAGCTGATTGGGACAATGCTTACAATGTGTCACAGGGGAGGGGACTGGCAGCTTTTTCCTGACTTTTGTTTCAGCCTGAAAGGAGGAGCTGAACCCTGCCTTACTTTACAATCACACAGCAACCCAGTGTGGCTCCTATTAACACGTGGTGTGCCTTGACTGCGGCTGATAGGGTTAATCATGGGAGGGGTGGGTAATCTGATTTCAATTAATACATTGTTTAAAAAAAAGCAGAACTCAAATAGTTTGTGTTTCTAAGGAACCACAGTGACTGGCATAGTACAATTTCAGTTTTAACCTTTAAAGTGCCAGAGTGACACTGCAGTAGAAGGGCAAACAGAATATTGGGATCCAAGTATCACAAACACCGGATTGTGGATTTATTTATTACACACACCCTCCCTCTACACATACCTGGACCAACCTGTTTTATTTCTCACCCAATTTGGTTATTTTAGCCTGATATTCACAAATACCTTGTAAGTTCCCAATGATACTTAGTTTAGTTAATAGAATAGGAAATGGTGACACATTGTTGTAGAATAGCCAAGTATTGAGAAGTCAGCGAAGATGATGATCTATGGAATTCTTTATATAAACACTAAAAAGAAGCAGAAATCTACATTTAAACCCCCAGCTCCTTGACTTTCTCTATTTCGTTGCTGCTGAGCCGTTCTGAGGTTTGCCTTCTTCTCGTCTAATACAAACTGAGCATTTCCCTGGTGTCTTGATGGAACAAGTATTGTAAATGCTTTTTGTTTGGTGTATCCCTACAAGAGATGACAATCTTTCAAATAAAGGTCATTTGGAGTGATGTGCTAATCATTTTGAACTGGGGGTCAGATAAAAAGACTTAGAAATATTTGGTCCTGACACCAGAAGGGGCCCAGGCAGCTTGCCATTTATGCCGCCCCTCCACCCAGTCTACTCAGAGAAGGAGAAAGAGACCATCGCCTCTAATCTTCAGATCCGGCAGATAAAGAGCTGCAGATCATGTGTTAGAGATTTCATGAACTTGCCAATCACGGCAACAGTCTGACATTTTATTTATTTATATTTATAAAATATTTTGCCAGGATGGATACATTGAGATTTCTCTCGTTTTCAAGTACGTCCTGGGCTTGGTCTAGGTATGTGTAAAGGGAGAGTGTAATGAGTGGTGTTTGTGGAAATTTCAAATGCCGGAGCTTGCAAGATCACTATGGTCTACAGCTCTGCACCTGGTGGAACTGCAGATCGGATAACAAGGCCACTGGACCACCATGGAGAGAGACCACTGGAATTGATTAAAATGAAATTAATTAAAAACGCCTCAGTGTGGGGAGGCGTTTTTAATTAAAACACAGCCTCCCCACAGACACTATCATCCACCACACATTGTCATCACTCCCCCACACACAATGTTATCCCACCCTCACACACTGTCACTTTCCCCACACCCTCACGCACTGTTATCCCACCCTCACGCACTGCCATCCCCACCCACACTGTCATCTCACCCTCACGCACTGCCACCCCACCCACACTGTCATCTCACCCTCACACACTGTCATACCCCACACACGCTGTCACCTCCCACACACACTGACACTTTCCCCACACTGTTATCCCACCCTCACACACACTGTCATCTCACCCTCACACACTTTCACCCCCATTCACACACTGCCACCTCCCACACACCACACACACACACACACACACACACAGTGAGAGAGATGACACTGGCAGGTTGTTTGGGAGCAGATGGCACTGGCAGGCTTTTTTAGAGGTACATATGGCTCATTGGCATGATATACAAATGATACAAATTTACTGCTCTTTGGCTTGATATATAAGGTTTATGTATTTAATGCATTTCCTTGCTGGAAAATCTTTCAGAACTCTTTTTACTACAGGGTTTCCTGGTTGGTAGTGTAGAGGTCATCGTACCACTAGGCTATAGCTGCCAAAACTATGGGTCCCCAAGGCATCCATAGCTTCCCATCCATCCCTGGATGGTATCAGTCAATGAAGCAGCAACAGATGGAACATTCTACCTGTGCTGCAGCAGTTCCAGTGAGAGGGAATGCCATATCTAGCATACATGAAACTGCATTCACAATGTTATATCTCCACAATGAACACAGGGCATATTTGCATAGCAGCTGCACCTTGAATAATAAGCATACTACGGGCACCTCTAGGCAAATGTTACCCAATTCCTGTGACATCACGATGACTGTACATGTCTAGATCTGCTGAGCCGTGATTGATAACTTATTTCTGTTTGGGAAATGATGCATTTCATGTGAGCAGCTTAACGATTCCTGGTATCTACTGAAACAATGTAGAGATTATTATTATTTTTTAATTAAGTGATCAGAACAGCATGGCGCCTCGTGAAACTGTACGTAATACTCCCAGTATCTATATATATCTATATACAGTAGTGGGATTAAATTTTAGTAACCAGTTCCGACTTTTCATATGTCTCCATCTCCTCCCCCTATTCCCCCAAGTCATACGCGTGCATAAACTAGTTATATCATGTCAATGAAGCAATAAATACATAAACTAAGTATATCATGCCAATGAAGCAATAAATACATTAAACTAGGTATATCATGCCAATGAGCCACATGTGGCTCCTAAATCTCTGCTAGTGACATGTGCCCCCAAACAACCTGCCAGTGTCATCTCTTTGCTCCCAGCCACTCTGTGCATCTCTCTGCCCTTTGCACCATCTCTCTCCCTGTGCCATTTTTCTGCCACCATCATCTCTGAGCCACCACTCTGCCACCAGCATCTGTGCCATTGCTCTGCCCCCAGCCACTCTGTGCAATCTCTCTGTCCTTTGCTTCTTTGTGCCATCTCTCTGCCACCAGCCTCTCTGTGCCATTTCTCTGCATTTAGCCTCTTTGTGCCATTTCTGTGCCTCCAGTGAGGGCAACAGAGTGTGTGTAGGGGTGATGGTGTGTGGGTGACAGTGTGGGGAATGGTGACAGTGTGTGTGGGAGGGTGACAGTAGGTTGGGTGGTGACAGTGTGGGAGGTGGTGACAGAAGGGTGGATGGTGGCAGACAGCGGGGCGGATAGTGACAGGGTGTGTGGGAGGGTGACAGTAGGTTGGGTGGTGACAGTGTGGGAGGTGGTGACAGTAGGGTGGATGGTGACAGTGGGGCGGATAGTGACTGTTTGTGGGAGTCTGGCAGTGTGGGAAGTGGTGACAGTGGGAGGGGGAAGGTGACAGAAGGTGACTTATTCCTACTCCCTGCCTGCAATCTAGGGATCGACCGATATTGATTTTTTTAGAGCCGATACCGATAATCTGTAAACTTTTAGGCCGATAGCTGATAGTTTACCGATATTCTGTACATTTACCATTTTGAAAAAATTTATTATTTCTACACAAATCTAATATTAACTGAAAATGCTTATTATTATTTATTTTTTTGCAAATCTTAATGAAGTGGTCTGGGTGCCAGGTCCACCTAGGATTAACCCTTTCTGCTGCAAACATAGCAGTTTCAGAGAAACTGCCATGTTTACAAATGGGTTAATCCAGCCTCTAGTGGCTGTCTCATTGACACCCACTAGAGGCGCTTCCGCACTTCTCACTGGGATTTTCACAGTGAGAAGACACCAGCGTCCATAAGAAAGCATTGAGAATGCTTTCCTATGAGACTGGCTGAATGCGCTTGCAGCTCTTGCCGCGCATGCGCATTTAGCCGATGACGGGGAAAGGAGGAGGAGAGTTCCCCGTGCCGAGGGAGCACGGCGCTGGAAAAAGGGTAAGATTTAACCCCTTCCTCTCCATCTAGCCCGGCGGGCGTATGCTTTCCTGGCACTATAGTGGTCCTTTAAGGTAAATGCACAAAATATACATGCCCGTCTGAATTGTTTATGTTTTCAAGAATATATATGTGTGTAGTGGATGCAGTGAGCGTATTTCATTAGTGAATGCAGTGTGTGTGTTTGTGTAGTGTGTGTATAGTGAATGCAGTGTGTTTGTATAGTGTGTATATAATGAATGCAATGTGTGTGTGTAGTGTGTGTATATTGAATGCAGTGTGTTTGTGTAGTGTGTATATAATGAATGCAGAGTGTGTGTGTTTGTGTAGTGTGTGTGTATAGTGAATGCAGTGTGTTTGTGTAGTGTGTGTATATAGTGAATGCAGAGTGTGTGTGTTTGTGTAGTGTGTGTGTATAGTGAATGCAGTGTGTTTGTGTAGTGTGTGTATATAATGAATGCAGAGTGTGTGTGTTTGTGTAGTGTGTGTATAGTGAATGCAGTGTGTTTGTGTAGTGTGTGTATATAATGAATGCAGAGTGTGTGTGTGTTTGTGTAGTGTGTGTGTGTGTGGGTAGTGTGTATAGTGAATGCAGTGTGTTTGTGTAGTGTGTGTATAGTGAATGCAGTGTGTTTGTGTAGTGTGTATATAATGAATGCAGAGTGTGTGTGTGTGTTTGTGTAGTGTGTGTGTGGGTAGTGTGTGTATAGTGAATGCAGTGTGTTTGTGTGTGTGTGTTTGTGTAGTGTGTGTGTGTGTGGGTAGTGTGTGTATAGTGAATGCAGTGTGTTTGTGTAGTGTGTGTAAAATGAATGCAGAGTGTGTGTGTAGTGTGTGTGTATATGAATGTAGTGTGTTTATATAATGAATGCAGAGTGTTTGTGTAGTGTGTGTATAGTAAATGCAGTGAGTGTTTGTGTAGGTATGTAATGTTTATAAAATGGGAGGGGGGGGGGTTTCACATAACATTTTTTTTTTAAATATTAAATTTTTTAACATTTTGATTTAGTCCCCCCTCCCTGCTCCTTACCTGGCCAGGGAGAGGGGATATGGCATTCCCTGGTGGTCCGGTGGCACGAACTCTGCAGAGGGGGCCCAGCAACACACTTAATTCCCTTGCCAGCAGCTCCCTTGTCTAACTCTCACTGCCTGCCTGCCGTGCAAAGTGTTGCCATGGTAACTCGTGGCAACTCTCTGACGGCCGCGGGACACGTGAGATTTAGATAGGGGAGCTGAAGGGAGCTGCTGGGAAGGTAAGTAGGAGTGTGCTGCGGGCCATC